TGGCCCCCAAATAAATAAATATTTTTTAAAAAATACCTTTCTAGGGTCCGGCACTATGGCATAGCAGGGTAAAGCCCCAGCCTGAAGCGCCGGCATGCCATATGGGTGCTGGTTCAAGTCCTGGCTGCTTGACTTCCAAGCCAGCTCCCTGCTAATGTGCCTGGGAAAGCAGCAGAGGATGGCCCAAGTCCTTGGGCCTCTGCACCCACATGGGAGACTGGGAAGAAATTCCTGGCTCCTGACTTCGGATAAGCTCTACTCTGGCCATTGTGGCCATTTGAGGAGTGAACCAGTGAATGGAAGACATCTCTCTCTCTCTCTCTCTCTCTCTCTCTCTCTCTCTCTCTCTCCATCTCTTTCTCTCTATATAACTCTGTCTTTCAAATAAATAAATTGTAAAAAAAAAAAAAAAAACAACCACCTTTCTGAATAATCTGTTTGCAAGAGAATGAAAATCCTTGATACTTAGCTGGATAAACTTCAGTTATCTGAAAAAAAAACCTTCAGAATGGCAGTTTTTTTTTTGGTTTTGCTGAGGTTTTAGCATGTTTGAGATCAGTACTGTGATAGCTCCGGAAGAGAAAGTTCTGTGTGCCTTGCAAGAGGCAAGCAAGACTTTGGCCTTACATAACTGGAGACAGTTATGACAGCTTTGAATCTTCAATGCATTTATTTCTTCCTCTACTTACTGGATACCAGACTTTATGACTAAGTGCTGGGGTTAAAAAGACAAAAGACAAGCTTCCTGTCTTCAGACAGTGCTAAATAAGCAACCGTATAAAGAGTTTGGAGAAAGATCTAAGTTGAAGACTACGATTTTATGGTGAACAGCATGTAAAAAGTTAATGTGACTGTTGGTGTAAATTATCTTGATCACTGAGAATGTGTGAAGCAAGAAGGAATGGCTAAGGACGTGACCTTAAGGAGCCCGGTGATGAAGAAGAGGTCAGAGAAAGAAGACTGAGAAAGGCCATATTAAGAGAAGTGAACTCTTTCATTCATTAATATATATATATTTATATAATATATATAATATATATAAATAATATATATATTTATATATAAAATATATATTTATATATATAAATTTTTATATATTATATAATATATATATATATATATATATATATATATATATAAAGCTCCTAGTCTCTGTCAAGAGAAGGAAGGACCAAAGGACCCCAGGAGCTTAAATAGGAGACCACTTCAAGGCAGGAGAAGTCAACAGGGTCAACTGCCACAAAGAGGGCCAAAGGATAAAGACTGGAGAGCTGTTTATTGAATGTGACCAGGAGGTCATTAGTCTTCTTGATGGGAAGAATCTCAGTGGGCTGGTGGGGGCAAGAACTGAAGTGATTGAGAAGGGAATCAGAAGCATGCAAATGGATATAATGTGTATAGGTGACTCTACATGCTGAGCTGTGAAAGGAAAAGAGAAATTAAAGGATTAAGTAAATACAGACAAGAATTAAGAGAATGTTTAGAATTTTTTTCTTTGGATCACGAGAGATACCTGAGCATGTGTATACGCTGAGAGGAGAATGTCAACAGAAATGGAAAGGTTAAAAATAGTGGAAAGACAGGGGCCAGCATGGTGGTGCAGCAGGTTAAGCTGATGCCACGTTAAGAAATCCATATCAGAGTGTGGGTTTGGCTCCTGGCTGCACTGCTTCTGATCCAGCTCCCTGTTATTACACCTGAGAAAGCAGCAAATGATAGCCCAAGTGTTTGGGCCCCTTCCACCATGTGGGAGACCTGGATGGAGTTCCTGGTTCCTGGCTTCAGCCTGGCCTGAAGCTGGCTGTTGCCGCCATTTGGGTGTCTGTCTGTCTGTCTGTCTGTCTGTCTTTTCCCCTCTCTCCCTCTCTCTGTCAATCTGCATTTCAAATAAATCTTAAAAAGTAATAAGAGAAAGAGAAAGGATCTGTAGCCATATGCAATTACACTCATATATGGGAGATAGAGTACAGATGTACTCAACTAAGGGTTCATAGTCAACTCTTCCCACTCTGTGCTAAGTGGAAAGGATACAGTGGTGAGCAAGACAGCTGCTGACCCTGCCTGCCTGGAGCTTACGGTCAAGTGGACAGATGACGTATGTGGCTGCCTCATCCACTGGGGTATGAGAGACAAGACAATGTGCCTTGGTGCATCTGTAGGTGGCAAAAAATTGGTGAAATTCTCCTTTTATGACCTCTCTTTTCTCTGAACATGGATGTGGGTTCTGCTGAGACGAGCAAGGAAGTGGAAAAGAAAGAATCTTGAGAAAAAAGGAAGAAGCTTGAAATAATTGCTTTTGGGGGCTGCCGCTGTGGCGCAGCAGGTTAAAGCCTTGGCCTGAAGCACCGGCATCCCATGTGGGCGCTGGTTCTAGTCCTGACTGCTCCTCTTCTGATCCAGCTCTCTGATGTGGCCTGGGATAACTGTAGAGGATGGCCCAAGTCCTTGGGCCCCTGCACTCTCATGGGAGACTGGGAAGAAGCTCCTGACTTTGGATCGACGCAGCTCCAGCTGTTGCAGACATCTGGGAAGTGAACCAGTAGATGGAGGACCTCTCTCTGTCTCTACCTCTCTCTGTGACTCTGTCTTTCAAATCAATAAAATAAATCTTAAAAAAGAAAAAAAAAGAAAGAACTGCTTTTAGGGATTGGGAAAGGGTGATTTTCCAAGCTTGGAGATAGTGAATTTACAAAGACTTAATCTTTGAGATTATGTGATTTTCTTCAGAACACCAGGGAAATAGGAACAGAGTCACCTTGATTTGTCTTTTTTTCTTTAAAGATATATTTATTTGTTTAAAGACTGGAGAGAGAGGGAGGGAGAGAGAGAGAACTAATCTTCCATCCACTGGTTCATTCCCCAAATGGCCCCATTGACTGGGGCTGGTCAGGCTGAAGCCAGGAGCCTAGAACTCCATCTGGGTCTCCCCTATGTGGGTGGCAGGGCCCTACAACTTGAGCTATCTTCTGCTGCTTTCCCAGATACATTAGCAGGGAGCTGGATTGGAGTGGAGCAACTGGATTCAACACTTGCTCTGATATGGGATGCTGGTGTTGTAAGGGGCATAAGGGCAAACGAACAAACGCCCCCAATTTGTCTTTTTTTTTTTTTTTTAACAGGCAGATTTAGACAGTGAGAGAGAGACAGAGAGAAAGGTCTTCCTTTTCCGTTGGTTCACCACTCAAATGGCCACTACGGCCGGTGTGATGTGCCAATCCAAAACCAGGAGCCAGGTGCTTCCTCCTGGTCTCCCATGCGGGTGCAGGGCCCAAGGACCCGGGCCATCCTCCACTGCCTTCTCAGGCCACAGCAGAGAGCTGGAGTGGAAGAGGGGCAGAATCCGGCACCCAACCAGGACTAGAACCTGGGGTGCCAGCGCCACAGGTGGAGGATTAGCATATTGAGCTGCGGTGCCGGCCCCAATTTGTCTTTTGACGTAGCTCTCAGATACATCATTTCTTTCCATCCCCAGTACTATCATCCTTGGCTGATTGCCCTCTCCTTTCATCCTTGGATGAGCTTGTTTTCTTGCTAATAGTTTTCCTGGTTAAAAACAAAACAAAAAGAAGAGTTGCAATAGCATCCTACTCCTATCAGATTATTTAAGCTACTCACCTTAGCATTCTAGGTCTTCTGCAATTTGTCTCTGTCTTTCCCTTTCTCTTGCTCCTGACTAATGCCTTTTTACTTATCAGCCTCACAGGATCTTTTGCTCTGCATGCTTCAGGCTCCATGCTCATCAAAGAAAGCTTTTGCTTAAGCTATTTCTCTGGAACATTTTCTTCTTTCTTTTGCACCAAACCAGCTCCCTCCAAAGTTCTCATGTCCTCCATGATAAAATGTATCTATCATCCTTCATCATGAAGAACATTATCTTTTTCTTTCCATTTAGAAATTTATGTCTAATGTAGTTTTATTTTTAAAGAAAGATTTATTTTATTTGAAAGAGTAACAGAGAGAATGAGAAGTAGAATGAGATCCTCAATCTGCTGATTTACTCCCCAAATGCCTACAAAAGTAGGGGTTAGGCCAGGAGCTTCATCTGGATCTCCCACGGTGCAGGGGCCCAAGCACTTGGGCCATCTATCACTACTTTCCCGAGTCATCAGCAGGGAGCTGGATTGGAAGTGGAGCAGCTAGGACTCCAACTGGCACCCATATGGGATGGGCTTAACCCACTGCATCATAGTGCTGGCCCCTGCTTAAAAAAAAAAAAAAAAAAAAAAGGTGGGGCCTGCATTGTGGCACAGCAGGTTAGATTGCTGCTTGCCATGCCAACCAGCATCCTTTACCAGAGTCCCAGATGCTCTGCTTCTGATCCAGCTCCCTGCTAATCGTCTGGGCAAACAGTGGAAGATGGCTCAAGTGCTTGGGCCCTTGCACCCACTTGGGAGGCCTGGATGGAGTTCTAGGTTCCTGACTTTGGCCTGGCATATCCCCAGTTGTTGTGGCCATTTTGGAGTGAACCAGAGGATGCAAGATCTATTTCCTCTCTCTGTCACTCTGCATTTAAAATAAGTAAGTAAATTTTAAACAAAAACAGCCAGAATTGAAAGATGAGTTTATTGGCTGGTGCCGCGGCTCACTAGGCTAATCCTCTGCCTGTGGCGCTGGCAACCCGGGTTCTAGTCCTGGTTGGGGCGCCGGATTCTGCCCCTCTTCCAGTCCAGCTCTCTGCTATGGCCTGGGAGTGCAGTGGAGGATGGCCCAAGTGCTTGGGCCCTGCACCCACATGGGAGACCAGGAGGAAGCACCTGGCTCCTGGCTTCGGATCGGCACAGTGCTGGCTGTAGTGGCCATTTGGGGAGTAAACCAATGGAAAAGGAAGACCTTTCTCTCTGTCTCTGTCTAACTCTGCCTGTAAAAAAAAAAAAAAAAAGGTTTATTTTGGCTCAAAAACTTTAAAATCAACCCGTTGTTTGTTTGTTTTTTTGTCTGTTAAGATTTACTTATTCATTTGAAAGACAGAGTTACAGAAAGATAGAGATAGAGAGAGAGAGATATCTTTCATCTGCTGGTTCACTCCCCAAATGGCCACAATAGCCGGAGCTGAGCTGATCCAAAGCCAGCAGCCAGGAACTTCTTCTGGCTCTCCAACGTGGGTGCAGGGGCCCAAGGACTTGGGCCTTCTGCTGCTGCTTTCCCAGACACATTAGCAGGGAGCTGGATTGGAAGAGGAGCAGCCAGGACTCAAACTGGTGCCCATATAGGATGCCAGCACTGGAGGAGGTGGCTCTACCAGCTAAGCCACACATTGCTTTCATAATGCTCACTTTCCTTGAACTGTTTGAAGACCCCTCATATTTGAGTATCTAGCCCTGTGCTAGGAACTGTGGAGATTGAACTCCTGAGTGCCGGTATATATATCTTTCTCCTAAAACTATTTTCCAGTCTTTGAAACAACCCCAGCTGTCTAATGAATTGCCTGGGATGCAGGATCTCTCAGCAACTCATCATTGTTGCTGATTCCTTTATCTCACTGGTTCTCCTGGTCTTAAATATCTGTCTGTCTCTCAGCATGTGTGTTTATGTGTCTTGCTTACTCACAGTGGGGTTTAACCCGCCCTGATCCCAGTCCTGTAAGGCTGGCCTAGAAGTGCAAACCTCTGCCTCTCTTTTCCTCTAGTCCAGATGCCAACATGTGGGTGGAAGTGCCCACTCAGATAAAACTATCCAAGAGTGCCAATGTCTCCTAGGCCACCTACTTTCTTGGGAATTTTGAGAATGTCATTTGTCCCAGCTCCACGCAGGGAAGAATCCTAGCAGGCAATACCAAGGTGGAAGCCTCATTCTTCCTCCTCATTGACATTCTTAACATCAAAGGGTCTTTATGGGGGGTAGGGATGGAAAAGGAGCAGTTTTTCTGTTTGGAAGGCTGTCCAGGGCCCTCTGAGGAAAGACGGGACATCACTAATCCTCAGTCCATGTGAGGTTAGGGCAGCTGGTCACTTCCACCCTCTTTCAGGTCTCTCCATGGCTCCTCTTCCTGAGTGAGTCCATTAGTCAATCGGTCTCTTGGCTCCAGCCCCTCTCACCTGTCCTCTTCCATCAACTAATAGCCTGCCTGCCAGCCACCCTGGCTTCCTGGCTCCCTCATTCCTGCTGCAGTGGCCCAAGTCCATCCTGCCACGACTGTAGAGGAGAGGGGAGCTGATGGGGACCAGGGAAACCTCCTGTTGACACCGTCTTGTCCCCTTCCCAGACCTCTTTTTTGGGGTCAGGATGAACCAGGGGCAGCACATGGGGAGAAATAAGGAGATTGAGGTAAAAAAAAGCCCAGTGAGACGGTACAGAGTAGGGCTGGGGCGGAGCAGGAGAGAGGCGGGAGACTCCCTAGGCGGCAGGGTCGCCAAAGCCTTTGAGGGGAAGGAGAGGGGAGGAGCGCGCAGGCTCCGCAGCCCAGCCCCGCCGAGGCCCCCGGGTTTCCTGTCTCTTTTGCCAGCTTCTCCTCCGTCTTTGTGAGATTTGCTCCCAGAGCCTCTGTCAGCCTGCCTGTGTCTTGTGTGTGTGTCTCCTTCTCTGTCCGCGTCTGGGAGGCTGTTTGCGGGTCTCTCCATGTCTCGCCTGGCTCCGCTCTCCCGCTCGCCCTCCCGGCCTGGCGCTCTAGGTGGACAGGGCTCCCGGCGCCCCTCCCCGCGCAGCACCATTGGCGGAGAGGTGACGAGAAGGCGGTGTTTAGCCGACCTCCGAGGGCGGGATTAGTTGTGGCGACCTGGAGGCGGGCCGGAGGCGGGTCCGGCTGGGAGGCGGGCGGGGCGGCTGGGGCCGAGCCCAGAGCTCCGGGCGGTCGCATTGTTTTCCTCCGCGGATCCGCGGACAGAGTGGGGGGCTGCACTCGGACCCAGGGCTCTCCCGACCCGACAGTAACCCGGAGCCCAGATCCAAGCACTGTCCATTTGTGACGCCCGTCACACATCTCCTGAAGCCCAACTAAGGATTGCGAACTCCGTGCAGCGCGGGGCCGCTGGCCGCCCACTGCGATCTCTCTCCCGCTGACCCGGATCTCGGAGCAAGTACCCGGGGACAGGGATGGGGCTGCGGGGACACGGGGAGGGATGAGTGGGCGCCACCGGCCCGGGGCAAGCTTCCGAAGTGCTAGAGGGATCTGGGCGGGTGCGGGCGCGCTGTGAGCCTGGCTGGCGGAGAGGGCCGTCAGAGTCGGGGTGCGCGGGGGACGAAGGGATCGTGGCCGAGCCCCATCACTGCACTGTTGGGCAAAGGGGCTGGGCGCCTTTTCCGACAGGGCTTTCTCCGAGTCGCATTGAGCTGGATGGGGGAGCACGACAAGGGATTGTTGGAGGCACGCACCATGCAGAGGGTGGAAAACCTGGCTCCTGCCCACCCCCCTCCCCAGCAGGGAAACTAAGGCTCCCAGACTTTCGGAGAAGCGGCCGCTCTCAATGCCACTGCGGGGATGGGGAGAAGGATGTTCCGGACTTTGGTGTCAGGGCTGCACGTCTGTCCTTGTGCAAGCGGGAGACCGAACACTCCCCAGAGGACTGGCTTGGGCACAGAGTCTGGGAATGGGGCCCTGAGACACATCAGTCCCAGCGCCCATCTCCTTCCTTCACCCCACTCCGCTCGGGGCTTTGTTAGACTGGTCTCCGAAGGAGAAGAGCCCAGCTGGAGACTGCATCCCGAACCCACCGACCGAGCTCCGCGCTGGCCTCGGGCCCGCCCTCGTCGGTTCCCAGCCTCTGGCCCTGTTTCCTGGCCTGTGAGACCCGCCTCCGCTCCCCAGCCCCCCGCTCCCAGCCCCACTTGGTCTGCGCCTGCAGGCCCCTCCAGCCCCTCCTCCCGCTAACGTGGCTCTGGGACCCGGTCCCGGCCCAGACTCTGCTACACGCCCCTCGTCGGAGCCCTGGATCCAGTGAGGGGGAGACACGTCGAGCCCCTGGCCTCAGGCCCACCTCTTGCAAGGCTCCAGACACCTGGATTACCCTCTTTGGGGGTTGGGTGGGAGGGAGGGTAGGTGCTGAGCCTGGGACTGAAAGCCAAGCTAAGGTGGGGGAAATGTCTTGGAGAAGGGACCTTGTCGTCCTGCCAGGTCCTCGGAGCGCCCTCGCTCCCCTGAGGAAGGTGGACGGGGGGCGGGCAACCAGCCCAAGGGCTTCCTGCTATTGTCCCCAGCCTGGTCTCCCCTTCCCCGTCCCTTCCCCAGCTCCGCTAGACTCTGGCTTTGACCCTGGCCACTCCCCAGAGGTGGCTGCTGGGCCAGGAGGAAAGAGAAAGGCTGTTTCCTCTTCCCAGCAAGGGAGGATCTAGAAGGGGGAGAAAGAGTGGGCCAGGTCTCTCCCGTTGGCTTCAGAGGGAGGGCGGGAAGCAGCTGGGATTCCTCCCGGGTACTGTGAACCTTTCTCCAGGCCAGCGGTTGGGTGGGAGCCGCCCAGATGCTACTCCCCCAAAACAACCATGGGCATCCCTCTGAAAGATATGTCACAGTTGAGTGGGGGGGGGGGGCAACGCAAAGTGTTATTACAGGCTGGATTAATCCAGCCTAAAGTGAAGAGGGGTGGGGGCCCAGGAGTAGACAAACTGGGGGCAGGGAGACAGGGCCTGCTCTCTCCGGGAAGAAGGAAGGGGTTGGGGGTGCTCGCTATCAGAGCATTTTGCCTGGAAATGAAAAGCATGTAAATGAGATGCAAATTAGCCTCTATTGTCCCTAGCTAGGGCGCTTTTGCTAAGGAAGGCTGTTGGATTCTGAGGGTTTTAACATGGGAGTGGTCCTCTTGCCTTGCAAACTCTCCCAGGGTCCCCTTTTTCCAAGGCTGGCCCTGCAGCTCCAGGAGTTCCCAGCTGGGAAGTGTCCCCTGCCCTCACATCTCTGCACAGGAAGCCACTAGTGCCAGTGTAATGTAGCTAATGCTAAATGTCATCGCCACCCCTACCCTGCCCCTAGGGCAGCACCTGGGGGTGGGGGGAGCGGCCTCCACAGACTTTCCCTGAGTTTTACATTTACTTCTAAGGTAAAGGACCCTTAACTCAGGCTCTTCCCTCCTTTTGTCCCTTGTTTCATCAGGTCAGAGGTCTCCTATCCCCCTCAAACCCCCCAGGTGTCACCATCCCAGGTAAGGAAAGGACAGCAGCTCCTGAGGGCGGGGGATGGAGGCAGGCACGGCCTGGAGCGGGAAGAGGGTCTGGCTGCACTCCCCGCTTGCCAGGAAGCAAAGTTGTTTCCAGGGTGAAGATACCAGTTGCCCAGGGCAACTTGGGGGGGGGGGCAAGGAGAGGAGACAAGCTGTGCCCCTTCCTCTTCCCCTGGGAGGCTGGGCATCCGGAAACCTGGGATGGGGACCAGGAAGGAGGCTTAGCCTTTCAGACCAGAGGGTCGTTAGCTTGCTGACGCTGAGGACTGTGCCCCTGGGGAAGGGGTCATCATTAGGCGTTCCTAACCCTTCCCCTCCTCCAAGTCTCTCGGGACCTTACCTGACGTCAGCCTCCCCACCAGTGACGCTGGATTGGGGGTGGGGGACGCTTGGGCCTTGCCTCCAGGACTGGAATTACTGGAGAGAAAGAGGAGGGCTGGGCCTGCCCTGGAGTCCCCGGTTTCTCCTTTAGTGTTCGTAGTGGCATGGGGAACTACTGTTAGCACTTCACGAAAGAAAGATTCTTACCTTTCGTGACCTGATTTCCAGAGCCTGCACAGCCCCTCACTTCAATTCCAGGGGAAGGCAGGAAGCTGACAGGCACCTTCCTCTGTGGGTCCCCGCCAGGGTCAGCTGGCTGGGGGAGGCTGTCGGGGGGGAAGGAGACCTGTCTCATCATCTCTCCCACCATATCCATCTTTTCCTGGACTTTGGGCTACAATTGCCTGTCATTGAATTATTTATGTTTCAATTTTACAGGCAGCCCCGATGAGGGGAGGAAGGGAAAGAGGGGCACATCAGCCATCTCGCCTCACCAGTCCCTTTTATCCCTGGCTCCTCGGAGAGGGGGTGGGTCTGCTTCCCCCCCCCCCCATTAAGTACATGCATTGGTTCTTAGGAGCCAGAGATGGAACAGGGGGCTAGAGAGGCTGGGAGGGGGCACAGTGGTCGAGGAGACAGCTGCAGCCAGAGCTAAATTTAGCCTCTGATCTGGCTTTGATGCAGATTCATTTTTGGCTGAGACAGGCCCCCTTCCCCTCCCTATCCAGCTTCTTCCCTAGCCGTGGGAAGGGCCCCTGAGGCCTGAGTTTAGACCAGGACGATGACCCCTAGGCTGCTGCCCCCTGCACCCTGGTCTTCCCTCAACCCTAGCAAGGACCCTGGCTGCCACCCAGCTGCCTCTGCCTGGGCTCAGTGCTGCATTGCTCCCAGGGTGCTTTGGGGGTCTGCAGGGGAGGGGGAAACTGACTTGATGCCCTCTTCCTCCTCCTGGTGCCAAGGAGTCACTATTTATACTTTTAAGGCTTGAGTGTCTAATTATAGCTGAGATGGGGTAAGCACAAGGGGGGCCAGGAGGTGTCACCTACCGAACGTCCCAGCCCCAGCCAGGAGAGGGGAGGAAGGGCTGGGTGAGAAGGCGAGGAGGGGTGGCAGGCGCGCGCTGTCCTTACCTGGGGTCATGCAGACACGCCCCACAGCAGCCAGTTTGGGCTGGCTGCAGAGGGAAGGGCCTTGAGTGACAGTGACAGCCGCCTGGGTCTAGGGCAGTGCTGGAGAGAGCGCGTTCCCCCACCGCCCCGCCCCGGGGTCTTCTGGGGGTAGACCGTGAGAGGAGCCTGCCTGCGTCAAGGCTGGAGGGAACTTGGCCCCTTCCCCTACTGTTCTCTGTCTCCCCTTTCAGGGCCAGCATATGGGTGAGGGGGCACCCCCTGGGGCCTGAGCTGCCCCGCACAGGATGCCCCGTGCCCCCCACTTCATGCCCTTGCTGCTGCTGCTGCTGCTGCTCTCACTTCCCCACACCCAGGCCGCCTTTCCTCAGGACCCGCTCCCTTTGTTGACCTCTGACCTGCATGGTGAGTGCCCCAGAGCGACCCTGCCCCCTTAGTGAGCAACACTGAGAGCCCCCCCAGCCCCCACCCCGGGTGGGAGGGCCCCAGCATCCTGCGAGCACACAGAGAGCTGGCACCTCCGGGCTGCGGCTCCTCAGCCCTGGGCCTGCTTTCTCTCTTAGAGGCAGGGTTATATGGTCGACAAGAAGCCAGGTTTGAATCCCTGCTGAGTTACTCCCTGGCTGTGTGACCTTGCTTAGGTTATTTAACCTCTCTTTGCCTCAGTCTCCTCATTTCCAAAATAAAGACAATAACAGGAATCAACCTCTTGGAGATATTTAAGGATTGAATGCATGTAAAGTGCCGAGAACCCTGGCGCAAAGTGCATCCTTTACATTCGTCTGCTATTGTTCTTAGCTACAATGGAGTCTGGGACTAGTTCAGTGGTTCCCAGCACCTCTCCCCACCCTCCATCCCACTTGCGCCACCAGTAAGCCTAGGTCCCGCCGTGGCAGGAAGTGTAAACCCACGTTTCTGAGAAGCTCCTTTATCTACAAATATCTGTAGGATTTTTAAGGTTACGTAGCATTTTAAGGCTAAGTGTAGTTGGGTTATTGGGAGTTGGGAGATAGGTAAGAATAGTAACCACTTACGCGTGCCAGACGCAGGTCTGAGCACGCTGTGACCCGTACGACGCCTGTGCCTGCACTGGGCCCCCCTGGACCACTGAGGACTACAGTTCCGTGGTCAGCCTGGGGGCATGCAGGAGTTGGTCAGAGGAGGTGGAAGCTTGGAAGTGCCAAGGTGGCCTATAAAGAAATTGAGGGGTGGGTGCAGAGAGGAAAGGAGTGAGTGAATGTTCCAGACGGGACGATGTCCAGGGTGGGCGAGAGAGGGAACTGCCAGTCCCAAGGGGTTCTGAGACGGGAGTAGGCTCAGCTCTGGAGTCGGACAGTCCTGAACTTGAATGCTGGTGCCAACCACTTCCACGAAAAATGAGCTTGTTCACATTTGTGTGAAACTTCAGGCTCTGCATCTGTAAAATGGGCCCGTGTTAGTACTGCTTCGTAAGGGTAATGAGGTAAATGAGACAGTGCACCTAAGGTGCTAACGTGGGCAGGAGTTGTGGCGTGGCCGCAGCTTCAGGGATCAAGTCCTGCCTCTGCTTCCCATCCAGCTTCCTGCTAATGTGCCGGGGAGGCAGCAGATGATGCCTCAAGTGCTTGAGTCCCTGCCACCCATGTGGGAGACCTGGGTGGTGTTTTTGGCCCATGGCCTTGGCCTGGCCCAGCCCTGGCTGTCACAGACATTTGGGGAATTGGTAATGAAAGACCTCTCTTGTCTTTGTAGCTCTGCCTTTTAAATAAATAAAATGAATAAACATTAAAATAATTTTTTAAAACAATAATAAAGCGCTAACACACACTGCCTGGAGGAGATTAAGTGCTCAGCGTCACTGATACTATTTTTATTAATAGTGTTCGGCCACCTCACATATCCAGCTGTCCATGGCCGGCTTCCATCTGCTGGAGGCAGTCAGGGGAGACGTGGGTGCTCTGGCTGGCCCTCAGCACCGCACCTCTCCCTGTCCTCCAGGTGCTCCCCCGTTAGCCTGGTTCCGGGGCCTGGAGGATGATGCTGTGGCTGCAGAACTTGGGCTGGACTTCCAGAGATTCCTCACCTTGAACCGGACCTTGCTGGTGGCTGCCCGGTAAACTGGCCGAGGCACAGTTATGAGGCAGACTTGCATGCGGCTGGGGAGACATGGGACCCACATGGAGGGGACACGTGCAGGTGCACAAGCCATGGGACACAGACGCGCTTGGACTCGGGGCACAAATGCCAAGGCGTGGGGGGAGGCGGAGGGGCAGGAGGCCGTACTGTCTGCCCTGAGCAGTGACCAGGGGTGAGGCGGGGGCTCAGGAGCTCAAGTGGGCTAAGGAGCCTTGGTTTGACTCTCACGCCTCCTCGCCTGCTCTTGCAGGGATCACGTCTTCTCCTTCGATCTCCAAGCCCAAGAAGAAAGGGAGGGCCTGGTGCCCAGCAAGGTGAGGTGCTGCGGCCGGAGGGCGTATGGGCCTGGGCACGAGCCTGAGACGGGTCTAACGGGGGCCCCGTGGGTGGGAAGAAGGAGCCACAGCGTGAGGAGGGGTGAGGTTCTGCCCCACCATCATCCCTCTGCTACTTCTCCTCAGTATCTGACATGGCGGAGCCAGGATGTGGAGAACTGTGCGGTCCGGGGAAAGCTGACGGTGAGGAGTGGGCTGAGACTGGGGAGGGAAGGAGCGGGGCAGCGAGCCCGCAGCCTCCACCCTGCAGGCTTCAGGCATGCCCAGTGCCCTGCCCGCCTGTCCCAGCTCAGGCCCCAGAGGAAAATGGGACGGGCACGAAGTCGGGGTTTTCCTTTCCTTTGCACTCCTCGCAGAAAAGGGGGGGAGGCTTCAAAAGGCCCAAAGACTTGCCCCAGACTGCGGGGCGAGCGACAGCCTGGCTGCATCTTTACCCCACAGTGCTGTAGCTGGCTCAGGGGCATCCCCGTCCCCCCCCACCCAGTCCCAGTCCCAGGGACCCCTGTCGTTGACTGAGAATTTGGGCTCTTTAGGACGAGTGCTACAACTACATCCGTGTCCTTGTTCCTTGGGACTCGCAGACGCTTCTTGCCTGTGGGACGAACTCATTCAGCCCAGTGTGCCGCAGCTATGGGGTATGGAGGAGTGGGCGGGGTCAGGACGGATGTCAGTTTGATGGGGGAAGGACCAGGGCCTGGGGGTGGAGAGCAGCAGTGCCCGGGCTGCAGGGGCTCCAGAGGACTCTGGATGGGGGCACGGAGACATGAGGAAGCGGGCTATGGAGCCAAACTCCAAGACCCCGAGGGTTCCAGGAACTTGCTCCCTCTGCCTCCAGATAACTTCGCTGCAGCAGGAGGGTGAGGAGCTGAGTGGGCAGGCTCGGTGCCCGTTTGATGCCACCCAGTCCAACGTGGCCATCTTTGCAGGTGCGCACTCGGGCATGTGGCTGGAGGGAGCACCCTCTTCCAACTTGGTCTTTCCCTCAGGCCCCCAAGTGGAGGGCGGAGGTGGGGGCGGGGGCCAGGCCTCGGTAGGAGGGGCGAGGTACAGATCCCTGAGCCCTGGCCTGAGCCCTCCCCCGCCCTCCAGAGGGCAGCCTGTACTCAGCCACAGCCGCAGATTTCCAGGCCAGTGATGCTGTTGTTTACAGAAGCCTGGGGTCTCAGCCCCCACTCCGCTCCGCCAAGTACGACTCCAAGTGGCTCCGAGGTCAGGGCGGGCCTGGGGGAGGGGGACTGTTCTTGGGGAGAAGGTTCAGATAGTGTGCCGGGGGTGCGCTGTGCGAGGGGGAGAGACAAAGTGGAAGCGGGGTGGGGGACCCCTGAGCAGCCGCGGGTCCTCCCCCATAGCCTCACCTGTCGCTCCCCACCGCAGAGCCGCACTTTGTGCACGCCTTGGAGCACGGAGAACATGTCTACTTCTTCTTCCGAGAGGTCTCTGTGGAGGACTCCCGGCTGGGCAGGGTGAGCTCGTGGGCACCGGCGAGAGGATCTCGGGCTTCTGTTGGTCCTGGAGGAGCCAGTCTGAGTCAGGGGAGACCTCTCGACCCTAATCTGCACACCAGAATGCCTTGGGCTCTGAGCCCCCCAGTGGGCCTAGCCTCCAGGCCTCTGCCCCCACATCCTGCGGGCCCCCCCGCCCCCGTGCTGACCCGGCACCCCATGCCCTTCATGTGCTGTGATCCTAACGTGTGTCTCCCGTGCCCTGAAGCACCACGTCCCTCTCACCCAGCCGGCTCTCGTCCCTTCTCCTCCCTCAGGTGCAGTTCTCTCGTGTAGCCCGCGTCTGTAAACGCGACATGGGCGGCTCCCCTCGGGCCCTGGACCGCCACTGGACCTCCTTCCTGAAGCTGCGGCTCAACTGCTCCGTCCCTGGGGACTCCACCTTCTACTTTGATGTCCTACAGGCCTTGACTGGGCCTGTGAACTTGCATGGCCGCTCTGCTCTCTTTGGGGTCTTCACCACCCAGACCAATAGGTGGGTTCTGGGGTGGCCCAATCTGTCCCCGCCTCACTGGCATCCAAACCCCCCTCTCGAAGCCTGATGATGGGGATGGAGAGGGAAGCTCCGAGCAGAGCCAGTTGCGGTCCTGCCCACCTTTGTCCCCCTAGCATGGCATCCAGTGGCCGCCTCGCCTCCTCAGTCTCAGGGAGCCGCGGCTCCTACCTGGGAGAAGCCCTGCAGTCCCTTTAGCACCCACCCCACTTCTTTTCTCACTCCCCCAGCATCCCTGGCTCTGCGGTCTGCGCCTTCTACCTGGATGATATTGAGCGTGGGTTTGAGGGCAAGTTCAAGGAGCAGAGGAGTCTGGATGGGGCCTGGACCCCTGTGTCTGAGGACAGGGTACCCTCACCCAGGTACCCAGCATGGGGCTGGCTTTTGCCAGGGGGGTGGGGGGGAGGTAGAAGCAGTGTCTGCTTCCGAGACGGCACTGTGAGGAGGGGGTCAGGTGTCCAAGGCCCAGGGAGAGGCCCCAGTGGGTTGGCAGTGGGCCTGGAGAGCTGCAGCAGGGAGGGGAGCGGGGCGGGGCGGGAGCAGGGGCAGCCCAGGTCCCCGTGCTGAGCGGCCCCTTGCCGTGTGCCCACCAGGCCGGGCTCCTGTGCAGGAGTAGGTGGAGCGGCCTTGTTCCCCTCCTCTCGAGACCTCCCTGATGATGTCCTGATCTTCATCAAGGCTCACCCACTTCTGGACCCCGCTGTGCCACCTGCCACCCATCAGCCTCTCCTCACTCTCACCAGCAGGTACGGGGCTAAAAGCCGCTGCCCCTGCCCACCAGGTGAAGCATATTGGTGGGAGGAAAAACTCATGAAGCTGGAAGGGAAAGAGCTAAGGAGGGAGCTCTGGGGTCCCGGGGACGGGCACAGGAGCGGGCTCTCCTCCCAGAAGGGCGCCGGCTCCCACTAGGCAGGCTGCCCTGACCTGAGGCCTGTCCCTTCAGGGCCCTCCTGACCCAGGTAGCTGTGGACGGCATGGCTGGTCCCCACAGTAACACCACTGTCCTGTTCCTCGGCTCCAACGACGGGACAGTGCTGAAGGTGCTGCCCCCAGGGGGGCGCTCCGGGCGAGCTGAGCCTGTCTTACTGGAAGAGATTGACGCCTACAGCCCCTCCCGGTGAGGCCTTTGGAGGGCGCAGGGACGGGATGGGAGGTGGCAACATGGGAGAGGTGGGGATGGGTTGGGACCTCCAGCACTGGCCTTTGTGGGACAGCAGCTGTGGCGTGGACAGAGGGGCTCTGTGGGCTGTGCTCAGCTGGCTGTGCCCTGCCCACTTTCTGCTCTTCAGCACACCCAGGGGACAGGCAGCGTCACTTGCTCCTCTGATCCATGGTGGCCTCACCCTAGGTGCGGTGGCAAGCGGGCCGTCCAAACAGCACGACGCATCATAGGGCTGGAGCTGGACACGGAGGGTCACAGGCTCTTTGTGGCCTTTTCTGGCTGTATCGTCCACTTCCCACTCAGCCGCTGCGCCCGGCACGGGGCCTGTCGCAGGTGAGAGGGGTGCGGGGCAAGTTCGCTGGGCCAAGAGGAACGCAGAAGCGGAAGTCCCGGTGTGGCAGGGCGATGAGGGGGGCTGTGGGATGAAGGGGTGCTTCGCCCGTTCTCAAGGTGGGCAGCAACCAGGGTGGAAAGCAGACTGGGGGGAGTGGGATGGAAACGTGGGGCCGGGAGCCTCGTGCGGGTCAGGTGAGCGGAGCGGCAGCAGGATGCATGGGACTGGGGTGGAGAGGGTCCCAGCCTCGCGTGACTGTTTTCCCAGGAGCTGTCTGGCTTCTCAGGACCCCTACTGTGGATGGCATAGCTCCAGAGGCTGCGTGGATGTCAGAGGTGGTGGGTAAGTGAGGGCCTGGCTGGGGGCCGGGGATGAGGCATAGGCCTGCACTGAGCCCCTCCCTCTCCTCCTAGGACCGATGTGGACTGGGTTGGGAGCCAGGAATCCCCGGAGCATGGTGACTGCCAAGGTAACCGCGGTGGCTTTCTGTCTTCCTCCCTTTCTGTCACTCGCACCCGTTCTTCTGGAAGCTGGCCCCGGCCCCCATCTTCACCCCGCCTCTCCTTCTTTGTAGATGGGGCCACCGGGAGTCAGTCTGGCCTGGGGGATTCTGCTTATGGTGAGTCCACCTGTCCCAACTTCTCCCCTTGCTTAGCCCCCACACCACGTGTGCGCCCCCTAGCGGCGGCGGCCCCCCCCAGCACAGAGCTCAGAGCTTGGCACACAGTAGGGTGCCTAATAAATAGTTTTTAATAAACAAATGAAAGACTGTCCTGCATGGTGAGCCCATCCCCACACCGCAAGTTCCAGATTCCTGTTCGAGAGGAGGGGGTGGTAAGGCGGGGGGCGGGGCTTGAGAGCAGGAGCCTCACTGGCTCTGACCTGGTCTTTGTCACCAGTGCTTCTGGGTCCTGGCCCTTCCCCTGAGACCCCCAGTCCCCCCAGTGATGCCCACCCCCGGCCCCAGTCTTCCACTCTTGGAGCTCACACTCAGGGTAAGGGGGCTTCCCGGGAGGGACAGGAGTGAAGCGTGGGGCTGCTGTCCCTGGGGCTTTTTCCGGCTCCTGCCTGATCGGGTTCGGTGCTCACTAACGCCAGTTTGGAGCCTCCCTCCGCAGAGCCGGGCATCCGGCCTGCTGCTGCACCGGCAGTGTGGCAACTGCTCATGGCATGGCTACAGGGGCCAGAACTGGGTTGGGGACTCCCAGGCCCAGGCGGGTGGTGCGACGGGCTGCGTGTGTTGAGGGGGCCCGGGGAGGCGAATCCTGAGGAAGGGTCCGGCTTTGTGGCGTGTACCTGAGCAGCAGCAAATGTTGAGCCTTCGGAACTTGCCAACGCGCCCCCTCTAGGCACTGCCCGGTCCCGCGCACCCCCTACCCGAGGCTGAGCCTCCCTCCTCCTCCCTCTCGGTCGGCAGGCGTGCGCCGGGACCTCCCCCCAGCCTTGGCCTCCCGCTCGGTCCCCATCCCACTCCTCCTGGCCAGTGTGGCCGCGGCCTTCGCCTTGGGCGCCTCGGTCTCTGGCCTCCTGGTCTCCTGTGCTTGTCGCCGCGCCCACCGACGTCGTAGCAAAGACATCGAGACCCCCGGGCTCCCGCGCCCTCTCTCCCTTCGCAGCCTGGCCCGGCTGCACGGCGGGGGCCCAGAGCCGCCGCCGCCGCCCAAGGACGGAGACGCCGCGCCTACGCCGCAGCTCTACACCACCTTCCTGCCTCCTGCCGACGGCGTGCCCTCGCCGGAGCTGGCCTGCCTGCCCACCCCAGAGTCCACGCCCGAGCTGCCCGCCAAGCACCTCCGCGCTGCCGGGGGTCCCTGGGAGTGGAACCAGAACGGGAACAACGCCAAGGAGGGCCCGGGCCGCGCGCGGGGCGGGAACGCGGCGGGCGCCCCCGCGCAGCGCGTGCTGGTGAGGCCGCCGCCGCCCGGCTGCCCCGGGCAGGCGGTGGAGGTCACCACCCTGGAGGAACTGCTGCGCTACCTGCACGGCCCGCAGTCGCCCAGGAAGGGGGCCGAGCCGCCAGCCCCAGCCCCTTTTACCTCGCGGCCGCTCCCGCCGGAGCCTGCGCCCACCCCGGCGCTATTTGCAGACCCCAGCCCCTTACCCCGGGAGTGTGCCCCGCCTCTGAGGCTGGACGTGCCCCCCGAAGGCAAGTGCGCGGCCCCCAGCGCCCGACCCGCGCTCTCCGCCCCCGCTCCCCGCCTGGGGGTTGGGGGCAGCCGGAGGTTGCCCTTCTCCACCCACCGTACGCCACCTGCCCTGCTCACTCGGGTGCCCTCGGGAGGGCCCGCCAGGTACTCTGGGGGTCCCGGGAGGCACCTCCTGTACCTGGGCCGGCCCGAGGGGTACCGAGGCCGCGGCCTGAAGAGGGCGGACATGGAGAAGTCCCCGAAGCCTCCCCTCGGCGGGCCCTCTCACCCGGCCGTCCCTAGTGGCAGCCATTTTAACTTTTAAAGAGAACAGCTCCACGGCCTCAAATGGCACCCTCCAAGGCCGTGGCCGCGGACGCGTCTCCACGGACAGGCCACCTCCTCCTCTCCCGTTCCCCACCCCCAGCGTTCCTGGACTCTGAGAGTCTCCCGGGGTCCCCTGTCCCCTCGGGTTTATTTATTGACTGTCGACTGTCTTCCCCCCTGTCCTCGAGAGAGGAGTGGGAGGTGAGAAGCTCGTCCCCTCGGTGAGCCACAGCATTTCGGGGGGCACCGGCAGACTCCCACTCCCCGCTCCCAAACAGCCAAGCTGCCTTAACTCGCCCCTCTGGGCTTCCTCCACAGACTGGGCGGACTGACGGACGGGGCTGGGGCCACGCGCGCGTTGTGTACAGAGTTCTCGGGCCTCCTGGGACTGGGACGTGCCTCCTCCTACTGTGTAGGAGCCTCCGCTTCCCAATACAGCTGTGTCCCCGAGCCGCTGCCTGCCTTCACTCGCGGCGGGGGAGGGAGAGGTCGGCAGGGAGGGAGGGGTGCGGAAGGGAAGGGGCGGGGTCTGCTCGCCCTGGCTCTGGGCGCCTGTGCCCCTGAACCCCGGCCCTCATCTTGGCCTTGAGCGCTCTCCCGAGGGATTGGGGTGGCTGTCGTTCCCTCCGGGGTTAATCAGGAAAGGTCTCTTGAAGGAGGCAACCGAAGAAATGGTGCGTGGAGATGAGCCAGGGCCCGGGAGACCCAGGGGAGCGTTCAGGTGGGGTTGGGGAAGTCAGAGGACGTTTCTGCGTGGAGGTAAGAGGGGCTTTTCACGGCCTGGGATGGGAAGGGGGGGGAGGGAATTTCTGGAGTAAGAAGACGAAGCTGCTGCGTAAGAGATTATCAGGAAGTCTTGCCCTAAAGAGAATTTGGCTGAAAGTTTGACGGGTAGGCTGCAAAAAACGGCCAAAGACCCAGCCCCGCTGGAGGCGAGGTTCTGCAGGAGCGGTTCCCCTGCGCGGAGCGGGAGGGGGTGGTCAAGGCGCATTTCCTCGCACGCATGCGTAGTCTCCCCTCCAGGGTCCTCCCGGCCGCCCTCGAGCCCCGTGCCGGGGATCAGGTGGCGGCGCGCGGCTGTCGTGAGGCTCCTCTCCTCTGGCTGGGGCTGGTGGTAGATACCTGTCTATTACTGCCGGAACCAATGGTGGGGAGGCACAGTGCCTCTTGCCCCGCCCACCACCCTCGCGCTAAGGGCACTTAAGGCCTGGCGCGGGCGGTGGCTGCGTTTGCGGATTTGCAAATCGGGTTTTTTCGTGGGCGCGTGGTCGGAGATCCGCCCAGCTGCAACCCTAAACCATCCTCCCGTTGGCGCCGCCTGCAGGCCGGCCCAGCCCCTTTCTCCGCCAGCTACCCGAGTTGGGAAGCCGCGGAACACAGTTCGGCGAAGCACCCGCAGGCTGTTTCCAGCCCTGCGATCGTGACAGGGCAGAGCTCTGCCCTAAGCCTGAAAAATGAGTTTGAGAGGCTCAAGTACTCTGGCGTGCAGAGGCTTTCTCCAGGAGAGGGCAGGGTGCCTGTGAGAGTGATTCCTCCACGCTTCCCAGCTTCGCTCGGCGACCCATTTCCCCTGGTAGCCTTCACTTCCAGACCCGACCCTCGTGGTTGTCAGCTGTCCTCTCAGTGAACTAAGTTTGGGCATAGAGTTTCGAGTGGTCGTTTCGGTCTATTTTGCTCTCATTGGGTACCTAACTTAAACCGCGACGTGGGGCCGGGCTATTGAGGTGCAGCGGGGTAAGCCTCCGATGGCCATGCGGCCCTGCGGGCATCCCACATCTGATGGCCGGTGTGAGTTCTGGCTGCGAAGGCAGCAGAGGACCGAGTGCCTGGCCCAGACTTGGCTGTTGTGGCCATCTGGGGCGCGACCCAGTGGATGGAAGGTCTCTCACTCTGCTTCTCAAATACATAAATCTGAACAAAACAGAACAGGATGTTTTGGGGCTATTGCTAGTTTCCTAGACAGCAGAAAAGAGTAAGGAAGCAGTGGAGGATTATTCTGGTCACCTGACTTAATTATCCTCTTCAAACACCACGCTACAGTGAGGACAAGGAAAAATTTCAAGGCTGAAGACTTGTCCCCAGTATCACAAATAGAGTAGCTGCCCTGAAGGCGGCTGGTCACAAGCAAAATGGATAAGTGGTCCTCATGTTTAATTTCTTTTTTTTAAAGATTTATTTTATTTATTTGAAAGAGTTACAGAGAGGGGTAGAGACAGAGCTTCCATCCACTGGTTCACTCCCCAGATGGCCGCAACGGCTGGAGCTGTGCCAATCCGAAGCCAGGAGCCAGGAGCTACCTCCGGGTCTCTCACGTGGGTACAGGTGCCCAAGGACTTGAGCCATCTTCTACTGCTTTTCCAGGCCATAGCAGAGAGCTGGATCGGAAGAAGAGCAGCCGGGACTAGAACCGGCACCCATGTGGGATGCCGGCGCTCATATGAGATGCTGGTGCCCCAGGCCAGGAGTTTAACCTACTGCGCCACAACGCCGGCCCCACTTATGTTTAATTTCAGACCTTGGAGAGCAGTAGATGCAATGGAAATTTAATTTGTGTCTTTGCTGGCAACAGCAATTTACAGGTTAAAGTCTTGCTTGTAGATTAGTTGTGGAGGATATTCATTATTTACTTATTTATTTGAAAGGCAGAGTGGTGAAGAGAGAGAATCTTCATCTGCTAGTTCCTTCCCCAAATGCCCTCAGCAGCTGATGCTGGACCAGGCCAAAGCCAGGAGTCAGAACTCCATCCGGGTCTCCCCCGTGGGTGGCAGGAACCCAAGTACTTGGGCCATCATCCACTTTGCAAAGGGCATGATAGCAGGCAGCTGGCCGGGAGGGAGGCGCCAGGAGAGAAACAGCACTCCATATGGGATGCGAGCGTTCCAGGCAGCCACGTATCGTGCTGCCACACGACGGCTGCCCCAAGGAGGGTCGTTGTTAGTACTGATGAGTGTGCTGACTTCTCCAGCCAAGAGGGACGACTCGGTGGAAGCAACCGTGTGGCACTGTCAGCAACAGTTCTTGAACTCTACTTGGTCTGGGGGCTTCAGCTACCCTCAGTTCATTCTGTAAGGAATGGAAAGGACATACGCCAACATGGATTTGTAAAGCACCATATAAACATGTAGGTTTAAATTCAGTGCTTTGTGGAAAATTGTTATTAGCCCAAAATAAAAGACCACTATCAAGTATACAGTTAATTAATACTCACAGAGTACCTCTTTCTGACAGAGAATAGCGAGTAATAAACAAAGAAACCACTGCCAAAAACAGGAATAAACATGACCTCATTTAAGGGATCTGCTGATAGTCATTTTTACAAATCAGAACATTAGCTCAGGCTTTATCTTGAGGAAAACCAGAATTCCTACCAGGAGGATAGACTCATCGTCCTTGGGGATTTCTAAGCTGATTTCTCAGAGGCGTCCTGGGAGGTTGTGGAGAAACCAGGGCCTCAGCAGGCGGAGTCCATCAGCTTGTGCAAGGCCTTGGGGACCTGAGCCACGGAAGGCTCCGCAGTCACAGTGCTTAAAAAGCTGTGCAGCAGCTTGGCTTCTTTGGGGGCGAAGTCACAGGGGCCTGGGCTATTACTGTCTCAGGTTTGTCTCCCGATGCCATCATCACCCCAAGCTTGGGAATGAGTCACTCTTGGCTACTTAATCCGGCAGCTGACCCTGCAGAACTGTTGACTCCTAAGGATTTAAGGTTCCATTTATGAGAGTAAGGCTCGAGAACAAGGGTAAAACAGGAAGCCTATCCATCTACGAGATCACATTTCCCAGGTATACTGGACAGCATCCCAAGAGGAAGTGAGTAACACGCTCAGAATAATGAAGGGCTGTGTATAAAAGGAATGGCAGAGAGCAGTCAGTACACAGAGGCTACTCAGTTTTAGGCATGAAAAGGCAAAGGGAGGTGGTGTGACTGGGGCCTGGAGGGAGACATGGCCTTGAGAGGAGTGACTGAATCAAGGGATGAAACTAGGCTGACGCGACCTTGAGGGAGGGAGCCTGGGAAGGCGATACATGAATTTCAGCCTTTTCTCTCCCCCAGTCTCCCACTAGGGCTCCTTATTGGCTGACCGGAAGCCAAAGCAGGAAAAGGCAGAGAGGCAGAGAGAGAGAGAGAGGGAGATGTCTTCCATCCACTGGTTTACTCCTTAAATGGCTACAACAGCCGGAAAGCTGAGCCAATCCAAATCCAGGAGCCAGGAGCTTCTTCTGGGCTTCCCATGAGGGTGCAGGGGCCCAAGCACTCGGGCCATCTTCTAGTTCCTTCTCAGACACATTAGCAGGGAGCTGGATCAGAAGTGGAGCAGCCGGGACTCACACTGGCGCCTGTATGGGATGCTGACACTGCAGGCAGCAGCCTTACCCGCTACGCCATAGCGCTGGCCCCCAAACATCATCTTCATTGCTACATCAAACACCCACTCTTCACCAGAATTTTAAAGATTTATTTATTTGAAGGCAGGGTGACAAAGTGAGAGGGGGGGACATGGACACACAATCTTCCATCCACTGGTTCACTTCCCCATGTGCCTGCGACAGCAGGGCTAGCTGGGTCAGTCTGCAGCCAGGAGATACAGACTCCATCTGGGTGTCCAATAAGTGGCAGGGATCCAAGTGCCTGGGCCACCATGTGTTTGCTCCCAGGAGGCATTAGCAGGAAGCTGGATTGGAAGCAGGAGAACCAGGGCTGGACCCCAGGCGCTCAGGTGTTGGATGCAGAAGTCCCAAGTGGCAGATTAACCTGCTGTGCCAAAATGCCTCCCCCTGCCAGGACCTTAATTCACTAACACCACAGGTTCTTAGCTTCTCAAAGCTCTTCAAGTTCCCTCTGTTTTTCCCTCAGCACAGCAAAGGCTGCATTTATGAGGGTCTTCAGAAAGTGTGCAGAAAATGCATATTATGAAAAAACTGAGTAATTTCAAAAAATTTTGCAACAAAATAAGCTTTAATCCATTTTCTAGGAACTTTCTGAAGTACCCTGGGATTGACTTGGACAGCTTGCCTGGAGGTTCCGGCTTTGGACATGGATTATGGATTATATGCTTTTATGTCCCCCCCCCCCTTTTTTTTTTTAGAAAGATATCCTTATTGCCAACAGGGCAGCTTTTAAGGGAACTAACTATATACTAGGTGAGGGCAACCATCCAGCTGGCCAAGCCGGTCAGTTCATCCCTGGCTACCGATAGAGACTGCTACAACTGCTCCTATTTGCTTAACAAATGTGTGCTGAATCCCGACAGTCATAGCAGCAAGCACCTTCATTAGGAGCAGCTGAGAAGGGAGTGGGAGCTGACCAAATCTCTTTGCAGCCTCCTGGGCCCATGTGCTAACCGCTGCGTCTCAGTGACTTTACTCCCACAGGCACAGAATCCTTTCCTTCAGCTACTGATCTCCTGTGGTTTCTAGGGGAGGGAAGGAAATGTACATTTTTTAAAACAAGATTTATTTATTTATTTGATGAAGTTACACACAGAAAGAGAAGGAGAGGCAGAGAGGGAGAGAGGTCTTCCATCTGCTGGTTCACTCCCCAAATGGCCACAACGGCTGTAGCTGTGCTGATCTGACGCCAGGAGCCTGGAGCCTCAGAGTTGGCTCCGGAAATGTACCTTTAACAGGCCAGTCAAAAGTTCTCTGCAGGGACCGGTGTGGCACAGGTTAAGCTGCTGTCTGCAACATGCCAGCATGGCATGAGCAGTGGTTCAAGTCCTGGCTGCTCCATTTCAGATCCTGTTCCCTGCTAATGTGCCTGGGAAAGCAGCAGGAGATGGCCCAAGTGCTTGAGCCGCAGCCACCCATGTGGGAGAGACCTGATGGAGGTCCTGGCTCCCGGCTTCAGCCTGGCCCAGCCCCAGCCACTGTAGCCATATGGAGAGTGAACCAGAAGACACAAGATCTCTGCATCTCTCCCTCTAACTCTGCCTTTCAAATAAATATTTTTTTAAATCAGTGATTAAAAAAATTATTTAATCTACTGCATCACAACACTGACGCCTAAAATAAATCTTAAAAAAAAAAAAAAAGTTCTGTTCTAAGGACAGGTGGTGTGGTGGAGCAGGTTAACTCACCAGCTGGGACTCCCACATTCCTATCACAGCACTAGTTTTGAGTCTTGGCTTCTGTTTTGAGTTTCTGCCTCTGATCCAGCTTCCTGCTAATACACCTGAGAGGCAGTGGATGATGGCTCAAGTACTTAGGTCTGGAACCCATGTGGGAGACCTGGAGGAGATCCTGGTTCCTGGCTCCTAGCTGTTGTGAACATCTGGGGAGTGAACCAGTGGGTGGAAGATCTCTTGCTCTCATGGCCGGCGCTGCGGCTCACTAGGCTAATCCTCTGCCTGAGGCGCCGGCACACCGGGTTCCAGTCCCGATCGGGGCACTGGATTCTGTCCCGGTTGCCCCTCTTCCAGTCCAGTTCTCTGCTGTGGCCCGGGAGTACAGTGGAGGATGGCCCAAGTACTTGGGCCCTGCACCCTATGGGAGACCCGGAGAAGCTCCTGGCTCCTGGCTTCGGATCAGCGCGGTGCGCCGGCTGCATTGGCCATTGGAGGGTGAACCAAGCAGTAAAGGAAGACCTTTCTCTCTGTCTCTCTCTCTCACTGTCCACTCTGCCTGTCAAAAAAAAAAAAACAAAAAACAAAAACTCTTGCTCTCTTACTCCACCTTTCAAATAAATAAATATTATTTTAGAAAAACATACATTCTTTTTAATTAAAAAAAAGTTTGCTTTTATTTGAAGGACAGAGTTAGAGAGAGTGATTGATCTTCATCCTTTGGGTCACTCCCCAAATGGTTGCAATTGCCGGGGCTGGGCCAGAGTGAGGTGGGAGCCTGGAATTCTATCCATGGGTACGGGGGCCCAAGCACTTGGACCATCTGCTGCTGCTTTCCCAGGTGCATTAGCAGGAAGGTGAACTGGAAGTAGAGCAGCTGGGACTTGAACTTGGACTCATATGGGATGCTGGTGTCGAAGGTGGCCACTTAACCCACTGTGCCACAGTGCTGACCTCCAAAAAACCAACTTATTCTTGATTTTCTTATGATTACAGAATAGATAACATTTTTGCTCAGAAGATGAATAAAAAAATTCAAAGACACCATGAAGTGGTAAGACTCTGACATTTTATTAAGAAACATCTTCATTTTAAATGATAGTACAAAAACTGTAAATATAATATAGATCTGTATAATATATACACACATAAATGCTGACACACATACAAACTTGGTAATCAGAATCAAACATTTTTATCCTAAATAAAAAGGGACATATATTTAAGTTTTCCTAAAAACACTGTACATAAAGCTGTCAGATAATCTGAAAAGTTGAGGACACTGTGAGAATAATCTGTGTGCATCCCTTTCCTGCAACACACACAGACACATGCACACAGACACACGTACAGACACACACATGCATCCACGCACGCACACACACACACACGGCCTGGGCAGACGGAGAACACATGGGGCAAAGCCAGGGAAGAGAGCTGCTCCGTCACTGTTGTGGAAAACGCTGAAACCAACTGGGAAGTACAAGATGCAGGGTGTGACCTAGATTAATCCTCAGAAACAAACCAAGTCTGAATAAAGGAAAAGTACATGGTAGTGAAGGGGGAGTGGAAGGAGAAAGGACAAGGCCCATAGATTTGAAATGATCTACTAATTAAATCGAGTGCCTGGGAAAGTCTCAGCAGATAGAAACAATGGGGTCACAGAAGCAGAAGTATCTGTCTGCTGGCGTGGAGGGTGGAGGGGAGATGGAGATAGGTAATCACAGTTTCCCATCATTAACAAACTCTAGAATCTAGGAATGTCACTCTACCCGCTAGTTCTAGGGGAAGTTAAAACAAACAAACAAAAAGTTTGGAAAAGGCAGCATGAGAAGCTCAAAGTTATTTAATTCTAATTCATATCCTCGCTCTGGCCTCTTGTTAAATAAGCTGGTGCAGGAAACAAGGCACTAACTCGGAAGGGGGACATACTCATGCCCAAGCAGAGCTTGGTAAGAGCCTAGAACAGTCAGGCAGCCTTGGCCCGTATTCCATTCTCACTCTCCTTTCGTAGCCGCCCAGGGTGGGTCTGCACGAGTAGAGAACGGACAAGAAGGGATTCTCTGATAAATTAACAAAAACGGATTCCCATTCAACATTAAACTTCTAGGAAGAGTCACTATTTGCCTCAAATCCCCTGGCCCTGCAGGCCTAGACTGCTGGGGGAGCTCTCCCACAGGAGCTCTCAAGAGACGTGGGAGCTAGGAAAGCGGACGTAGAGGACGTCCCTGACCTGGAGGTTCCTTCCTGTCAGAGGCGCAGGACACTGCCCAAGGGCAGGTCAGAAGCGCTCCCACAGGCGAGGAGCCCCCACTGTGCACAGGAGCGCCACCTGCACCCCTGACACAGCTCGGAACCTGTCGGCACCCGTGCTGTCTTCGCAGGATATGCTCAGCACACCCCTGACAGCCAGGACGGCTCTCAGAGCCTGATTCTTGGGGGTTCTCCTTACTGCCTGTTCAGGGAAGGCCTAAAGTAATGCTTTTTGTTCCTCAGCCCATTCAGCGAGTACAATCTTTACATGTTCAATACAATAAAAATATTTCCAGGTTACACCAGGTATTTTATAGAGTTGAACCTCAACTAAGCAAAGAAAAACTGAAAATCCCTATGTATTTACAAACCTAGATACTAACGTATACCCAACAAAGGGGTATAAAACCTGCCACAACCCTACAATATTCAACTTCAATTACAGAGCCCTCTGATAAATTCATTTGTTTTACATCAATATAAAGAAAAACAGTAATTCCGTATGCCATAGATTTCTAACATTACTATACAGACACAAAAATTTTACTAATGCAATGTTAAGGCTGAAGAAAAATGCAAAGTAAAAAATAACCCAATGCTTATTTGACAGAGAAAAAGAACAAGGTACTAAGTTCAAAACACAGAAAATCTAAATCAAGTTGTCCCATATTTCAATTAAGAGACCTCAACTCTGGTATTATAATTGAGAGATCCCAGAGAGGTAGTGATGGGAAGGGAATGCTCATGTTATACATTTATTTATTTATAATTTATTTCCCTGAAGCTAGGAATAAGAACAGAAGCATAAAAAATTCTTTATCTTTTTTTGGGGGGGAAGGCTTAAGAATAAAATGCAAATAACAGGCACTAAAATTCCTGACATTAATACTGATATTGCTAAAGCAACTTTTTTTTTTTTTTTTTTTTAAGATTTATTTATTTGAAAGGCAGAGTCACAGAGAGGCACAGGCAGAGAGAGAGAGAGAGAGAGAGAGGTCTTCCATCCACTGGTTCACTCCCTAGATGGCTGGAATGGCTGGAGCTGCGCCAACCTGAAGCCAGGAGCTTCTTCTGGGTCTCCCATGCGGGTGCAGGGGCCCAAGCACTTGGGCCATCTTCTACTGCTTTCCCAGGCCATAGCAGAAAGCTGGATCGGAAGTGGAGCAGCTGGGACTAGAACCGGCGCCTATATGGGATGCCAGCACTGCAGGCAGGCTGCTTTACCCGCTACGCCACACTGCCGATCCCTAAAGCAACTCTAAAGTAGACAAAGCCCCAAGTCTCCTGCTCAAGGACCAACCTGTTACTTAATTCCTATAATCCAACCTTGCCAATAAACCACTTAGAATCCCCTAACCCAGAAGATTTAAGCAATATGTTTCCAACTTCCATGAATGATTCAGAAACAGCTGCAATAAAATGGTACTGCCACTAATACATTCAATATTCAACTTCCAACCACTTCAAGGCAGCCTGACCTACCATTCTCTCCATGGCAAATACAACAGATTAGATCCTAGTTCCCTTCCCTGGGATACAACCTGCCCCTTGTTAGACATTTCTCCTCTCTCCTTCCCTATTCCAGTGTCCCCCTAACAGACCCCTATACCAGAGAACCTATCATCAAAAGTGACTTGGTCTATATTAGAGATACCAGTGGGGCAGAGAATGATTGCTTTACAGAAAGAGAATAAGAATGACCTAAACAGGTTTCCAAAAGGGTAGGGAGTCTGAAGGCTCAGAGAGGAATGGTGGATGGACATTCCTGCCCTCCACCTGTAGCTACCCCAGACAGTGAGGTGGCTGGGCCTGGGTATCTTCTGCAATCAATCTCCACTTCCGTAACAGGGAAAAAAGGAACTAAAGTCAACATATGCACCACAACCATAAACAAATGGTATCTTAGGCTAAGGCTCCAAAACAGCCACATATATCACAACCGGACAGCACCAGTCCCCAGAGAGACTCACAAAAAAGAAAACACTGAATACAGGAAGGAGACGGTTTGGCAGCAGACACGAGTTCATCCTCACCCTCACCTGGGCTCTCAGCACTCAGGATGTCAGGTCAGCTGGGAAGCGCTGAGGACTCAGATCTGAGGAGAAAGCCTAGCTGAGGTGGCCGACAGCCAAAATTAAATCCAAAACTGGTATTTTTTGCCTATAAATTTCTAATAGTCAATTCTGTTTGTTAAATTTTGTTTCAGTAATTAATTATGTTTTCAGTCTATTTAGAACCCAAAATGATTCTGCACCTCTGGAACACTGCAGTAAATCACTTCACTAATCAAGGTAAATAGAAGCATGTTAACTGTCAAGTTTTTTTTCCCCAAATTAAAAATCCATGTTTTCCCCATAATTGCTAATTAAGAAAACCATATTCTAAACAGTCACTCAAATGTTTACTTGGCACATTTCTCTCTGGTTTCTTTTTCTAGCTTTCAACAAAGGAAGCAAACCCGTTTAGAATGATGAGGACCCAATTTCAAAGGCAATAGCCCCTGTCATGTAACCTTTCCACAACCTCTCTCTATCTGTATGCCCGTTCTTAGAAAACACTCCATGTTTTCTAATGAAATGTTTTCCAAAAGTCTCTGGGCAAAGTGAGCAGGCATAGTGAGAGAGAAAGGATGGAGGTAGACAAAGTGGCCAGAATCTGGTTCCCTACTTTATGGCACTGATAATTCTTATTCCCTTTGTCAACATACAGTGAGCACCCATACAGCACAAAGCTCTGTGTGAGGCCCAAGGTTAAAGACAGGGAGCAATTTACTCATCCTGAATCAAATAGAAACAAAACTACCCAACATCATTAGTGTTCATCCCCGACTCTGGCCCCCCACCCAGTCACCCTTTGCACATTAAGAGAACACTGGAGTAGTAAAAGGATGTCAGCTCCACAGAAAAGCACACATATGTCCCGAATGACACTGAGACAAAGGTTTATAAAATCCAAGAGTCTGAGCTTGGTATTACATAAATACATGTTTGGAATCAAGTTGTTCTGACAACAGACTACCCTCCTGATTGTGAATTTACAAAATCCAGTCAGAGCAAAGTTTGTATCTAAAGGTCGGAGTTTCAAAGTCCAGCAGGCCTTGTTTTGGCCACTTTCCAGCACTGTGGAAAACACAGCCTGCAGGACTGGGTTTATATACACTTCTCCCACATAAACAAGTGTTCTCTCCTCTAGGAGTTTTTTGTTTTGTTTTAATTTTTGACAGGCAGAGTGGACAGTGAGAGAGAGAGACAGAGAGAAAGGTCTTCCTTTACCATTGGTTCACCCTCCAATGGCTGCTGTGGCCGGAGCGCTGCAGCCGGCGCACCGCGCTGATCCGATGGCAGGAGCCAGGTGCTTATCCTGGTCTCCCATGGGGTGCAGGGCCCAAGCACTTGGGCCATCCTCCACTGCACTCCCTGGCCACAGCAGAGAGCTGTCCTGGAAGAGGGCAACCGGGACTAGAACCCGGTGTGCCGGCGCTGCAAGGCGGAGGATTAGCCCAGTGAACCGTGGCGCTGGCCCTCTCCTCTAGTTCTTAAAAACTCTCTTTCAGTGTCTTAAAGTGGCATCTGAGCAATGGATACACATAGACACACATTTTTCAGAAAATCACAAATCTCTTTTCAATGAGAATAACTAGGAGTGCCTGCTCCTTTGGAAGTGGAATATATTTCTTTTCTCTCACCCAAAACTTCCTTTTAATCTCCTTCCCCAGTAGACACACATCATAAATCTCTAACAGATACACATCATAAATCTAAGGCAAATTTTCAGGTCACTTGATGGTATAGTTATTAAAGGCTCTTGGTAGTATGTATTTAGGAGTGTAAAATCTTTTGAAAGCGAGTTCTTAAAAAAAAAAAAAAAAAAAGTCTACTGACAGCACCCAGCAGACTTTATGTCTACACTTAAGGTAATAGCGTGTGCTAAGAATGTGGTCCTTATTCACTTGGTCCCTCCGAAGAAGTGTTTCCTAAATATGGCTTTAATTTTCCAGTTGCATAGAGAGCCTTCCTGAGCTCAAGCATTGTACCCTGCTATTGTTTTCTTCTTAAGGATGTTCTTAATTTTTATACATTTGTCCTCTGTATTTTCTTTTTTAAAAATGTAGTAAGATGAACACAGGTGCGAGTTGTGGCATTTGCATGTTAAGATGAAACCGCTTCCAAGGAAGCTCCCGTGTGGGACTCTGTGGTCTTTCCTGACCCAGTCACTTCTGCTTCTCTTTCTTCTCCCTCCCCTTCTGTGACTACTACAGCATCTACCTCAGCCACCTCTTCGACCAGGGTGAAATCAACTCCATTGGGCTGCTGTCGAGCCATAGCCTCCAGCTTAAGACGGTACCGTTCTGCCTCCTGCTCTTTCTTCAGGAGCTGGTGTCGGTATTCCTGGGCTCTTCGATTGGCCTCCTGGAGTTGCTGCTGCAGTAGCTCTCTTTCGCTGCCTTCCTATAAAAGTACATCATGCCATCACTTAAGAATTCCTGACCACGGGTTATCCAGAGAGTAGACAAAAGAATGAAGAAGGGTTAAAGCCTTAGTAGATTTCGTTTTGAATCTTTCCTTTTGCCTCTCTCCAACACTGATTAAAATATTACCTTTCTTTCTTCCACACTGTGTGTCATCTCTTCTATCCTTGGTTTCTTTGTAACTGGCAACTTCTCTGCTTCTTCTTCCTCTTCCTCTTCAATTACAGTCTCTTCTGCAACCTGACCAGCAGGTACAGTTAGAACTACAAGACAAAGGACACCATCAGAGGTGATGAGTATACAGTAAAGCCAAGAGGTTTTGTTTGCTTTTAACTAGAAAATAACAAATATATTCTCTAATACATTGTTTTTAAAGTCTGTATTTTAGGATCAAGGTAAGGCATGGCCCTACTGACAGAAACAGAAAAGATTAAAGAGGCAGTAAGATGGGTCTGAAAGGAAGGATACAGATTCATAGGTTCAGAAGGCATGCAGCTAAGTCCCAGTACTGACGCTCATACAGACGGGGGTACTTAGAAGTATGTGGATAAGTGGAATTAAAAGACATTTATTTTGGTACAACAATTCCCAACTTGACTCTCACTGGGATTAAACATGACAATAGGTCTGATCTGATTTCATCATCATTTAAAAAAAATCATCTATTATTTTTCACTTTATGTTTCTGTGTGGGAGCAAACTGTTGAAATCCTTACTTAATGTATACTAAGCTGATCTTCTGTATATTAAGATAATCGAAAATGAATCTTGATGTGAATGGAAGGGGAGAGGGAGTGGGAAAGGGGAGGGTTGTGGGTGGGAGGGACGGTATGGGGGGGAAGCCATTGTAATCCATAAGTCGTACTTTGGAAATTTATATTCATTAAATAAAAGTTAAAAAAAAAAAAGTTGGTAGGGAAATTGAATTGAGAAAAATCATGTGAATTTTCATCAACTTTTTGAAGCCCCCTCATACATAGAATGAATGTAAACTGGAAAAGTCTCAGTAAAGTTGGAGGACTGTGTCAACCTCAGCTTCCTGGTTGTGATACTGTAATATAGTTATCTAAGATGATACCATTGGGGAACTGGATACTTGAATAGGAAATTTCTTTACTATTTCTCAGATCTGTTCATAAATTTATAATTACTCCAAGTCAAAAGTTAAAAATTTTATTTAGGGGCGGAAACTGTAGCATAGCAGGTAAAGCCACCGCCTCTGGTGCTGACATCCTACAAGGGCATCAGTTCAAGTCCCAGCTGCTCTACTTCCAATCCAGCTCCCAACTAATATACCTGGAAAAGCAGTGGAAGATGGCCCAAGTGCCTGGGCTCCTGCACCCAGGCGGGAGACCAGGAAGAAGCTCCAGGTTCCTGGCTACAGATTGGCCCAGTTCCAGTTGTTGGGGCTATTTATGGAGTGAACCAGCATTTGGAAGATGTCTCTCTCCTCTCTAACTCTGCCTTTCAAATAAATCAATAAATCTTCAACAAAGATTATATCTAAAAGATGCAAAATTACTTATAAAGGATGTCTTACAACTTTTTTATAAATTACTTAAAAAAATATTTATTTATTTGAAAGGCAGAGAGTTATAGAGAGGCAGAGGCAGAGAGTCAGAGAGAGGTCCTCCATCTGCTGGTTTACTCCCCAAATGGCCACAACAGCCAGAGGTAGGCCGATCTAAAGCCAGGAGCCAGGAGCTTCTTTCAGGTCTCTGATGCGGGTGCAGGGGCCCAAGGACTTGGGCCATCTTCTGTTGTTTTTCCAGGCCACAGCAGAGAGCTGGATCAGAAGAGAAGATGCTGGGACTAGAACCAGTGTCCATATGGGATGCCAGCACTGCAGGTAGTGGCTTTACCCACTAGGCCACAGCGCTGGCCCTGTCTTAAGACTTTTTTTTTTTAAGATTTTATTTATTTATCTGAAAGGTAGAGTTATAGACAGTGAGAGGGAGAGACAGAGAGAAAGGTCTTCCGTCTGTTGGTTCACTCTCCAAATGGCCGCAACAGCCGGAGCTGTGCCGATCCGAAGCCAAGAGCCAGGAGCTTCTTCCGGTCACCCACAAGGGTACAGGGGCCCAAGGACTTGGGCTATCTTCTACTGCTTTCCCAGGCCATAACAGAGAGCTGGATTGGAAGAGAAGCAGCTGGGACTAGAACCGGAGCCCATATGGGATGCCGGCGCTACAGGTGGAGGATTAACCTACTGTGCCACCGCGCTGGCCCCGTCTTAAGACTTTTTAAAACAAAATATTTACTTAGTTATTTGCTTTGGCTGATTTAAAAATTAGCCTGTATTCCTTGATATACATCAATAGATGGCAATGGAAAACAGCTTAGTTAATATGTTGTTCATGAAAATGGGTGTGTAGGGGCTGGCACTGTGACATAGGGGGTAAAGTCGCGCTGCCAGCAGTGCCAACATCCCATATGGGTGCCGGTTCAAGTTCCAGCTGCTCCACTTCCGATCCAGCTCTCTGCTATGGCCTGGGAAAGCATAGAAGATGGCCCAAGTCCTTGGCCCCTGCACCTGTGTGGGAGACCTGGAGGAAGCTCCTGATTCCTGGCTTTGGATTGGCCCAGCTCCAGCTGTTGTGGCCATCTGGGGAGTGAGCCAGCAGATGGAAGACCTCTCTCTCTCTCTGCCTCTGCTTCTCTGTAACTCTGCCTTTCAAATAAAAAAAAAACAAGTCTTTAAAAAAAAGAAAATGGGTGTTAAGTTTGGATTTAAAATTTCCTGCCAGGGGTCAGTGTTGTGGTGTAATGGGTACAGCTGCCATGCTAGAATCCATATGGGTGCCTGTTCATGTCCTCACTGCTCCACTTCCAATCCAGCTCCCTGCTTGTGGCCTGGGAAAAGCAGGCAAATATGATCCAAGGGCTTGGGCCCCTGCCACCCACATGGGAGACTCTGATGAAGCTCCCGGCTTCTGGATTCCTCCTGGCCCAATGCTGGCTATTGTAGCCGTCTGGGGAGTGAACCAACAAATGGAAGCTCTCTCCCTCTCGCTCTGTAACTCTTTTAAATAAAATAAATAAATCTTTAAATAAAATAAAATATCCTGCAGATAATTCACAAAATCTTAGTTTACCTTCTTTAGGTCTGGTTAAACATATTTATAAAACGTAATATAGTTCAATTTAGGTAAAAATCTCAACTTCTTTTTCTCCAAAACAACTTAGTTTTCATTAATTTATCTTTATTGTACAAGCAGTCTCTCACCTACCCAGTGAGTCCTAAAAAATTTAGCATGATAACTATGTTGACAAAACATTAGCCACGGGGTTGGCGCTGTGGCCCAGCTGGTTAACGCCCTGGCCTGAAGCGCCGGCATGCCATATGGGTTCTGGTTCAAGTCCCGGCTGCTCCACTTCAATCCAGCTCCCTGTTAATGACCTGGGAAAGCAGTAGAAGATGGCCTAACTCCTTGGGCTCCTGCACCTGCATGGGAGAACTGAAGAAGCTCCTGGATTCAGAATGGTTCAGGCTCCAGCCGTTGCAGCCATTTGGAGAGTGAACCAGCAGATGGAAGACACCCTCCCACCCCCATCTTTCTCTACCTCTCTCTGTAACTCTTTCAATACATAAAATAAATCTTAAAAAAAAAAAAAAAGAGTATTTCAGTGCAGTATTCATTTGTATCTTTCTTGTTATAAATGAAGTAGGTTGGATATATTTTCACATTTTTGAAGGCCAGCAGTATTTTTTTTTTCTGTAAACTATTGGTTCCCCACATTATTTGTTCTTTTTTCTACCAGATCATTGTTTTTATTTTTTATTTGGGAGAAAGGATCTCCCATCTACTGGTTTACTTCCTAAATAACCACCACAGATAGAGTAGGGTGGGATGAACCCAGTATCCAGGAACTCAATTCAGGTCTCACGTGTGGGAGGCAGGGACCCAATCTCTTGAGCCATCACCATGCTGCTTACCACAGTCTGCACTAATAGAAAGCTGGGAGCCAGGACTTGAACCCAGGCACTCTGATATGAAATGGGAGATAGCCATCCCAACCAGTATTCCTAACTGCTAGACAAAATGCCTGCCACAGATCACCAGGTTTTTTCCTCACAAATTTTACATTTATTAGAGAAATTAGCTTTTGCCAACCTGGTTTCTGTTTTTCTTTCTCAGATCTTTCTTTTTTTTTTTTTTTTTTTTTGGACAGGCAGAATTAGACTGTGAGAGAGAGACAGAGAGAAAGGTCTTCCTTTTTCCATTGGTTCACCCCCTAAATGGCTGCTACAGCCAGTGCGCTGTGCCAATCCAAAGCCAGGAGCCAGGTGCTTCCTCCTGGTCTCCCATCGGGTGCAGGGCCCAAGAACTTGGGCCATCCTCCACTGCCTTCTCGGCCACAGCAGAGAGCTGGAATGGAAGAGGAGCAACGGGGACAGAATCTGGCACCCAAACTGGGACTAGAACCCAGGGTGCTGGCGCCAGCCTCTCAGATAATTTTTGCCCCATGTAGTATCCAGCATTCTCCTGCACCCACATTTGTCTTAATGCCTCATTCTTAGGGGTATGTGGAGTCTCTTCAATCTCTCAAAAATTTTAAGACTATGGGAGACCAGGAGGAAACAGCTGGCTCCTGGCTTTGGATAGGCATAGCTCCAACCGTAGCGGCCATTTGGGGAGTGAACCAGCAGAAGGAAGACCTTTCTGTCTGTCTCTCTCACTGTCTATCTGTCAAATAAATAAATAAATAAAATTTAAAAAAATTTAATGCTAGATATAGAGGCAGAGACAGAAAGAACTCTTCATCAATTGACCAACTCCCCAAATGCCTGCAATGGCACTGGGCTAAGGACAAAGCTGGGAACTGATAACTCAATCCAGGTCTCCCACATGGGTGGCAAGTACCCAGTTACTTTTTTTTTTTTTTTTTTTTAAGATTTATTTATTTGAAAGGCAGATATTCAGAGAGGAGACAACAGAGATCTTCCATCTGCTGGTTCACTCCACAATGGCCACAATGGCCAGGGCTGGGCCAGACCAAAGCCAGGAGCCAGGTCTCCCACATGGATGCAAGGACCCAAGGATTTGAGCCATCTTCTGCTGTCTTCCCAGGAGCTGGACTGTAAGTGAAGAAGCTGGGACTCGAACTGGCGACCATATGGATGCCCAGTAAGACGGTTTCCCAAGGTCTGCATTAGCAGGAAACTGGCTGGAATCAGGAGTTGGAAATAAGCATTAAACCCTGGCACTCTGAAGTGGGATGCTAGTATCTTAACCAGTATCTTGGACTAGCATTGTGGCACAGCAGGTTAAGCTGTTGCTTGTGACAGAGTGCCAGTTCCAGTCCTGGCTGCTTTGCTTCAGATTCAGCTTTTTGCTAATGCGCCTGGGAGGGAGGGAGGCCCAAATAATTGGGTCCCTGTCACCCATTGGGAGACCCAGATGGAGTTCAGGCTCCTGGCTTCAGCCAGGCCTATCCCCTGGCTATTGCAGCCATTTGTGGAATGAACCAGTGAATGACGATCTCTTCTTTATGTTTCTCTCCCTCTCTCTGTTGTTCTGCCTTTCAAATAATAAATACATCTTAAAAAAGAAAGAAAGAAAGAAGTGTCTTAATTAGCAGGCTAAATACCCGCTCTTAAAATATCTTTTAAATTTTTTAAAAATTAATTTGAGGAGCAGAGAGAGACAAATGGAGAGAACCCCTATTCACTGGTTCACTCTCCAAATGCCTGCAATGAACAGGGCTGAGGTGAGGCTGAATCCAGGAGCCAGGAACTCAGTCCAGGTCTCCCACACAGCTGTTAGGTACCAATTATTTGACCCACTACTGCTGCCTCCCAGGGTCTACACCAGCAGGAAGCTGGAGTCAGGAGCCAGAGCTGGACTTTGAACCCAGGCACTATGATAGGGCACATCAGCATCTTAACTAGTATCTTAATTCCTATGCTAAATACTTGCTCCTAAAACATTTTTTAATAAACAGCTGTCTATACAGGGTGACTCACCTTGCTGTCCATCTTGCATAGTTACTATAAACGGCTGGCCAATGCCTGCAGTCGGGATTGCAGTTTGGATATTACCCAGAGGGACTCCATCAGTCACTATGGTGATGACCCTCTGGCCTCCACTCCCCACCACTTGCTGGATTGATGAGTCAACAGAATTTGCCTCCACAATTTCCTCTGAATTGGCTAGAAATGATAAAATAAATTTAAATTTCAGCTTTTTGACAAACAGGAGTATAGCAATTTCAGCCTCCTTGACAATGACAACAGAGAGAAAAATCGAAAACCAGCATTAGATTCAACAGTTCACAAAACCTTCTGTGAACAATGCTAAGTCAGAGGAGAAAAGAAAGTAGGGATTGCATTCGAACAGTATTTTCTAAAATGTCTCCACTGAGATGTTAATAGCTTTCAATAAAGATAGATTCTGTATATAAATACATTTTCAAAATGCCAGTTTATTTCACAGGCTTAAACTTGTTTATTCTGTTGGAAGTACCAGAGACTTCAATAGGCTAATGCGAGGCCAGCACTGTGGTGTAGCAGGTAAAGCCGCCACCTGTGCCGCTGGCATTCCAAATGGGTGATGGCTTGAGTCCCGGCTGCTCCTCTTCTGATCCAGCTCTCTGCTATAGGCCTGGGAAAGCAGTAGAAGATGTCCCTAGTCCTTGGGCTCCTGCACCCACATGGAAGACCTGAAAGAAGCTCCAGGCTCCTGGCTTCGGACTGGCCCATCTCCAGCCATTGCGGCTATTTGAAGAGTAAACCAGTGAATGGAAGATCTTTCTCTCTGTTTTCACCCTTTCTCTGTCTATAACTCTGCCTCTCAAATAAATAAATAAATAAATCATAAAAAAAGTTAGGCTAATGAACATTGTGGTTCTCCAACAGGGTGTAAGATATGCTCTTTCTCCAAGATACTTGATCTTGGAATTCTTTTTTAGGGAGCATCTTAAAAAATCTAAAGAAATCTATGGAACTTAAAATAACTACTGGGGCTGGGTACTGTGATATAGCGGGTAAAGCCACAGCCTGTGGACTGGTTCGAGTCCCAGTTGCTCCAGCTCTCTGCTAATGCGCCTGAGAAAGTAGAAGATGGCCCAAGTCCTTGGGCCCCTGCACCCACATCCACATAGGAGACCTGGAAGAAGCTCCTGGCTTTGGACCAGCCCAGCTCTGGCTGTTGGCGGCCATTTGGGGAGTGACCTAGCAGATAGAAGACCTCTCTCTGTCTCTCTGTAACTCCGCCTTTCAAGTACATAAAAAAAAAATCTTAAAAAAAAAAAACAAACCACACTATAAATTAGAGTAGATCATTTACACAAAAACAAAGGCATTTCATAATGAATTAACAAAATACTGTGTCAATTAGTCAAACCATGGATGTTTGACAGGCAAAAATGGTGGGTGACTCCTCATCTGACAAATCAATAAAATGTGTAATAGCTAACAGGTACTGCCTGCTTATTATGTGCCAGGTACCTCTCTAAGAGCTTTAAATGTATTACACTGACTGAAGATCTTCAGTTTGTTTAGTCAATATTCCAATAAACCAAACACTATTAGGGAAAACAATTCGTGTCATGATGGAGTTTATCTGAAGAGTCAAAGGTAGACTCTGCAATAAGTGAGGTATGGATAACCCATATGAGACACGATTAGGTAGTTCAATGGAAATAAAGTATTCACACTTAGAAACAAAGGTGGTTAAATGGCATAGCTCAAAGGACCTTGACAGATAATCTAATCCAATCACCCATGCCAGAGATGAGGAAACTAAGACCTGAAGAAGCTGAGTGATTTCTCTGAGATCAAAGAGCAAACTGAAACAATAGCACAAGTTTAATCCCTTGCCATGTTGCTCAGTTGTACACATCTGAGGAGAGATCTTTACGATTATTGCCAGTTTGAAAAATAGGACTGGAATTAGAGGAATGTTCTTACCACCCAAATGTCAATGGCAGAAAGAAATCAGAACAATCTGCTTTCATTTATGATGGAGCAGACTGTTAGAGGGTTCCAGAAAGATTTCTGACTACTGAGCCCTACCTATAACTGTCTGTCCCTCTCATGTGGAGCCCTAATCTCTCACACTGCTAGCCCTGGCTAAGTGGATTGAAGCCTTTTGTTTTAAATATCAGAAGGTACTATATAGCATGTATTTGCTCAATTGCACGAAATGCCAAAATAATTTCTAGTAGAAATAAAAGCCAATATGAAATCCACAAGATGTGACTATGAGAAAGGCAGCAATCCCATGTATTTTTTGATACACTAACATATCTAGGTTGCTATTTTATATCACTCAATGATAGCACCAGACAAAACATGACATAGAGTATCTCCAAAAACATCTGCTAATGTAAGACTAAACATTTCCATTTGAAGAAACTGGAGTCAGGGCAAACAAGCTTCAGACTAACTCAGTCATTCCCTGGCATTATGTAGCTGCCTGATAATACCACTTAGTGATTTTCTTTCTGATGCTTGACAACACTACATCTCTTTTTTCCTGCTGCCTCTAATTAACTATAATTCCTTAATATTTCATGCAAATATGCTGGCGATTTTTAAACAAAAGAAGAAATGGTGATTCACCCAGCAGATAGCCCTTACCTACCTGTGGCTCTGTGTGAACTGGAGAGGGGCGCTGATGCTTCAGCAAGAGCTGCAAGAGTGGCCAGCACTGAGGTGGTAGAATTTGAGAGCTGTACTGCTGAGGCATGGGGGTCACCTATTTCAGTAAAAAAGGCAAATGAAGTCCAATGGAGAGAATAAATTAAGGCAAACTAAAAATGGCCTTTTAAATTAAAAAACCTCAGCTTTTCCCTTTCATGTCTTTAATCTGTCCTCTAATCCAAGCTGATGCAAATTATCATACTGTTAAAACTCCTTTAAGGTTTAAATAGTTTTCCTTTAAAATGGATTAAATGAAAATGCTTGGTACGGGGCCACTACATTCCCCTCATTCGATCAGCTCTCTTAGCACTGCCAATGCTGAATATTAGTAGCAAACAGACAACAGTGCCACCCACTCACAAGGCTGGCTGTGCAGAGCTCTAGTTGGCAGTAGGCAGTCGGCTTACGAAGCATGCCTCACCGCACCCAAGCAGTGATGAGGAACCAACGCCCCCTGGGCTTCCCTCATCCCCGGTACCTCTGTTCATCAGTTAGATAAGTGAGAACCACAGGCTTGGCTTCTAGCACAAGGACAGTTAAACACCTGAAGGTCAAAGGGTGGTATCATGGATCAATGCTAAAAACAGCAGTACTTTATGTCATGATGTGTCTTTAAAAAAAAAAAATCTTTGTTCATCATCTTTTCATCTTTTCTTTTTTAGCTATTCTCACAGCTAAGTTCTTTTTTTTTTTTTTTTTTTGACAGGCAGAGTGGACAGTAAGAGAGAGACACAGAGAGAAAGGTCTTCCTTTGCCGTTGTTTCACCCTCCAGTGGCTGCTGTGCCAGTGCGCTGCAGCCGGCGCACCGCGCTGATCCGAAGGCAGGAGCCAGGTGCTTCTCCTGGTCTCCCATGGGGTGCAGGGCCCAAGCACTTGGGCCATCCTCCACTGCACTCCAGGGCCACAGCAGAGGGCTGGACTGGAAGAGGGGCAATCGGGACAGAATCCGGCGCCCCAACCGGGACTAGAACCCCGGGGTGCCGGTGCCGCAGGCGGTGGATTAGCCTAGTGAGCTGCGGCGCCGGCCCTCACAGCTAAGTTCTAAGATGGAAAGACAGAAAGACATTAGGTCAAGCAACAGGCATGTCTAACTATGAACCTCAAGTATTACTCAACAGTTTTTAATAAATTCAACTTTTATAAAATGAATTATATTTCCTTATTATCTTTCATTATAATTTCAGATATAATTATTGTGCTGAGCATAAATTTATTGCCTCTCAGCTCTAAATCCACCCTACTTTGTGATGTATGTACCTTGTGTATGTATGTATCTTGTGATGCTGGAGCGGCCCCTATAAAGATTTCTTACCAGCTGGCATTAGCTTAATCTTTGTCAGTACGGAAGTGGAGGCCGCTCCCTATATTAGCTATTCCTGTATTCTTCAGAATTCTCCTTACCCCTTAGTAGTTAACCCATTGACCTAATTAATAATTCTCCATACATTATACACATTAAGCCTATAAATTACATATGTTAAAAATTTGGCAGCACAGGCCGGCGCCACAGCTCAGTAGGCTAATCCTCTGCCTGTGGTGCCGGCACATCGGGTTCTAGTCCCGGTCGGGGTGCCGGATTCTGTCCCGGCTGCCCTTCTTCCAGGCCAGCTCTCTGCTGTGGCCAGGGAGTGCAGTGGAGGATGGCCTAAGTCCTTGGGCCCTGCACCCCATGGGAGACCAGGATAATCACCTGGCTCCTGCATTCGGATAGGCGTGGTGCGCCGGCTGTAGCGCGCCGGCCGCGGTGGCCATTGGAGGATGAACCAACGGCAAAGGAAGACCTTTCTCTCTGTCTCTCTCACTGTCCACTCTGCCTGTCAAAAATAAAATAAAATAAAAAATAAAAAAAATAAAAACAATTTGGCAGCACACATCCTAACATTGGAATGACAGAGAAGATTAGCATGGGCCCTGCACAAAGATGACACACAAATTTGTGATGAGTTCCATATTGTTTTCATTCTCTAAACAAAAGGTTTCCTGTCCTTAGATTTTTTTTGTCTTATTTAAATCATGATGGTCTGTAACAGTTATAAAAATCAAAAAAGTATATCTTTTTAACAAAAAATTAAGCTTATATAGTTACACTATACAAGTCACTATGTCCTTCTGATTAGACTCTGAATGATATACTTATTTTTTTTAAAAAAAGGAGGTGTTTTTCTTTTCTCTAAATGTTTATTTATTTTCATCTACTTGAAGGCAGAGCAGCAGAAAGAAAAAGAGAGCAAGGGTGAGAGAGACCTTCCATCTTCTGGTTTATTCCCCAAATGCCCACAACAGCCAGAGTTGGGCCTGGCCAAAGCAATGAACCCAGAACTCCATCTGGGTCTCCCACATGGATGGGAAGAACCCAAGCACTTGAGCTATCATCTGCTGCCTCTCAGGAAGCATTAGTGGGAAGCTGGATCAGAAGCAGAGAAACCAGAACACAAACCAGGCACTCCTAGATGGGAAGCAGGTGTCCCAAGCAGCACTTAACCCACTGTGCCACAAAGCCTACCTTTTCTTCTTTTTTTAAATTTATTTTATTCATTTGAAAGGTAGCAAGACACAGAGAGAAAGAGAGACCAGTCAGAGATCTCCCATCTGCTGGTTCACTCCTCTAATACCCACAACAGCTGTGGCTAGGCCAGTCTGAAGCCAGGAGCTAGGAATTCAATCCAGGCTTTCTATGTGGGTGACATGGACCAAATATGTGAGTCATCATCTGCTGCCTCCAAGGGTGCACATTAGCAGGAAGCTGGAACAGGGAGTGGAGCCAGAACATGAAACAGGCAGGATGGAGTTCCAGGCTCCTGGTTTTGGTCTGGCTCAGCTCCAGACATTGTAGCCATTTGGGGAATGAATCAGTGGATGGAAGATCTCTATCAACTAAAATAAATAAATACAATTTTTTAAAAAAAAGATCTATTTATTTGAAAGGCAGAGTTGAGAGAGAATAACTGAGTGAGTGAGTGAGAGAGAGAGGGAAAGAAAGAGATCTTCCATCCATTGGTTAACTCCCCAAATGGTCACAAAGGCCAGAACTGGGCTGATCCAAAGCCAGGAGTCTGTTCTCGGTCTCCCGTGTGGGTGCAGGGGCCCAAGCAGGGAGCTGTATCAGAAGTGGAGCAGTTGGGACTCAAACTGGCGCACATGGGATACTGGCTGGTGCTGCAGGTAGTAGCTTTACCGACTACGCCATAGCACCGGCCCCATAAATACAAATTTTAAAAAAGAATGATAACTGCTTCCTTTCCAGTATAAGATCCAACATAAAGTAAAGTAAAATATATGTGGATGCTGTTTCTGGAAAGGAAAGGCTTTATCAATGATGATTCTTGGGGCCCTCATTGTGGCACAGTGGGTTAAGCTGCCACTTAAGGTGTGGCTCAGTCCTGGCCATTGCAGCCATCAGGGGAGTAAACTAGCAGACGAAAGGTTTCTCTCTGTCTCCCTCCCTCCCTCTGTGATTCTGCCTTTCAAATAAATAAATCTTTTTAAAGAAATGATAATTTCAGAATGTGACTTATAAACGCTTCAGAGGATTTAGTAGGATGAGCCGTGGTAGAATAGACAATCTCAGTGAAAACCAGACCCTGAAAGACGAAGTAACTCACGTTAGGTCATGCAGCATGTGTCAGATCCCAGATTAGAGCCTGATCCATCTTCTGTTTTGTTTTTGTTTTCTTGTTTTTTGTCTTTTTCTTTTGCCCCCCCCCCCCTTTTGTCATCTGATTCTAAAGAAAATGCTTTTGTATGAACCAATGCAAAAATATCTGACTTCAGAATAATCTTATGATTGTGCAGAAATAGGAAATTCATCTTCATAACTTTGTTTTGCCTGATTAAGGTTTAAATTCATATGCTTTCCTAAGTCCCTGCAGTTTACTGATGGCATTGGTGATGACTGATAATCTTGTATTACAAAGAGAAAATTTGAAAGTATACTTTGTAATCTGGATTTTTATACTAAAAATATCCATTAAGATGATAAATATCAGGATGTTTTCTGTTAGTTCTCAAAAATATTATTGGATGATGGGGAACAAGAAGCCCACTCACTATTCCAGAAAAGAAAATCCTTTAACCCAATTAAATAATACACAATTTGAATTTGTCTTACAGCTTTTCTCCTTTCTTTTATTTGCACTGAATAGGTAATTGGGCTAGGCCTTAATCCACTGAGCCACAATGCTGGCCCCAAAAATCATCATTGATAAAGCTTTTTCCTTTCCAAAAATAACAGCATCCATACACATTTTACTTTACTTGATGTTGGATATTTAAAAAAAAAAGATTTCTTTTTTATTTATTTGAAAGGCAGAGCTACAGAGGGAAGAGAGACAGAGAGAGATCTTTCATACATTGGTTCATCCCAAATGACTGCAACGGCCAGGGATAGGCCAGGCTGAAGCCAGGAACACAGAGCTTCTTCTGGGTTTTCCATATGGGTGGGGTGGCTCAAATATTTGGGCCATCTTCCACTGCTTTTCCAGACACATTAACAGGGAGCTAGATTAGAAGTGGAGCAGCTGGGACTCAAACCAGCACCCATATGGGATGCTGGCATTGCAGGTAGAGGCTTAACTCACTACACAATGCTGACCCCCTTGATTTTGGATCTTATACAGAGAAGGAAGCACTTAGCATTCTTTTCTTTCAAAATTTGTATTTGTTATTTTAGTTAAAAGGTAGATTGGTAGGCCAGTTAGCTTAAGGATGCTCTATAGATGGAATTGGTTCATGAGTAAGATAACATGGGGAGTGAGTTCTAAAGTGGGATGATTTAGCAATTTTAGTTTGTGGTTGTCAACAGGAAAGGCAGATTCACAGGGCTCCCAAAAGCTACATGACAAACATGATACTGGCCCACGGAAAACAAGGCAAAGAATCTCTATCCTGAATGTGTTCAACTTTGCTTATCATTCCAGATAAGGTCTGGAGAATTTTCAAAGTCATATTAAAAATCAACTCTAACTACTTTCTCATGTTTGTGAACATAATACTTTATTGACTTCCAAAGGCTCTGGGGTTATAAAAACACTTGCTTTAACCTGTGTGACCTTACAGACTTCAAATCCAAAAGGTTGTAAATGTTCTGATTATATGTGTGTGTGTGTGTGTGTGTTAAGATGTTTATTTTCATCTGCTTGAAAGGCTGAACAATAGAGAAACAGAGAGGCAGAGACAAAGATTTTTCCATCCTCTGGACCAGGACAAAGACAGGAACCCAAAACTACATCTGGTCTCCCACGTGGATGGCAGAGCCCCAAGTACCTGAACCATCGTTTACTGCCTCCCAGCATGCATTAGCAGGAAGCTGGCTCAGCAGCAGAGCAGCCAGGATTCAAACTGGCATTCCAATATGGGATGAGGGTGTCTCAAGTGGTGGCTTAACCCATGGTGCCACAACACCCATCCCTAAGCTAAATTTTTTTTAAAAAAAATATTTATTTATTTGAAAGGCAGAAATACAGAGAAAGGGGAGAGAGAGATCTTCATTTACTGGTTCACACCCCAAATGGCTACAACAGCCAGGGCTGGGCCAGGCTGAAGCCAGAAGCCTCTTCCGGGTCTCTCATGTGAGTGCAGGATCACTGCTTTATCAGGGAGCTGGACTGGAAGTGGAGCAGCCAGGACTTGAACCAGCACCCATACGGGATGCTGGCGCTGCAGGCAGAGGCTTAACTTTCAATACCACAGTGCTAGCCCCTAAGTTAAATTTTTTTTTTAAAGACAAAGTTACAGAGAGAGGTAGAGACATGGACAGAAAGATTTTCCATCTGCTGGCTCACTCCCCAAATGGCTACAACAGCTGGAGCTGTGCTGATCCAAAGTCAGGAGCCAGGAGCTTCTTCCGGGTCTCCCAAGTGGATGCAGGGGCCCAGGGACTTGAGCCATCCTCTATTGCTTTCCCAGGCATATTAGCAAGGATTGGAAGTGGGAAAACTAGAACTCAAACCAGCATCCATATGGGATACTAGCGCTGCAGGCCGGGGCCTTAACCCTCTGGACCACAGTGTGGGCCTCAAGCTAAATTTTTTTAATTGGTCAGCTGAAAGCAAATGATTTTAAATGACTTCCAATAGGCTATAAAATGAAAGTCACTACTGCCCCCTTGTGGACATAACAAGGTCAGCCTTCATTGAGAAGTTTCCTTTTCAATTAATAGCTATTATTGAACTCTCTCTATAAAACAGACTGAAATACAAAATCTCAATCTCAAAACAACCTCATAAAATAAGCATTTCTTTTAAAAAAGACATTTATTATTTGAAAGGCAGAATTATGAGGAAGAGACAGAGGGGAAGATAGAGACAAAGAGAGTGTGCTTCCACCCACTGGTTCACTCCTCAAATGGCTGCAAATGCTTGGGCTGGACCAGGCCAAACCCAGGAGCCTAGAACTCCATACAAACCTCCCACATGGGTGGCAAGGGCCCAAATAACTAGACCATCTTCCACTGCCTTACCTGGTGCCTTAGCAGGGAGCTAGCTGGAAAGTGGAGCAGCCGGGACTCAGACTGGCATAGGGGATGCCAGCGTTGCAGGTAGCAGCTTAATATGCTACACTACATGCTGGCCTTAAGTAGGCATTATTATATCCCAATTTCACAGACAATCAGACAAAGGTTAAAGAAATAGTTTTCCCAAGGTCAAGCAGCTGTTAGTCAATAAACAGTATCCGAGGGCCAGTGTTATGACACAGGTTAAGCCGCTGCTTACAATGCCAGCATCCATATGGGAGTGCTGGTGCAAGGCCTGGCTGGTCCACTTCCAATCCAGCTCTCTGCTAATGAGCCTGCGAAAGCAACAGATGATGGCTCAAGTTCCTGGACCCCTGCACCTGCATGGGAAGACATGGAAGAAGCTCCTGGCACCTGGCTTCGGATTGGCACAGCTCTGGATGTTGTAGCCATCTGGGGAGTGAACCAGCGATGGAAGACCTCTCTCTCTCTGCCTCTCCTTCTCTCTCTGTGTAACTCTTCCAAATAAATAAATAAATCTTAAAAAAAAAAAAACCCTCAAAAGTAAACCTGTTATAGATTTATTGAATTTTGAACCCCACCTGCGATTGCCTTGGTAGGGCTGACCAAATGACTTCACAGGCTTTATCTGTCCTGTGGGCTGGACGTTCTCCACCCCTGCTTTAGATTATGAATACCACACTGAGATACTCTTATATTTTAATTTTAGGGTCAAGAATAACCCTTTAACAGAATAATCTGCAGAATATTTTAACAACCTATTCACTTATAACAAAGTATTCACTTAAAATCTTCTCCCTGGCCGGCGCTGTGGCTCAATAGGCTAATCCTCCACCTTGCGGCGCCGGCACACCGGGTTCTAGTCCTGGTCGGGGTGCCAGATTCTGTCCCGGTTGCCCCTCTTCCAATCCAGCTCTCTGCTCTGGCCCGGGAGTGCAGTGGAGGATGGCGCTGTGGCTCAATAGGCTAATCCTCCACCTTGCGGCGCCAGCACACCGGGTTCTAGTCCTGGTCGGGGTGCCAGATTCTGTCCCGGTTGCCCCTCTTCCAATCCAGCTCTCTGCTCTGGCCCGGGAGTGCAGTGGAGGATGGCCTAAGTCCTTGGGCCCTGCACCCACATGGGAGACCAGGAGAAGCACCTGGCTCCTGGCTTCGGATCAGCACGATGCGCCGGCCGCAGCACGCCGGCCACGGCGGCCATTGGAGGGTGAACCAACAGCAAAAGGAAGACCTTTCTCTCTGTCTCTCTCTCTCTATCCACTCTGTCCAAAAAAAACAAAAAAAAAAAAATCTTCTCCCTGCCCCCAAATAAATGGCTTGGTTTTAAAATCCTGCAGATCTTCTGTTCGGGGACTACTTTAATACAAGAGTAGGTATGAGAGTATCTTTGCATCTCTAGGAAAACCTGGGGGTCTGTTCATTATTAAAAGTGAAAATCAAATGTCATGTTATTGGAACATTACCTGAGGTGGTTTTGGTGTTGTCTGAAGAAACAAGGCTAGCAAGATTAACAACCTCCCCCGATGTGAAGATGAACGGAGCAGCCATAGCCACAGGGTTAGTCACAGGGTTGCCTCTCTCAGGATTAGCATTCACCTGATTCTGCATTGCTTCCTACCAAACAAGGCAGGATATTTCAGTCAGAACACTTATTAGACTTAGTTATACAGTTACTGAACAGCATTAACCTTGCTCTCCCCATGCTCTATCAAGCAGAACTAGTTCCGGCACACAATGTCCCAGGGAGCTCAGTGCCCTCATTAAGATGACTACTGTTTTTTTTTTTTCCCCTCTGACCAGGAAAATAGAGAGGTTAGGTTGCTTTCCCAATCTTGTACCTACTTGAGAAGAGCAAAAGTATACTATTTGCAAAAGCTGCTAGCAATTCACTTAAACTATCTAAATCTTTGTTTTTAAATTCGAAAATGAGGTAATTGACCTCAGTAGTCTTAAAAAGTAATCTCCAGCACTAACACACACTATGATCTCCAATCCGCAAGTCAGTGTGCTGGCAGATCCCTGCAGAGAACCCACAGGGAACATGGTTCTCTAGAGTTTTATTCAACTATTTGTTCCATGAAGAAATTCCTAAGAGAATATATAACAAGCAAGTAAATGAATGCCAGATTTTAAAGTCTAGTTCCACATGCTGCATTTTTTCTCAATTCTGGTGAAAAGATGCTTATCTTACTTTCAGAAGCAGTTTTCTACAAACATGATCACTACTTTAAAAGTCCATTTGTGAAAGGACTCTAAACAAGGAACTGAAAGCTGAGGAGGATAACCAGTCTATAGAAAACTGAATGTCAGGAAAAATAAATAAAAAACTGAAAATGCAGCAGAAATGGTTGTTTTTCATATATATGATTATCCCATGATGAATAATTCCCATTGAAACAGATTATCCAGTCTCTGGATACTGTTAAATTCCTTCTTGAATCTGCCCCTTCTGTCTTCCACTATCACTTCCTTGTGTCAGGCGCTCATTGGCTCTTGCCTGGCTTAATGAAAGTAAAATATGCTTATACAGCACTAAGTGTCTTCTTCCCTAATCTCTATGCCTCACCATAAACAATCATCATTTTTAAACAAATCTAATCTTAGCCTACTATTTAAAAGCTTCTGCTGGGGCCAGCGCCGCGACTCACTAGGCTAATCCTCCGCCTGCGGCGCCGGCACACTGGGTTCTAGACCCGGTCAGGGCGCCGGATTCTGTCCCGGTTGCTCCTCTTCCAGGCCAGCTCTCTGCTGTGGCCCGGGAGTGCAGTGGAGGATGGCCCAAGTGCTTGGGCCCTGCACCCCATGGGAGACCAGGAGAAGCACCTGGCTCCTGCCATTGGATCAGTACAGTGCGCTGGCCACAGCACACCGGCCGCAGCGGCCATTGGAGGGTGAACCAACAGCAAAAGGAAGACCTTTCTCTCTGTCTCTCTCTCTCACTGTCCACTCTGTCTTGTCAACAACAACAAAAAAAGCTTCTGTTGGATCTCCACTGCCCACATAATAATTCACTTCTTTGTATGCCCCCTTAACAACCCTGTTCAGAACTCATCCTTAGCATCTGCCATCCTCAAACTCCGTTTCCTTCACCCATTCCCTAGTAACACAACTTACTATTTCACACTCCTCGTTCTTTCACATCAATCCTTGATAAGCTTTTTCTAGCCTAAGAATGTAATTTTCTCATTTCTCCTTCAAAACTTAGTTCAAACTTTATACATACTTTAATCTTTATTAATGTATCATTTAAAAAAGATTTATTTATTTATTCAAAAGGCAGAGTGGGAAAGGGAGGGAGAGCTCTTCAACACCGGTTCACTACCCAAATGCCTGCAATAGCTGGGGCTCGATCAAGCGGAAACCAGGAACCAAGAACCCCACCTTGTTCTCACACAAGGGTGGCAGGGACTCAAGCACTTGGGCCATCATCCCCTGCTTTCCCAGGTGCATTAGCAGGAAGCTCAATTAGAAGCAGAGCAGCTGGGACTCAAACTGGCACTGATATGGGAGGCTGATATCGCAAGCCATGGCTTAGCCTGATATGCCACAATACTGAACCCTTAAAAACCATTAATTCTCTATCCCCCATACCCCTGTAATACTTGCTAAATTTACCACCTGGTATTGTAATGCCTTATTTCTTGTCTTTACTTTAATAATGCTGTGAACACTCCCCAGGCTGGGCTATGCCCCATCAATCTTTGTACCTTCCATCCTATTGTTCCCTAATATACAAGTGCCAGCTTAAGAAATTAATGGATAAGGGGCTGGTGGTATGGTACAGTGGTTTAAGCTGCTGCTTACAATGCCAGCATCCCATACTGGAGTGCCAGTGCCAATCTCAGCTGCTCTGCTTCAATCCAGTTTCTTACTAATGTATCTGGAAAGTCAGAAGAAGTTATGCCAAGTACTTGCCACCATTTGGGAGACTTCACTGGAGTTCTTAGCTGTTGCTTTCAGCCTGACCCTGGCTGTTGTGGCCATTTGGGGAATGAACCAGTGGATGGAAGATCTCTCTCTCTCTCTCTCTCTCTCTCTTTCTCTCTTTCTCCCTCCCTCCCTCCCTCCCTCCATATGTATATATAAAAAATGGCATCCATATATCTTAAAAAAAAAAAAAAAAAAAAGGGCCGGCGCTATGGCATAGCCGGTTAACACCCTGGCCTGAAGCACCAGCATCCCATATGGGCACTGGTTCGAGTCCTGGCTGCTCCACTTCTTTTTTTTTTTTTTTTTTTTTTTTTTGACAGGCAGAGTGGACAGTGAGAGAGAGAGAGACAGAGAGAAAGGTCTTCCTTTGCCGTTGGTTCACCCTCCAATGGCCGCCATGGCCGGCACGCTGCGGCCGGCGCACCGCGCTGATCCGATGGCAGGAGCCAGGAGCCAGGTGCTTTTCCTGGTCTCCCATGGGGTGCAGGGCCCAAGCACCTGGGCCATCCTCCACTGCACTCCCGGGCCACAGCAGAAGGCTGGACTGGAAGAGGGGCAACCGGGACAGAATCCGGCGCCCTGACCGGGACTAGAACCCGGTGTGCCGGCACCGCTAGGCGGAGGATTAGCCTAGTGAGCCGCGGCGCCGGCCTGGCTGCTCCACTTCTGATCCAGCTCTCTGCTATGGCCTGGGATAGCAGCAGAAGATGGTCCAAGTCCTTGGGCCCCTGCACCCGCGTGGGAGACCTGGAAGAAGCTCCCGGCTCCTGGCTTCAGATCGGCACAGTTTCGGCTGTTGAGGCTAATTGGGGAGTGAACCATCGGATGGAAGACCTTTCTTTCTCTCTCTGCCTCTCCTCTCTCTTTGTAACTATGACTTTCAAGTAAAATAAATAAATCTTTAAAAAAAAAAAAAAGAAATGAATGAATGAAATAATTATAGCTAATTTTTGAGATGACTTCCATATCACTGTCTTACATCAGTTGATATACATTCAGAAAACATAATATGCTTCTGAATATTGCCTCAAGTCAAGTTTAATTAGAAACGGAAATTTTCATGGAGAAAAAAAATTCTAAAGCCAAATGATATTTTTGAACTGCCCATAACATTATTCTTTACTCATCATGAATAATTCAGAGCTTTATAGAATGTTATACTTTTTTGTAAAAAAATACTAATGAGACTGAGTCACAAGATTCAGACACTTTAGAAATCCTACTTTGAAGGGGTTGGTGCTGTGGCAACCACCTCCTGCAGTGCTGGCATCCCATATGGGTATCCGGTTCGTGTCCCGGTTGCTCCTCTTCCAATCCAGCTCTCTGCTATGGCCTGGGAAAGCAATAGAAGAAAGCCCAAGTCCTTGGGCCCCTGTACCCATTGGGTGATCCAGAAGAAGCTCATAGCTTCTGGCTCCTGGCTTCAGATCAGCTCAGCTCTGGCCACTGTGACCATTTGGGGAGTGAATCAGCAGATAGAAGACCTCTCTCTCTGCCTCTGCCTCTGCCTCTCTGTAACTCTGCCTTTCAAATAAATAAATAAATCTTTAAAAGAAAGAAAAAAGAAATACTACTTTGATAAGATAGGGAAAATTCAGTTTTGATTCAATACCTACAAAAATCCTTAGTTTCTTTTTTTTTAATTTTTTTTTATTCTTTTTTTTTTTATTTTTTGACAGGCAGAGTGGATAGTGAGTGAGTGAGAGAGAGAGAGAGAGAGAGACAAAGGTCTTCCTTTGCTGTTGGTTCAACCTCCAATGGCTGCCGCGGCCGGTGTGCTATGGCCAGTGCACCGTGCTGATCTGATAGCAGGAGCCAGGTACTTCTCCTGGTCTCCCATGGGATGCAGGGCCCAAGTACTTGGGCCATCCTCCACTGCACTCCCGGGCCACAGCAGAGAGCAGGCCTGGAAGAGGGGCAACTGGGACAGAATCCGGTGCCCCGACCGGGACTAGAACCTGGTGTGCCGGTGCTGCAAGGTGGAGGATTAGCCTAGTGAGCCACGGCGCTGGCCAAAAATCCTTAGTTTCAATTGAAGTATATTCTGGGGAGTATAAACAGAATCACACCTGGAGGATGACCAAAATCTCAGCATTGTTCTTCTCTAATGCTATGTCAAAGGCAGATTTATCAAATTTGCTGGAAGCATGGACATCTGCTCCATATTTGATGAGTAACTCCACAACATCTCGATGGTGGTGCTCTGTGGCCCAGTGCAAAGCTGTCATCTTCAGCATGTCCTTGGCATTCACATCTGCACCATTCTGTCAAAGAAAAGCAAGTTTTCAACAGAATACTGGTTATCGTAGCACAGGTGCAAGATCCCATCACCAAATACAGAGGATTTCCTTAAAGATTACGCATACTTAAATTCAGACCACATGTAAGAAATATCAAAAGGAAAACACTTCTCAAATTCTCCTGAATGCTGACAGACTAATACTCTCAATGAGAAGGTCTTCTAAGGACATCACTGGGAAATTATAACAGATGGGAGAGGAAGGAGGAAAGAACAGAGACTTTTGTTGCATTTATTAACAGACAGTTGAGTGCCTGAAAAATACAAGCATAAGTGCAGAGAACACCTGTAGAAAAAGAATGAAGAAAAATCAATGTCCACTGAACTTTTAAAAAAAGAAAACAAACTCCTCATAGCCACGTAGAACTCTTAAGAGAGATACAACTCAATGTTATAAACTGTGCTCAACTACATCCTACCCGACCAATTTTCCTTCCATCCATTTAAGAAAGAAAACAGGGAGAGAGATGGGTGTTTCTCTGCTGCTATCCTTGTTTTACCCTAACAAGCAGTTCCACGATGTGTGCATGTCCATCAGCTGCAGCCATGTGCAAGGGGGTCCTGTCCACTTTGGTCCGTGCGTCCCTGCTTACGCCTGCACGAAGGAGCACTTCTGCTGTGGAATAATGACCATACTGGGCTGCGAGGTGGAGGGGTGATGTTCCAAGCTGTGGGAGAATAACACTCATTGAATAGCTGCAGTGTACATAGTCCTAGATCATTCTCAGAGAGACACAGGTGGACAAGACGTGAATTCTATGGCTCCTGTTCCTGGAGAGAGAATCTAGTTAGGCAAACAGGACTGAAGAAATGTTTTACTTTAAAAATTAATATATCAGAACAGAAAAAACCCACCAATCAAATAATTGCAAAGCATAATGGCTTTAAGTCAGGTAGATTTATAGGTAAGATTCCCTAAAATATGATTTAAGTAAGGCTTAGAAGGTGGTTAAAAAAGGGAAGGAGGGGCACAAAAAGAATATTCTGAGTCAGGGAAAGAGAAGGGGTAGACAGGTTCAAAACAATTCTTAAGGGAAGGACAGAGGTACAAATTTAACTGGCTGGAACACAAGTTTGTTGCTACACTAAAGCAGAGCAAAAACATCTAAGAGATGAGGAAGCAACAAATATTTAACAGTGGCCTGTCAACAGGAGTAAGCACATCTGTGTAATCATCTCAAGCTAAATCTTACAAGAATTATTTAGCAGCACTCACTTGGCCAGGAAGCTATTCCTTTCTTTGTGTCATGTTCTTTTTTAAAAAACAAAAAACAACTGTTCATTCTTTTCTTTTCATATTCTCATCCTCTCTGTCTGACTGGATTTAATTTACATTGCTCTTCCCAAGTATATTTATAGAAATGCTAATCTCATGGGTTTCCTTTTCTCCCTTTTTGCAAAGTGCTAAGAACTGCTTGGCCTTTGAAGTTATGAATTAATCACACCAGAACAGAACTCACTCGCTGATCAAATCTGTTAAAATGAGGCAATGCTTCTAAGACCTGTGAATGCTTAGAAAGCCACATGACAACTTGAACCCAGAATTTCTGAAGTTTTCTGGTCTCCTAGTGGTTGTCTAGGCTCATTAAATGGCATCTTTACTGCTTTTTAAGAGTGGTAAAAGGCTGGCGCTGCGGCTCACTAGGCTAATCCTCCACCTTGCGGCACTGGCACACCGGGTTCTAGTCCCGGTCAGGGCGCCGGATTCTGTCCTGGTTGCCCCTCTTCCAGGCCAGCTCTCTGCTGTGGCCCGGGAGTGCAGTGGAGGATGGCCCAAGTCCTTGGGCCCTGCACCCCATGGGAGACCAGGAGAAGTACCTGGCTCCTGCCATTGGATCAGTACAGTGCGCCGGCCGCGGCGGCCATTGGAGGGAGAACCAATGGCAAAGGAAGACCTTTCTCTCTGTCTCTCTCTCTCTCACTGTCCACTCTGCCTGACAAAAAATTAAAAAAAAAAAAAAAAAAGTGGTAAAGGAAACAAAACAGACACAACTATTCCTTATTCACCAGGACATATTAGAGAAAAGAAACAAGGAGCTTATTAGTTTAGAAATGCACTCTTCCTTTACTGATTCTGCTTAATTTCTAGATAATTACAGAAGCCTATAACCCAAGTAGACTCCAGAGAGAATTAAGCCTTTAGAAAATACGCTAAAAAAACATTATAGAAATATATTATACTTTACAATTACCATCTACAGATTCACAGGAGACTCTTTTAATTTGGAAACTAAAAGAAAAAGAAAGCCACTTATTCAGATGAGACCAATAAAACTTTGAAAGGGGTAATAAGGTAGAAAGGAATGAAGAAAAAAGATTCTTTTGTGTTTCATAAGCCCATGACTGGGTTTTCATGCCAGTGTGTGAAATGTGCTTCCCTCGAACTTTGTTACTTTGTTGGCACATTACCCAACTGACATGGGGGGAAGAAAGGAAAATCAATAAAATCGTTTAATCATTAAGAAAAAGATTGGTAAAAGCACATTATCTTAAATAATTCAGAGATCTTTCTGCTAAGCTTACCCAGTCTGTGGTGAATGGGGCACCATTTGCCATTAATGTTCTCACTTCATCATCTTGGCCTTTTCTTGCTGCTTCCAGCAACCTCTTCCCCAAGTCCACCAAAGACATCTTTATGCATGGGAAAAAAGGTTTTCAGATAGCTGTAACTCAAACACAAGGGAAACTGCCTGTAAAACATATTTAGATTTTTTGTACTTGAACATGTAACACAGCTGGAGTTGACTATTTGGTAGGTTACTTCCTTTCCACTTCATCTAACACAATCAGATATTTGGGAAAGTTTCCCCTAAAGGACAGTTCTTTCACTTTCAATTTCCAGAAAACTATTTTGGAAATATGTGCAACATACTATCACCTTTCCAGTTTAGGGAACTGATAAAATAAATTCCATCCCCTTGAAAAGACCCGGAGAAGACTATTACGTTAAGGAACATGGTAAAAAGTAATAAAACATACACCCTACCCTTACAAACAACGAACTACTCTTTTTGGAGGTTTCCAAGTTTCTAGGTGGCAGAATGAAACAAGACAAATCAAGATTTCTAAATCTAAGTCCATCTGTTAATTTTTTTCTTCTGACCATAGGCTGGTGCCATGGTGTAGTAGGCTAAGCCACCACCTGCAGCACCAACATCCCATATGAGCACTGGTTGTGTCTCAGCTACTCCTCCTCCAATCCAGCTCTCTGCTATGGCCTGGGAAAGCAGTAGAAGATGGCCCAAGTGCTTGGGCCTCTGCACCCACATGGGAGACCCAGAAAATAAGCTCCTGGCTCCTGGCTTCTGATCAGCCCAGCTCAGGCCATTGCTGCTTGAAGGAATGAACCAGTGAATGGAAGACCTTTCTCTCTTTCTCCCCCTCTCTTTCTGCAACTCTGCCTCTCAAATAAATAAATAAAACCTAAAACAAAACAAAACAACCTTCTGACCACAGTGTAAATAAATATAAATGATGTTAAAACTTTAAGGAGAGCAAGCTCTTACTGGTTAAAACTAATCTGCTGAAGTCAGCAGAATAAAAAGTGTGCTTCACAGGACATGCATTGTGCAGCAATGGGCTAAGCTGCTGCTTGCAACACCTGCATCTCACATAGAAGTGCCCACCTGGATGGAGTTCCCAGCTCCTGGCTTCAGCCTGGCCTAACCCTGGATGTTTTAACCATTTAGGGAATGAACCAGCAGACAGAAGATCTCTTTTTCAAATAAATCTTTAAAACAAACAAACAAAAACCAGTGTACAGGGCCAGCATCATGGCCCAGTGGGTTAAGCTGTAGTTTGCAATATTGGCATCCCATACTGAAGTGCGAGTGTAAGTCCTGGCTGCTCCACTTCCAATCCAGTCTCCTGCTAATGGACCTGAGAAAGCAGCAGAGGATACCCAAATACTTGGATCCCTATAACACATGTCAGAGACTAGGATGGAGTTCCAGGTTCCTGGCTTCAGCCTGGCTGTTGTCCTCATTTGGGGAGTAAACTAGCAGATGGAATATCTCTTTCTATTGCACTTGCTTTCAAATCAATCTATCCATCCTTAAAAAAAAAGTGTGGTTCATGGATCCCTGGTAGCCCCTCACACCCTTTCAGGGATCCATGAGGTTAAAACTATTTTTCCTGTAATACTAAGATATTATGCTTTTTTAAAAAAATCATGTCAATGTTTGCACTGAAGGCACAAACAGAACAGTGGCTATAACTGTGGTACCTTTGGACAAATCAAACAGTACTAATAGATATTTTTTTTTTTAAAGATTTTATTCAACAGGTAGAGTTACAGACAGTGAAAGAGAGACAGAGAAAGGTTTTCCTTCCATTGGTTCACCCCCCAAATGGCCGCCACGGGCCGGCGCTGCGCCGATCCGAAGCCAGGAGCCAGGTGCTTCTCCTGGTCTCCCATGCGGGTGCAGGGCCCAAGCACTTGGGCCATCCTTCACTGCCCTCCCAGGCCACAGCAGAGAGCTGGACTGGAAGAAGAGCAACCAGGACTAGAACCCAGCGCCCATATAGGATGCGGGCGCTGCAGTGGGAGGATAAACCAACTGAGCCACAGCGCCAGCCCGCAGTACTAATAGATATTGTCTGAGTATTCTTCACTGTCAAGTACTCTCACTGAACAAAAAGCCAATTCTATCAAGAATTTCCTTGGGGCCAGCACTGTGGTGTAGCTCATAAAGCCACCACCTGCAGTGCAGGCATCCCATATGAGCACTGGTTCAAGTCCCAGCTGCCCCACTTCTGATCCAGCTCTCTGCTATGGCCTGGGAAATCAGTAGGAGATGGCCCAAGTCCTTGGGCCCCTGCACCCATGTGGGAAGACCTAGAGGAACCTCCTGGCTCCTGGCTTGGGATCGGCACAGCTCCGGCCATTACAGCCAACTGGGGAGTGAACCAGGGGATCGAAGACCTCTCTCTCTGCCTCTCCTCTCTCTGCGTAACTCTGACTTCCAAATAAAATAAATAAATCTTAAAAAAAAAAAGAATGCCCTTTTGATGAAGCAATAAATTATGTTATTAAATCTCAACACCTGAATACAAGTGTTTAAATGAGGGTCTTGAAAAAGTTCATAGAAATGTAATTAAAAGATGTTTATTTTGTTTTGAAAAAATTTAAATCCAAGCATGCATAAAGTCTTCAAAAAGTTCATGGAAATTTTATATTATGAATATTCTATGCATGGATTTCTTAAAAAAAAAAGATTTATTTGAAAGGCAGAGTTACACAGAGGTAGAGGCAGAGAGAGAGAGAGATCTTCCATCTGCTGGTTCACTTCCCCTCTGGGATTTCAAACATTTTACACAAGGAGCTGGCACTGTGGCATAGTAAGTTAAGCCTTTGCCTGCAATGCCAACATTTCATATGGGTGCTGGTTCCAGTCCTGGCTGCTCCAGTTCTGATCCAGCTTGCTGCTAATGGCCTGGGCAAGCAGCGGAAGATGGCCCAAGTGCTCGGACCCCTGCATCCTAATAAATAAATCTTAGGAAAAAAAAAACTGAAGTGAAAATAGGCCAATGGGTTTTAAGGTAAGAGAGTATAAAAGTTCATTGATAAGGTTTAAGATTTCTCACTACAAGTAACTTTTAAGAAATTACCACTTGTCAAGGTTTTGTGTAGCACCAAAGTATTTCCACAATGATCAGAAAAGCTGTTAAAATACTCTTTTCTTCCCCAAGTACATATTACAATGGATTGAATACAGAAGTTGGTATGAGAATGCAGCTATCTTGTATTCAGACAGAAGTTAAAAAGACTTACAAAAATAAAAACAATGCCATTCTTCTATGTTTTCTAACTTGCTCCTAACTTGATCTAGAGGTCTTCCATCCGCTGGTTCACTCCCCAATTGGCCGCAACGGCCAGAGCTGCGCTGATCTGAAGCCAGGAGCCAGCAGCTACCTCCAGGTGTCCCATGTGGATGCAGGGGCCCAAGGACCTGGGCCATCTACTGCTTTCCCAGGCCACAGCAGAGAGCTGGATCAGAAGAGGAGCAGCCAGGACTATAACCGGCGCCCATATGGGATGCCAGCGCTTCAGGCCAGGCGTTAACCTATTCCACTACAGTGCTGGCCCCTTAAGAATCTAATTTAAAAGAAAAAAAAAAAAAAAGTGTTTTTGAGGGATTATGTGTCATGCTCCCAGTGTCCTATATTAATGGGGACAGAATCCACCAGACAAGAGATGTAGCCCAAAATAACAGAGAACAGTCTAGGCACTTCTGACTTCACACTCCCAGATTGGATGTGCCTCCACTTTCCCTCTATACACAGTGAGGAAACAAAATCTGGTCCAACTTGAGGATGAGTGAAATACAAATCACCCCTTCCCCTACCCAAACACAGAGATTTTCAGTGATTGTGTTTTGACAACCTATGAAGTGCCTGAGCTCTAGAAAATTATCTGCTGTATTATCAGAGAGAAATTAACTTGTTTCTCTAAAAATCTGGGTGGGGCAGTTCTCTCAGCGTCATCAAAGCATGCATGAAAAGAAACACTTAAGAGTATCTCTACTGGAAGGGGCAGAGCAAACGGTATGGTGAAAACATGGCCCCAGATCATCCAACGTACTGCTAAGCTGCTTAAGGTTGTCACAGAACGTCCTTTTAAAGAGAAGTTACAAAGAAAGGGGGCAGGGGGAGACCCTAGAGAGAGGCCCTTTTGGTAAAGAGGAGAGGAACAGGGTGACATCTGGCTCTTGGAAATCAGTGAGACTGGGAGAAACGCAACAAGCATCACCCACGGTCTGACAGTCATTCTTTTTCTCTTTTTGTATTGCACACGTCCCCACCCGGCGGCCAGCTGTACCAAATGGAGGTTCAGCCCTTACTGCTCGTGTTCAGTTTCTGAGCTCACGAATAATCTTCAGTTTATTATTGGGACCAGAGACTTGGAATCCCCCCTCCCCATCAGAAATCTCGCAACTTCTCACACCAGGATCCTTCTGCAAAAGGGGAGGCAGCCACCTGGGGCAAACCCAGCCAGCCCGTGGGGCTGCCCTCGGCCCCGACTCCGCGTCGCCCCCTAGTGGTCACCTTTGTGGCCTCGGTTCCCCTTGGTCCAGCTCCCCAGCCTCAGGTCTTACAGCCACCCCCTCCTTCACCTCCTCCCAGTCCCCTCCCCTTCCTCCCGACAGCATCCCCTTCCTCTCTGTCCCCCTCCCCCCGCTGCCCCCGCTCGGTCTGCACCCAGAAGTTCGGGACTGGGCTGCGCAGCGGTGCGACTTCTCACGGCACTTTCCATTCCAGCCCTGACGCCCCCCCAGAGTCCACGCATCTCTCCTTCCCCCTCACCTCTTCGTCCGGGACGTTGCCGGCTGCGCTTTCGCCGAGCCCGCCAGTTTGGTCCCGTTTCCTTCTCAACTTGACTCCCTGTCAGTGGCAGTTACTTTTTGGCCTTTTCATATATGCATATTTTGGGGGCCTTTACCCCCCCTCCGGGAGAAATGGAAGCAACAAAATGGCGGACCCGGAAGTGAAGGCTCAGCGGCTCTTTCTGGCGGAGGAATCTGTGGAGGGGGATTGACCGCAAAACCTACATTGCCTTTCGAATGGAAATAAGATGTATACCCGAGGCTCATTTCTTATCTAGTAAAGGCCTCTGGAGGTGGTAGAGTATGAATCAGAGGCCTCCTGGGCGGGACTACTTAACGAGGCGGAGGGTTACCGACTGCGCGTGTTACGTGTGGTGTAGTTCCGGCTGGGGACGGCCCCCGAGCTTTTGGCTTTGGCGCCAAGAACCCGGGTCCTGCCTCGCTAGTGGGGTTTGCGTCCAAGTTTTAGCTGCTGCTTCCCGAGGCTAGCGTTAGGGTTGGCGGAAAAACTTACTGCCTAGTCCCAACCTCGGGTGAAACTGTTTAGGGCTTCCATGGCCTTGCGCGTTGGTGGGGCGCCGCTGCCTGACGGCCATGGGTTTGTAACTCCCGCCGGAATGTGGAGACCCCGCAGGCAGGCAGTCGGCTTTTTGGGGTCTCTGGCAGAGGATGGGAGGGGGGCTGTGTTTGCAGATCGTTCTAGTCAAGTATTTTACAAACAGCTGGGCCCTGTCCCCACCCAATTTCCTACTGAAGGACTGAGAAGTCAGGACAGAAGTCCTTCAAAAATCAGGCAAAACAGTAAAGGACATCACTGCGCCTTTCAAGGCTTAGGGGGAGGAGTGTCTTCCGCTCTTCTGAACCTGTTTAGCTACTATTCTCGTCATTTTTAAAGTATTAACGTAATACTCTCCGCGTTGGTGTTTACACATTTTCGTAAGATCTTGTCTCATTCCTATTTATATCCTCTTACATGTTCTGAATCAATGTGTTAAAAATTACTTGGAAGGCAGAGACAGATGGAGATCTTCATCCCTAAAGCCAGGAGCCTGGAACTCCAATCGCAGCTCCTAGGTGGGTGCAGGAGCCCCAGGACTTGAGCCCTGTTCTGCTGCTTTCCCAGGCGCATTCGCAAGGAGCAGGATAGGAAGTGGAGCAGCCAGGACTCCCAACTGGCATTGTCCCAGGTGGCAGCTGAGCCCAATGAGAGAATACGTAATTTTGGTATCAGTGGGCAAGCAGAGTTGTTAGTTGCATCTGACTTCTGATTGTAAATTGATTGCGCATTTGTTCCTTTTCAAGCTGAAGTTCCCCATTGAATGTTTAAATGCTATTCAAATCATTCCACTAAGTGGAATATTAAGTAAAATGTACCAACACAATGTGAAAGCAAGGCTAACTTCTGAGATGCATACTGCCTCTCTGCAAAGAGAGAGAAAGCCGGAATCCAGTCCTGGGGTTGAATGTCTTTATTATATAAATGAGGAAATGGCAGCACAGATCAGCAGCAATAATTTTGGTGTAGGATGAGAATGTACTCGTTTATTTCATGTGCTGGAGGCCCACTGATGACTGACATTGCAAGTGCAGGAGGGCAAAACAAAAATACTTTTAGAAGTTAAAACCTTACAGATTATCGTAACACTCAGCAAGATTGCATTTTGAGATTAGAAATCTGATTTTCCTCAGAGTTTTTTAAACCATTAAGAACAAAGTTGTGAAGTGAGTAGGCTTACAGAAGGAACACTCTTTGGAGAAAGAAAGAGTTTAGCTATTTCTGATTGAATGCTTTCCCCAAATTCATTTTCCATGACATATTCTCATCTTTTATACCTTTACCCCTAGTTTCTTTGAGAAAAAGTATTTTTACAAGAAGGAGCAGGATCAAAAATAAAAATAAAAATAAAAATAAAAAAGGACCTTTTAGAAATCCTGTTTGGTAACAGATCATCTCAAATTAAAACTTCTAAGGTTTTCATCAACCTTTAAGAAGTATTTGCTTACTGGCCTGGAGCGAGAAACTAAGAAAGTCTGAACAATTTCTGAAGCTGATCAAAATGGAATAGAAAACAGTCTCACATGTTGCCCTACTATACTACTCTCTGGCATCCCCTGCTAGCTAGAGTTAACATTTGAGGGAAAAAAGGAGGAATCCCTGTGATCCAATATTCCATTGCCTGAACCCTTTACTTTGTGCCTTGAGGGCTTTTGAGAGAAACAGATAGATAAATAATAAATAAATAAATAAATAAATAAATAAATACAACTCAACTCTGGCAGATTCATCAGCACCACCAACACAACAGAGGGAGAAAGAACAAGATTAAAATGGGAGAGGGATGGAAAGGCAAGACAATGAGGGAAAGGTGGTGGGAGAGAGGTCTCGGCCTTAGAGCAAGTCCAGTTCAAAGGAGTGGATGCTGGCAATGGGAGCCCTCCAGAAGTTGAAGGTGCTGTACTCAAGGAGCGCGTCACCCTCAAGGTTCTTCTCCCGCTCTGCTCCAGGTGCTTGCCCGGTCACGTTGCCAGCGCTGCTGTCCTTCATCTTGTAGGTGGGTGTATCTGACAGACCCAAGCCTTCCAGCTCCGACAGATCCAGTTCTGGGATAGGCATCCTCCAGAAAAGAAAGGAGCTGTACTGGCTACTCACGGGGTCCCTCATAGCTTCCTGGATGGGAACAATGACACATCAGTCTTTTGATGGCCCGTGCTCTTTGCTTGCTTAGAAACTCCACATTCCCATTTGCCTCCAAATAATCTAACTTCCCTACCATTTCCTAAGGTCTCCCCATCATGGGATGAGTTACTTATTGCTTACAGCATCAAGTTGATCCTGGCTTTCATCTTTGCCACCTTAAATCTGGCCCCATACTTCCTTAGCAGTAGTACAACCTCTGCATCAGTTATACTCATTCCTATCTTGCTTGACTCTCCTCCCAAGTTTCAGGGTTCCATTCAAGTCCCTGGAGGAGTCTCCCCTCCCCCAACTGCTATTATATTTACAAATACTTAACTTCTGCCTACTTTTGGTGTGATAGGCCGTGATGCTTCTGAAAAGGCCTGCACGAGACTTCTGTTTCCTTTTTGCCTTGTAAACCCTGTTACAAGCTCACCCACCTCTTGCAGAATGACTTCCTTAAACTTAACCCATCTCGATCGACCCTATTTTCTCTAGCATCTCCCCGCAACACCCTGTGGAGTTTTATCCAGATCGATTAATTCGGGGTCACAGATCACGGTTGTATCTCTTAGGCGGTCTGTTCTTCAACTGGAAGGCTAAGAATCAGTGTACTCTCTGGGTACCACAAGTGCTAGGTTTTGCACACAAAGGCATTCAACACTGCTGTTAAATTTTTCCTCACTATTTAATAGAATTCGCTGCCATTTCCATCTATTAGTCCACAGATAAGCCTGAACAGTCTGTTTCTCTGTAGCCTACTTCTTCTGAACAAAAGCCAGGTACTAGAACAATTCTCCTGTGCTATAACAGGATCTCTCCTGTGAGCCCAGTGCTTACATATACCTGATAATAGTGAAAGCAAATGCATTGTCAATTCCAGGTGAGGGAGTAAAGTTTAGATTAGAAGTCGGTCCCTTTCAGAATCAGATACTTCCCAGCGCTTTAATGAGCAGTTCAGTCACCTTTCCTGCTCATCCTACCCACACCTTGCCCAGTGGTACATGCTGGTTACAACTCTGTAGCCTCCACCCTGCTACTTTCTAGCCAAGGTAAAAGGGCAAGATTCATTACTTGACATGTTCCCAAAGGAGCAGAAAGAACATTCTACCACGTCCAAAAATAGAACTCCCAAGTTTCAGGTCTTTCTCCAACAGGCCCTGTTGGCTCTCACCAGCCCCGAGTCTCCTAAATAGTCAAATAGGCCTCCGAATGCCTCCATATCATAGAAAACGTCTCTACTGAGGCAGGAGAAGAAAGCATAGTCTGAGTGTGTCGGAGTGTAGAGACTTTAGTAGGAGAGGTGAGTGAGTAGGCTAGGAAGATTTTTAATATTACAAATGAATCCTGAGTTGTTCTTCTTCTTCTCAGGTTCAGGCTCCAAAATAAACCCTGGGAACTGAGCATTACTCAGCAGAGAAGCTGCTAGGAAGGAGGAGGATGCAGGGAGTGGAACAGGGTGGAGCAGTTGGAAAGGTGAGGTCATTGTCCTCTGACACTCACCTCGGATCATCTCCACGGCAATTTGCAGACATGTGCACAGAGAGGGAGCTACCAAAAATAGTTACAACAATTGACCAAAATAATCCCTACTTAGGTCTGGGTCTGGGACTGTAGACTTCCTAATTAGCAAACCTTAGGAGTCAACAGTTACTGATTTCCTCCAATGCTGTTTACTACATTACCAGTTATTTTTCTAGTGACCTGACTTGTTTTATAGCCCATGCCCTGCAGGTATCCTCTAGAGAGAGCTTAGGATAATGCTGGACACATACTAGGCTCTTTAAAAAACAGACTCATAGGAGAAAAGAATCACAGAATTTTAAAACTAGAAAATACCTTAGAAATTATAGTGTGACTTGTGAAGCCTTCCAGCCAGTTTATATAAAACCCAGGCTCATAATTCCCAGTCTGATTCCTTGTTGTGCTGCACATACACAGTTGCTTTATAGCTTGATATGACCCTATCCTCAAAATCTGTAAGAATTCTTAGTTGCTGAAGAACAGATATTCTGTGGGTTAGGTACCGGTTATTGCTGTGATTCTGATCTGAGTGGTTAGATGCAAAAGGCAGTAGAGAGCAAGCTAGAATGTGAGAAAGGGATTGTCTCTGACAAACTGACTCCTTCTCTTAAAACCTGAATAGGCATGAAACTGCCCACATAGTCCCTAAGTGTGTGACAAAGCTGTCTTACAATTTAAAAAAGCTAAAGGAAATTCTATAAAATATTAACTCAAGACCTAAACCCCCTGGCTATGCGACTAACCCAGACACGTACAAACAGTATAAAATGCATTCCAGAAAGACACTCATATAAGCCTATACGCATTAAAATAGACAAGAACATACATAGAATATTGAAGCTAAAAAAAAACCAGGGTATTTACTAATGACATTTTTTATTTAATACAGTATGGATTTAATTCCCAAGCCCTCCAATTTTTGCAAAAGTTCCCTTTTTCAGGTAGCCACCCCTTCCTTTCCCCAAATGCTCTCCACCCATAAGTTCTCTCTCTTCAGTTATCATTTACTTGTCTATCATTTAATACTTAGCATGAAAGCTGTGGACAGTGCTTTGCACTACAGTATACTTGTATGCTCATAAATGCCTCCCACTATCCTTGATTTTACATTGTCCCATCTTTTTTAGGCCAAGGTAGTTTCACTGTCTGTTATCAGAGACACTTGCATGTCAGTGAATACAGAGGTTAAGAAGAGACACTCTGAGCCACACAGACACACCCAGATACTCTTTGTCCAGACCCCTATAAGCTTTCAGGGCCTGCTCCCGCTGGGTCTTGCTGTGTCATGCTGCCACTGTGGAGAGGGGAAGGGAAGCCCTTTGGCACCTCGTTGGAAGTGCCTCCTTCTGCGCTTGGATTTTTGTATTCCCGATTTCCTTTCCCGTTATTCTGAGTTGCAAATAAGCATTCCCTTTCCAAAATCTGTCCCCACACCTAGCTCCTGTGGGCTGTACTGATTTCAGTACAGGATCGGGCTCCCATCTTTCCTACTTCAAGCTGCCCCCTTTTTCAGTGCAACGGTTTGAGATGGGGAGAAGGAGACTGTTAAAGGTCAGGATTACAGAGCCCTTCCCCCCAGAACGCCCTCCTACTGAGACCCAGCGGCTAGGAAGGTACAATAGTTGACTAAAGTATCATCAAATAACTGGTAGAAATTATAGCTTGAAAAAGACCGTATAGACGAATAGGCTGAAAACATTAAATTCAAATAGTCAAAATGAGGCAAGTGCTGATAAATAACTGCATTTGAATAGTTAGGAATTAATGCCTGTGTGCAGAAGGAGGCATGGCCCAAGCTCTTAGTCAAGATGCGAAACGCTGAACAAATCACTAGCCATTGTTCACAGCGCCCTCCGCCCCACACGCATCCTTACTCGGAGCCTTAAATCCCAAGACAGCGGCTCTGCTATCTGCAGCCCCCTTCCCCCTCCGTCAGTTTAGTTTACCTGTTATTAAGGAATTACTAGCGTTCTGCAGAGACGGAGGGAGTGCCTCGGGGGCTGGGGTCCGCTCTGGGCTGGAGAGGAGGACCGCTGTAGGGAAGTGACGGCTTTGTCTTCTCACTCCCTCTCCGGCTTCGGTGACTGAGCCTGTCCGCCCAGGCTCCCCCTGCAATGCAGCCCCTCCTAAGAAGAGCGGAAGGACTCCCCGCCCCCTCCCTGCCTGACTCGGCTAATTCAAACGATAGGTTCCAGAACGCTTTATGGAGGGCGAGGGGATTGAAGAAAGCATCTCCGTAGGCTTGATTTATTATTCCCAGTCGGTTCCAACACCTCCCAGGTGCAGTGAATGAGCAGCCAATTGTCCTCTGATTTTTAGGTTTAAGGATCAAAGATCTTAACTCTAGACAGCATTGGAAAGGAGTGTCCCTGTCTCCCCAGCGTAAGGACTTCATGTTACCAGGTGCTTGTGAGAACCATAAAAATTATTGACCCCTCCCCCAGTCCCTCTGTTCAGCTCTCCTCTCCACCCTCACAATGGTAAATCTAGCCCCGTTCCCGTTTGGATGGAGCAGAAGAGATTGGGGTGTGGTTCCTGCGAATCGTGAACTTGGTTAGGTCTGGGGGGTACTGGGGTGGGGGCGGGGGGAGTGACCCGCTACGTTTTGCCCCTCAATGCCTGGCGAGCAAAGGGAACGCGCGATTCCGGGGGCCTGGCCCGCGTGCCAGACCCTCCACGAGGTATCCACGTTCTCCAGTCGGCCAGGCGGGCGCGGCAGCTGAGGCCCCTTCCCACATCCCTCCACCGTGCAGATTTTCAGCAGCCCAGAGGGAGCTGTGCGCTCCGCTCCCAGCCGGACGGGTTTCGTAATCGCGTCGCTGCCGTTTCCGCCCTCGGCAGCTCCACCTCTGCCGGCCCGCCCTCGGCTCCCCTACCGCGTCGAGAGCCAGCCCGGGAGCCCCGCACCGGCCAGCACCGAGCGGGAGCCCCCGACCGGCTGCAGCTGGACGCCTCGATGCCGGAGAGGAGCAGGTGAGACCGCGGGTGGGCTCCCCGGCCGCGCGCCCAGCCTGCCGGGCCAGGCCGAGACTCACCGGATGCTGGGGGTGGGGAGGGTGAGGAAGGTGGCTCTGACGATCGAGATGCTGGGTGGGGGGTGAAGGGGCGCCCCCAGGGTGACATTTGTCCTCCAGGCCCGTGCCGTGCGCTGGCTGAGGTCGAAGGGAAAAGAGGCGCTGGAGTGCTAGGGAGGTGGGAGGAGACAGGGGCTTTCTGAGCCAGACACAGTGGATCTGGGTCCTGGATGGTCTAAACCTGAGACTGAGGCAGCCACGGAAAACAGAAAAATTCACAAGAGAGGTGTGCATCCTAGCTGAGGTTGCTGGCAGCAGAGAATTTCTGGGTGGGGGGAGGACGGGCAGAAGCCTTGAGTCTCTGTGAGCGAACATACTGGGGGAGGGGAAGCCTAGGCCCTAGTTCTGTTTCCTCTTAAACCCGGGCAAGACCTCTCCCCGGGAAGGGCAGGGGTGATGCCAGGGCAGAGGCCTGTCCCTTGACTGTACCCTGGGACCCACGGAGCCCCCCATGTCTGGGGGTGGCCCCATAGGGACCAGCTGCTTCTCTGGGCCCACAGCCAGAGTTGCCCACTCCATTCTCTCAGCTCTTTCTCTGCAGCTGCTTCTTGTGAAGGCTTGTCAGCCAGCGGGTTGCAGGCCTTGGGGCAGGAGGCCGCGGGACCGGGAGAACCGGTTTGGGGCTACAGCAGGACCAGGGAACCACCTCTGCACATCCTACCATTCCTTCTGCCCCCCCCCCCCCCAGCTTTGAGGCTGCTGAGTCCAGCTGTGATCTTGGTGGTGGTGATGGTGTGTGTGTGTGGGGTGTCTTCCAGTTCTGTGTTTGAGTCTGGGAGTCAGAGGGGCTCAGTTGTGAGTACTGACTGCTCGGCCATGGGGATGTGGCCTTGTGCTAGCTAATCCTGCTCCGGAGCCCTCCCTTTCACCGAGAGTGGCAATGGAGGTGGGCGCCCCTTGCTCCTCACTTTACCGGTTCAGGACCTCATTTTTCCTGCACGCACTCTGTTCTGAGTGCTTTATAGGAGAGTGACAGCCAATTGCTCTTACTTCCTTTTCTGTCCCAGTTCCCTTCCCCCCACCCTGCACCACCACCATCATCACATTCGCCCTCACACTTTGACCCCACCCCCAAGCTTCAGACACCCAAATGTCCTGGGGAATGGAATTTCCTGGTCACTTCTCATCATCAGCGGTCACTTATGCCAAGTCTCTCTCTCCCTCTCTCTTTCTCTCTCTCACACACACACAAACCCGTCTTTCCTTCCACCCAGCTCTGGTCAAGTCCCTGGAAAAGAAACAGAAACGTCCTTGTTCCTCCACTCCACTGCCCCCCCCCCCTTCCCAGCATCACCCACCCCTGTCCACTCAGCGTTGAGCAGGGTGGGGAATGCTGGGAGAGTCCAGTCTCAGCACAGCCTGTGGTGGTGTTGGGGGTTTCCTCTGATTCTCCATTGTTTTCTCCCTCGCCCCCCCCCCCCCCGACCACCTGCCACTACCACCACTGCAGAGCCTGTGACTGACCGCCTTCCCACAGAGCACACCCCTCTCAAGGCAGCCGCTGCCGACTTCCGCCCTGTGTGCTTACTCCTCCCTTCCAGTGGTGGGAAGGGAAGCGGGAGAGAGCCCAGGCTCCTGGGCTCTTCCCTCCCCTAGAAGCTGCGTTTCAGTGTTCCTGTGATCTCATCTCAAGGCTGTTACAAAAATAAAAAGACCCTCTGAGTTTTAGATCAGTGTAGGAAGCCTGAACATCAGGATTCCAGGTTTAGAAGGAAGGGGAGTCTTGCTCCTGCTGAAGTGTAACGTGCCTGAAACTGCCCAGCTAGGAATCCTTGAGGTAGGATGGGGCTGGAGGGTGAGGGGGCAGATACAGTGAGAACAGAGGAACCTCAGGTGGGCCCTGGCTGGCAGGGGTGAGAACGGAGGACCTTCTTTCGTAGACACCAGTGCTATTGGAAAGTTCCTGTGTCTGGTTGGCTGATGAAGGTGGGGGGTGGAAGTGGTGAGGAGGGAGGAGAGAGCAGGTCACAGCTTGAGGGGAGGGAGCAGGAGGCCGGCCACGTAGGGTGTCAGGCAGAGCCGAGCCACACAGCTGGGCTTGTGAAGAGTGGGGAGGCCGATAGGCCTTTCCCCGCGGGACGGAAGACCACCAGCACCTGGGCCTCCAGCCTGTACATAGGTGATCTCGGCAGGACCCATGAGGTGTGGCTGTGCAGTGAGTGAGAGGACACGGATGAACTGGGCATGCACGGCCTGCCGGAAAGGCTGTCAAGGTCAAGTAGTAAAAGCACTGCTGAATGGCTTCTGGGAGGGGTTGGATCTCAGTGGAGAGAGAGGAGGCGGGACAGGGCAGTGAACTGGGGAAGAAATTGCTCACCGCGGAAGGGTTTTCTTGAGGTCTAACCTGCTGCAGTTAGTCTCCTGGGACCTAGGTGGTCAAGGTCCCTTTTCATGTAGAAAATAACAGCTGTCCAAGGGCAAGGTAAGGAAAAAGGGAGGGGCAGGGTGGAGTCCTTGTTTGTGAGAACAAAAACCACTATTTCCTCTTCAGAGTCACTTACTTGCCCCTCCCCTCCCCTCCTGCCCCAGACCCTGAGGGAAGGGAGCTGGAGCTCATACCACAGCTAGACTTCCTTCATGTCTGCCACTGTCCTCTGGTCCTCTCTTGTCCCCTCACCCCGAGAGCCCCTCACAGCCACTGCTCCTGACCTCCTGGTGTTCTGTTCCCTGCTTAGAGAGTCAGGCTGTTCTGTGTTTGAAAAAGATTGACGAGAGGGTGTAGGATTGGCGCCGCAGAGGGAGCGCTGAGAGGCTGTGGGCTCATCAGGGGCTCCTCAGGGCCCAGGGAGCCCTGGGATTTCTCACTAAACTCTGCTTTTACTTTCTGCTTGCCCAGGCTTCCGCATCTGATGAAGACACAGCCTGGCTCCTGGCTGCCCTGTTAGCCTCTCAGGGTCCGAGGCACTGACCTTCCCTGCGTGGCGAAGGGTCCCGAGGATCCCACCTTCTCTAAACCTGTCCTGCTGAGTGAACCACAGCACATCGTTGCACAGCGAGGAGTGGGTGGTCCCAGCACCAGAGCAAGAGCCCTGTGGGGCCCCAGGCAGAAGAGTGAAGCTGGAACCTTCAGGGAACATGAGTGAATTTTGGCACAAACTGGGCTGCTGTGTGGTAGAGAAACCCCAGCCGGTGAGCCCCCCACCCCCACCCGGGCAGAAATCAGTTACCGTGTACTGCGAAGTAGTCTGCCCGCGCCTCTCCCTGCCTGGATGATCTGTGTGGCCAGGGCTGCAGGTGGAGGTTATACCTGCCTGTGTTCCCCATTGTTTCCTCATCAGCCACAGCTGACTTTGACACGTCCTTCCCTTGCTCTGTAGTCACCCTGCAGGCCACCGCCTGCGCCACTCTGGCCCTGTGTCTTTTGTTTGTTATTCCAGCTTTGCCTTCATTCCCTGGTGATTGCCCTGTTGTAATGCCACTGGCCCTCTTCCCACCCGGCCCTTAGCACCTTCCTTAGTAGTTTTTAAGACCCTTTTCCCTTCCTGTGCTGTGTCTGGAGGAGGGGGCTTCAGACATGACTCCTTGTCTTCTCCAAGCAGAAGAAGAAGAGAAGACGGATTGACCGGACCATGATTGGAGAACCAATGAATTTTGTCCACCTGACTCATATTGGCTCCGGCGAGATGGGGGCAGGAGACGGACTTGCCATGGTAACAAGGGGACGGGGAGAGGTGTATATGGGGGGTGGTCTGTGACTCTTTCCCTTTCTGAAAGTTCAAGTAAGAGGCATAACAGAATGCTCAGTAGGGAAGCAAGAAATCTGGGATTCTCGTCCTGGTCACAAGTTGTGTAAACCTGATACTTGGGATTTCAGGCCTGGGGGGCTAGGTTCCTTCATATTTACACATAGCAGATTGTTTTTATAAAAAATGTATTTATCTGAAAGGCAGAGTTATGGGGTGAGGGAGAGACAGAACTTCGATCCACTGGTTCACACCCCCAAATGACCGAAATGGCCAGAGCTAAGCTGTTCCAACGTCAGGAACCTCCCCCAGGTCTCTCACTTGGGTGCAGGGGTCCAAGGACTTGAGCTATCCTCTACTGCTTTCCCAGGCACGTGAGTAGGAAACTGGATCTGAAGTGGAGCAGCTGGGGCTTAAACTGGCACCTATATGGGATACCAGCACTGCAAGCAGAGGTTAACCTTCTACACCACAGCGCCAGACACTAAAAAAAATTTTATTTTATTCAAAAGGCAGAGGAACAGTCAGGGAGCTCCATCTACTAGTTTCTTTAATTTCAATCACTTTGACTTTTTCTTTCAAGACTTACTCATTTATTTGAAAGGCAGAGTTACAGAAAGAGGTAGAGACAGAGATCTTCCAATCACTGGTTCACTCCCCAAGTGGCCCCAATGGCTGGAACTGGGCTGATCTGAAGCCAGGAGCCTGTGCCAGGGCCCAAGCACTTGGGCCATCCTCCACCGCTTTACCCAGGTGCACTAGCAAGGAGCTGGATCGGAAGTGGAGCAGCTGGGCCTCAAACTGGCACCCCTATGGGATGCTGACGCTGCAGATAGTGGCCTCACCCACCATGCCACAGCACTGGACCCCCATCTACTAGTTTCATACCCTAAATGCCCTCAACAGCTGGGACTGGGCCAGGCCGTAGCCAGGAGTCTAGAACCCAATCCAGGTCTCCGACACGGGTGACAGGGATCCAAGTACTTGGGCTATCCCCTGCTGGCTGCCTTCAGAGTGTGCATTAGCAGGAATTGGGAGTAGAACCCAGACCTAATAGGGGATGCAGGCATCCCAAACACCGTCTTTTATATTTTGAAAGGCAGAGAAGGGAGAGGGGATGGACAGAGATGAAGAGATCTTTCATCCCCTGCTTAACTCCCCTCATGCCCTTAACAGCTAGGGCTGGGCCATGCTACAGCCAGGAGCCAGGAAGTCATGTGGGTGGTAGGACCCCAAGTACTTGGGCCATCAGCTGCTGCCTCCTAAATGCAGTAGCAGGAAGCTGGATCAGAAGTAGACAGGGTTCACTCCATTATCAGATGCAAACCCGCTCCACCACAATGTCCACCCTCCAAGGCTTAAGCCATTTCAGAACAGCCACCCCCAAGCAGCGTCTTAACCTCTAGGTCAAATGCCACTGCAGATTGTTCTTCCTTGGGGTGGGGAGTGTGTGTATGTATGTATGTATATATCTATATCTATATATGTATATATATATAATCTATGTCTTAATAGAGACTTCTTCCACAAACCTCAACCCTCCATTCTCTTGGGAATTGCTGTCTTAGTGTCAGTAAGTCACATTGTGCTTGGGAGTATTGGGGAAGGGAGTACTGAGTACCTCTGTCATAAGTAATGTCTCTGATGCATTTCAGAATAAGAATGGATCTGGCATAGTTGGCTAAGCCTCAGCCTGCAGTGCTGTCATCCCATATGGGTGCTGGTTCAAGTCCTGGCTGCTTCTCCTCTTCTTTTTTTTTTTTTTTATTTTTTGACAGGCAGAGTGGACAGTGAGAGAGAGAGACAGAAAGGTCTTCCTTTTTGCCATTGGTTCACCCTCCAATGGCCGCTGCGGCCGGCACACCACGCTGATCCGATGGCAGGAGCCAGGTGCTTCTCCTGGTCTCCCATGGGGTACAGGGCCCAAGGACTTGGGCCATCCTCCACTGCACTCCCTGGCCACAGCAGAGAGCTGGCCTGGAAGAGGGGCAACCGGGACAGAATCCGGCACCCCAACTGGGACTAGAACCCGGTGTGCTGGCACCGCAAGGCAGAGGATTAGCCTAGTGAGCCGCGGCGCCGGCCAGCCTGCTCCTCTTCTGATCCAGCTCTCTTCTTATGGCCTGGGAAAGCAGTGGGAGATGGCCCAAATGCTTGGGCCCCTGCACCCACCTGACTCCTAGCTTCAGCCTGGCCCAACCCCAGTCATTGCAGCCACTTGGGAAGTGAACTCACAGATGGAAGATCTCTCTCCCTCTCCCTCTGTAACTGTACCTCTCTCAAAATAGATTTTTTTTTTTTTTTTTAAAGAGTAAGAATGGACCTACAGGTGGGGATGGAATCCTTTTACCAAGTGTGAAGCTCAGCTATATACGGGGAGTCCTTTCTGAGATCTTACCAGTGAAAGACCCACTTTCTCACATCCTCATGAAGGCCGGGGAGGGCCTTGACTTCCTTGGGAGGACTGACAGGTTAGCTTTAACCTTTTCAGATGGTGTCATTGTCAAGGAGATAAGGCCCACCTCCTCCCTGCAGTGCCTAGGGCAGACCTCATGTTGTGACGTGAAGATTTTGAGGGTGTCTCCAATGTGTTCTCTCACAGACAGGTGCAGTTCAGGAGCAGATGAGATCCAAGGGAAACCGAGATAGGCCATGGAGCAATTCTAGGGGCTTGTAGCTCCCAGCAGGAATGGTGAGTAATGATTAGAGGAAACCCTCCCAGCACCTCAGCCTTGTACCCACACACCCTGACGCCCCTGCTCAGAACCCTGATCCTTTGATGTGAGAATGGGAAGGGGGTGAGAGGGAATTAGAATGGAAGATTCCAGACTATAAGAACCCAAAAAGAAGATAGGGGGTCATGTAGACAGAAATAAAAGAGCATACCATGGAGGAGTTAAAAGTCTGTACCAGTTGGTGCCTTCTCACTAAGGCCTCTGCTTTCTTTGGGCCAGTTCTTCCTTTTAAAAAAAACAAAACAAAACACTTTTTTTTTTTTTTTTTTTAATTTAGGTTCTGCCATCTTGAAGTTCCCATTCTGTGTCCAGCCCAGAAGAAATGCTGCCCCCAACCCAGAACCCTCCTAGAACCAGTGACCCAGAGGCTCTTTTCTCCCTATCTGCCTGACGGGGCCTCAGAAGGCTTGGGGGCTGGACTCCCTGCACTCCCTCTGGCCACAGCCCCTCCTGGAGATGGGGTCAAGGCAGCAGGACTGACATTGGCCAGGGGAGCTCAGCTGAAACCCTGCGTATCCTCAGATCTGAGAAAGGAGTGCTCTGGGAACCTGCAATGAGTTCCTGTTCTCCTGAATGATGGTCTGGGTGCCACCGTTTTTTAACTCTTAACCCGGAACTCCTTAAACCCAGTAGGTCGGCAAGAATACCAAAGCTGAAGCCGACTTTGCGGAAAAGCTCCCTGCCTCCCTGGCCCTCTGTTTCCTCCTGGAATGAACTAAAGCAGACATCCTGCAGGGGCTGGGCGGGTGACCGCCGTCTAATCCACTCATTTTTCTGTAGATTTCAGAACTTAAGCTCACAGCCCTTTAATGTCTTTCAATACCAGGGTCTTCTCTCTAGTTAGGCCTTTAATTCTGTTCCTGCAGCATTGCTAGCTTCCCAGCAACTTTCCTTTAAAAAAAATTAAAAGTTTGGAGTTCTCTTAATTACCCCCATCCTACTACCTCTGTGTTTAACCTCCCCATCCTTATTAGGAACCTTATTGCTTCCCATTGAATAAGAGTTAAAGAGGTGGATCTTAACCTGATGACATTCCATTTAAGCCTTGGGGGACCTGGCCTGCCCTCTGCCAACCTCCCTGCTGGCCCAGGTGAGAGGAAGAGGGGTCTAGAGAGAAATCCTGAATGCAGCAAAGCTGGGAGTTTTATCTCAAGATGGATTTCCTGGGCATTGAGGAGGAGAAGGGTGTTGAGATACATAGGGGAAGTGAGCTTAGGGGCCTTAAGATCCTCACAGCACAAGAGTAGGAGGGGGCTCCGAAACAAGGTTGTTCACCCCGGACACATAGGACATTTGGGCTGGATGATTCTTTCTAATGGAGGGCTGTACTGTACGTTGCTAAATGTCTTCCTTCTAAAGGCAAAGTTGCCCACAGCTGAGAGCTGCAGCTCTGTTGTTCAGACTCTGAAGTGATTTCCGTCCCCTACCCTGCACACACTCATCCACATTAAGCCTGAGCTGTGGATGAGCTAGGACTCCTTGTCAGGTGGCCTCAGTTGGGCTGCACAGATCTGCACACAGTGACTCAGTGCATTGCTTATGCTTCCACAGGCTCCTGTCTGATGGACATGTAACCATGTTTCTCTGTTCTTGCTCTCTGGGGGAGAGGGGGTCCCTGCAGGGTAGACACATGAACAGAGAATGGGATTGGTGGGGGGATGAAAGCATTAGGAACACCCCAGCTATCCTCCCCAGATTTTTACTCTCATTTCTGTACCCCAGATCTGAAACCAGATACAAATACGACTCAGGGAGTTTTTGTCTGAAGACCAGGTTCCATCCCTGCCTGGCTGAAGAGTCTGCTTTAGGTGGGAAAGCAGCGTAGGAGCAGAATCTTTCGGCCCCTTCAGTGTTCTCAGGTGTTCTTGTTCTGGCCCTGCTGTTGCAGGTTAATTACATTAGGAAGGCAGAACAAGACAGAGGAGCACTTGCCTGCTCTGAAAGGAGAAGGCAGTGAGGGTGTGTGTGTATGTGTGTGTGTCTCATCAGCTTTGTACCAGGAAGCATCCTGTTTTATGGTAGTGGGAGGGGGTCAGGAGCGGGGGAACTGGGATCCAGCTCTCCAGTTCATCCCCACCTGCGGTGACTGAGGTTCTAATTTTTCCTGATTTCAGTGTGTTTCCCTCTAGTTTTTCAGGGTCTAACATTGGACATGGCGACACATTTCCAATTTACTCTGTCAAGCCAGTTGCTCTGAAAGCCCATCTTGTTGCCTGAGGGATCTGGAGACCTAAGGGGTTAACAGTACAGGGTAGAATGGTGGGGGCTCCTGGAATCCGGTCCTCCTCACCTCCAGCCTCATTCTAAAGCCAATTCTTTGGACACAATCTTCCCTTTGGTGCTCTCTATCCTTTAGCTACATTGTCTAATACGTAGGCTACTGTCACTTTAAGAATAAAGTGATGGAAACGGAGAGTCATAATTTATATTAAAAAATTGTTGGACTTTTAAATACATTTTTAAATAAAAAATGGAAGCAAAATATTTGCAGAGTAATCACTTCAGGTGTGTGTGTTGCATTAAAGAACATGGCTGCTGAAGATACCTCCTTGAAAATGACTGAGCTGGAATTCTGTGCCCACACTTGCCTTTTCCAAGGAGAGAGGCCGAGCACTGGGAAGACAAGAGTGCCACCGTCATCTTTCAAGGGCTCAGTTCCTTGTTACTCCTATTCCTTGGCATTTATTTGAGATTTAAAAAAATAAAAGGATTGGTTTAAAAACAACGTTGGAAATGAGGAAGATGAGCAACATCAACATTTTATCCTGGAGACAGAGTAGGGGAACAAGCCAGAGGCTGCTAGGTGCAAAGTTCAGTTTTAGGGTTGAAAAGATTGATGGAGTCCCCTTCCTCAGATACCTCTATAAAAAGAAATAAGCCCAAATAATGTGGGTTTTTTTTTTTTTTAGTACTAAAAATATATAGTGGGTGCTGGGGTCGGAAGGGTAGGAGAGGCTGAGATACGGACACCTCCTGTGGATGAAGTGCGCATCATGTCCGGTTCTTGTCTATCTGGGTAGAGGGAGAAAAATGGAGAAATTACAACCATGTCCATATTTTCCTTTCCTTGCTTTGTGCCCCCTCCTCCCCCACCGCCATAAGCAAGCCCTCTTCCTCAGCCCTTTTTTTTTTTTTTTTTTTTTGGACAGGCAGAGTGGACAGAGACAGAGAAAGGTCTTCCTTTACCATTGGTTCACCCCTCAATGGCCGTTGCTGCCAGCGCACCACGCTGATTCGATGGCAGGAGCCAGGTGTTTCTCCTGATCTCCCATGCGGGTGCAGGGCCCAAGGACCTGGGCCATCCTCCACTGCACTCCCTGGCCACAGCAGAGAGCTGGCCTGGAAGAGGGGCAACCGGGATAGAATCTGGTGCCCCGACCGGGACTAGAACCCAGTGTGCCGGCGCCGCAGGCAGAGGATTAGCCTAGTGAGCTGCGGCACCAGCCAGCCCTGGCGCCTTTAGATTCAGTAATAGTATTGGACAAAGAGAAACCAGTGGCAGAAGGACCAAGTTACTTCTTGTTTGTTGCCTTTCCCTCTCCCCGGAGGTCCTGACCTCCAGTTCAATTGAAACTACCAGACAACTGGGACCTTTGGTGGCTCTTGGAAATGCAGGGGACTTGTCTTCCACGTGCATTAAGTTGCCAGGAAGGATCCCAGGACAGTTCTTTGGGATGGTGGTGGTGAAGAGAATGGGCACTGGTGTCAAGCAAACCTGTTTTAAAACAACTTGTGGCTCTGCCACATACTAGCTTTCGTTGTAACGGGATGAGAGTTCATAAGGGTTGTTACCATTCCGCTGCATTCATTAGGTCAGAACTACCCATCAGTTAACGCCCTCCATATCCATTCATTGCCTTTTCTAATTGAGTCTACAGTCCTATTTGGTCAATGATCATCAAATGACCAATACCACATATTTCCTAATATCCAACCAGCAATTGCTCAAGAAATCGTAGGTAGAAGTAATGGCTAACAATGTGGGTAGCCCATGTCTGTTATAAGTCAGTAACCAGACAGATAAGTCAGTAACAGTTCATGCAAGCACACTGGCTGGCTCAGCGAGGGGCTTGGGGGTCAGGATTTGTCAGGCTCATCACCCAACACTTACTGGTTGCATCTCTGTGAACACTGAAGACAGGCTGTTCCAAATATCCTCCAGGCCAATCCTGACCCGTTTCCAAAAAGCCAGAGCTGGGCTGGGGCTGGGGCTGGGGGGCGGCATGAGCGGTCTGCGTCTGAGGTGGATGGGGGGCATGGTAGGGGTGGTGGTGGTCTGGGTGGTGGTGGTCGGAGAGCAGTTGGTGTCAGGACAGAGGCCTGAGTCCAGGGGGCACTCCTCCCGAAGCCGGTTGCAGGGACACTGCTGGTAGGTACAAGGCCGGTGCTCCGTGCGGAGCTGGCTCAGTGCTCCCACTCGAAGGCGTCCCGAAAGGCCCTGCAGCTTCCCGGACCGGGTCCGGCTCATGGTGCCTGACTTGCAGTGACAGTGCCACGGGCCCCAGGGCATCAGCACCAGTCGCAGATCCTCAGGAGGTGGCATGGCTGTGGGTGAGGGTGCCGGCCACCGGCTTGGGGTGGAGCCTGGTGTCGACCAGTGGCTCAGGGTGACCTCGGAGGTCAGAATGTCTTTAGGTTTCATGGTGGTGCGCGGCAGGTTTGTGGTCAACCTGATCTCAGGCTCTTGGGTGTTGGCCACGAACCTCCCCGAGGTGGAGCTCCTTCCGGTATTTGTACTGGGGGCGGCACTGGGAATCAGCATCCTGCTGTTATTCTTTCTGGCATTTATCACAACCCCCTCTTCCAAAGTCTCATCCTCACCGAAGCTGGCCTCAGAGCCCCGGGCGATGCCTGTCACCGTGGCCAGGAGCTCGGCAGCCGCAGGGCCTGCCAGGCGGTCGGCGGTGGCCACGGCGTCATTCTCATCCTCCAGAGTTATTTTAGGCCTCCGGGGCCCGGTGCGGGGGGGACCGATGGTGCTCCGGTGGCTGCGGGCAGGGCCGGGGCCCCCAAAGCGGAAGCTGACCCGCTGCATCCCGGTGGACGTCTGGGTCTGGCCTTGGGCCCCCGCCGCCAGGGGCTCCAGACTCAGCAGCAGGGCCCAGAGCAGCGCGCCGGCGGCGGGGACCATGGGGCTGGGCGGCTTGGGGCTGGAGGGAGGCCGGTGAGGCGGGCCCAGGCTCCTACCTTCTCTCCCTCCCTTCTGCTCTCCGCCAACCCGCCGACCCGCCGGGGTCGTTTGAACCGAGGCCACGGGGCGCTCGGCACGTGCCACGCCCCTCCCCCGCGTCCTCCCCGCGGGCGCTTCCCCAGCCCCAGGGGCTGAGCTAAAAAACCCAACGGAACCTTTGCGTGAGAACTCCCGCAAGCCAGAACCGAAGGCCGGATTGTGATGTAAGGGGTTGTAAGGGGTTCGGGGAGAGCCATTCGCTTCCTCGGTGCACACTTAAATCTCTCTTCGCAGTTTATTAACCGCTACAGGTGTGAATGTACCAGAGAGGGCGGAAATACAGGTTTTGAAAGCACTCCTGACCAGGCTCACAGGCGGCAGGGACGACTTAGAAGGAGGAAAGTAGGGCCCCTTCCGGGGGTCTTCACGGCTTAGGGAACTGACTGCTAGCTCCTAGCAGGCAGGCAGGCAGGGGTCTGTGGAGCCCTTCCGCCGCCCCTCACCCCTCACCCCTCACCGGTGGCTGCTGGAATACCTAGGGGGCAGCATTATGGGCTCCCACACTTACAGGGCAGGAAAATAGGGCCCAAAGAGAAAATTATTTGCCCAAGGTTCAGTAGTGAAAGCAGGTTTAAAACCCAGAGCTCTGCATTTGCCATGCTAAATGCCTTCCACCCTGTCAGCTAGCAGATGAGGTTCCCACCCTCAGAGGCCTGCTGGAGGGGGGGTTAGGGGAGGCTGCCGTGCCCTTGGGGAGAAGATCCAGTGGTGAGGGAGACAAGATTTACACGATAGCTTGGAAGTTTCAGGAGCCAGGCAGCGCAGATCGCCATCTTTGCTTGGTTCTGAGCGCTTTACCCAGTCCGGTGCTAGGCACTTGCTGAGCCGTGGAGATCCCGGTCGAGCCTGTGATTGAGGAGGAGAGACAGAGAAAGAGAAGTGGTTCAGGAGCAGGCCTGGGGCTTCTCTCACTGCTTGGGGAAGGAAGCCAGGCCATTCAGAAAGCTGGAAGACCAAGTGCTGAGTCATCACGTAGCATCTTCTCGCCCCCACAGCTTGTGCTCTCCTATTCACGGCCAGACACAGCCCTCCCTTGTTTCTAGGGCTGCTGCTCTCAGTCATCTCTAACCTCTGAGCTGGGACTATTTCATTGCTTGTCACCTCTTGCATATCTATGTAAGGTTCTTTGATTTGTTCTTGTGGAATGCAGTAGCGTCCTTAATTTTTTCTGTGTCTCTGAGATTTCCCAGATTGATTGGTTTCACACATCCCAGCCCAGTCCCCGTACCCCTGAGTCTGGGACTCACTGTCTGACAGCTTCAGGGATGTGGACTTGATCCAGGGAGATAAGTTTGGCCAGCTCTCCCAGACTGTCCAGAAAACGGATCTTCCGTGTGAACTTGGAACTGAAAGAGAGGGTAAAGCACTGGTGTTTTGTTCTGGTAGGAGAGGGGTTCTGAGACCCCTGGGAAGGGAACCGTAAGGGGCAGAGTGATTAAGGCTGGAAAAATCAGGCTGCGGCAATACCTTCTCCATCTTTACTTGAAAATGGGGCGAAGGGGAGGGAGCCCTTGTCCCAGAGCTGGTACCTGATGAAGGGCCGAAGCAGTGCCAGAAATGCCTTCACGTACCACGTGGCGTGGACCACCACCAGGGCGCGCAGGTTCTTCCGGAGCCTGAAGAATATGGTGAGGTCATCCGACTTCGTCTGCCTGCTCACCCAAAGGTCTGGAGGCGCTACCTTTGGTTTTGTAACTTCCTTCACTTCTCTAATTTCTAGATTTCTCAGGCAGCGGCAAGAAGCCTCTGCTCCTTCAGCTGCAACCTCAGCCTCACCCACCCTGTCCAGCACTGTCTACACTCCTGGCTTTAAGGAAATCCTTCAAGACCACTCTACTGCGTCTCACCCAGTGCCTTGTGCACCCCTCTCCAGCCCTCCAGGACCGACCGGTTATACATCAATCAGCAGAGGCCACAAAGGGTGGGGCAGGAAGAAAAAGCAAGGTGGGGGAGACATGGGGAGAAGGGAACATGAAGGGGACAGGCGTAGGGCAGGGATGCAGGCAGCAAGGAAGAGACAATGCAGGGGTAAAGCCCCGCCTGCAGCGCCGGCGTCCCACGTGGGCACCGGTCCTGGCTGCTCCACTTCCAGTCCAGCTCTCTCCTGTGGCCTGGGAAAGCAGTGGGGGGTGGCCCAAGTGCTTGGGCCCCTGCACCCGTGTGGGAGACCCGGAAGAAGCTTCTGGCTCCTGGCTTCAGATCAGGGCATCTCCAGTCGTTGTGGCCAGTTGGGGAGTGAACCAGCAGATGGAAGACCTCTCCCTTTTTGCTTCTGCCTCTGCCTCTCTGTAATTCTGCCTTTCAGATAAATAAATAAATCTTTCTTTTTTCCAACGTTCTTAACTCCATTAAGCAACAGCAGAATGGCACAAGTCAGCTATGCAACTGACGGAGCCAGGAATTCTTTTGCACTACAGCGTAACCAAGAATGAGGAAAATTCTCATCGGTAGGTTTAAATATAGTGCTGAATAAATAAATCTTTAAAAAAAATGAAAAGTTGGCCGGCCCCACAGCTCACTAGGCTAATCCTCCACCTGCGGCACCGGCACCCTGGGTTCTAATCCCGGTTGGGGCGCCGGATTCTGTCCCGGTTGCTCCTCTTCCAGGCCAGCTCTCTGCTGTGGCCCGGGAAGGCAGTGGAGGATGGCCCAAGTGCTTGGGCCCTGCACCCCATGGGAGACCAGGAAAAGCACCTGGCTCCTGGCTTCGGATCAGCGCGGTCCGCCGGCTGCAGCGGCCATTGGAGGGTGAACCAACGGAAAAAGGAAGACCTTTCTCTCTGTCTCTCTCTCACTGTCTAACTCTGCCTGTCAACAACAACAACAACAAAAAAAAAAAAAAAAAAGGAAAGAAAGAATGAAAGAAAGAAAGAAAAGCTAAAGAAGGTCCTTATTAAGTCAAGTGTTGTCCTTAAATTAAGTAGCATTATTTAAAAAGAGGAAGGCGAAGAAGACAGTGCAGCTGTGGAAATGAAATACAGGGCAAGATGGGAGAGGAGGCAGACTGCCTTCCACATGCCAGAATGTGCCTCCGCGTTAACTCCACTTTCACAAGTGCCCAACGGCAAAGAGACGACTGTTGCTATTTGCAGATAAGGAAACTGAGGCCCAAAAAGTAAAGTGGCTTGCACCCATCATGCAGCTGGTAAATGGTAAAGGTGAGATTTGAAACCTGATCTCCTTAACTCCACGTGAGGACAGGCGGGGCTTGGAAAGGGGTGGAGAGGGACAAAGGAATGAGGAAGCAGCTAAAAAGAAGAAAGAATGAGAAGATGGAGAAGAAGAAAGACAGAGAACTGCGGCGCCCTCATCCTGGGGTCTCACCGCCGATCCAGAGTGCGGTAACACTGGCGTATCCAGCCCAGAGGTGGAACCTGGGCCCTGCTTGTGCCGCCGCTCAAGTGAACCAGCAGGTAGTTTTCAGCCACCAGCAGCTCCAGGGTCCCCACCATATACCTGGGGGACAGAATTACAGGGGAGCCCTGTGTTGTGGGTCACAGGGAGCACGAGGACTATTACTGCAGACTCCGAAATCAGTACAGATGTTGGAAGGGGACTTTTTTTTCTTTTCCTCCCATAATACCCTCTGTAGCCCCTCAGGCCTTCCACCTCACCTAAACAAGTGTTCCATGACATAGGCATAGTTGGGAATGCTGCCTCTGGGTAGATAACAGGAAGCAAAGAGTATGACAGCATTGAGTCCATCACCATGGTAACCTGGCGAAGAGAAGTATGTGTTGGCAAGACAGTACCTCTGAGGGGCTGTACAGGTTACAGGAAGGAGTTTTGAACCCAATGACCGAGTCTCCAGCTTGGTCTGTTTATTCCAGAAGTCACTGTTTTTACCCCTCCGTCTACACTAGCCATTACCTCCATGAGACAGGACTTTCTTGTAGGGCTCAATGGCAGTCATGTCCACTCGCTGCTCCCGCTGTCCTGTTCGGAACACCCTCCAGTGATGCCCATCTTCTCCAGCCACGTCCCACACGCAACCCCGGCCCAGCCTTTCCGCAGCCTCACTGGCCGCCAGACCCTCTGCCCGGGGCAGCTCATCTGAAAGAGCGATGTGGAGGGATCAGCAGGACGATTCTCACCTTCAGTATCTTGTCAAGTTCCCAGATGCCTGGAGTCTGTTACTGAATCGCCTGGCCCTCAGTTGTTTCCGTCCCTTTAACCTCAGTTTGTCCACTCACCCCACTACCACCATCCTCCTGGGTTCTCTCCTGCGCCTCCTGATCCTCTCCTTTGCACTAGACAATGGCCTCAGGGTCCCTGCACCACGGCAGGTCCGTGGCTCTCACCAGCACCTGGCTTTTTCTTTTTCTGGATTCAGTTTCTGTACACGCTTTCCCCTGGGCGAGCATATCTAGTCCCCGGGTTCAGTTACTGTCAGAAAGCTGAGGACTCCCGGATCTGCCTCTCTAACCCAAACTTCTCTCCTAACTCCAGATTCATATCTCTGACTGCCTGGAGTGCACTTCCCTCCTTTATGTGTCCCTGTCAGGTCCCAGATCCAAAATCATCCTCTTCTTCCTCTCCCTGGTTTCCTTTCTCTCTCTCTCTTTTGTTTTAAGATTTATTTATTTATTTGAAAGGCAGAGTTACAGGGAGAGAGAAGGAGAGACCGAGAGATAGATCTTCCATCTGATGGTTCACTCCCCAAATGGCCATGACGGCCAGGGCTGTGCTAAACCAAAGCCAGGAGCCAGGAGCTCCATCCAGGTCTCCCACATGGGTGCAAGGGCCTAAGCACTTCTGCTGCTTTTCCAGGTGCATTAGCAGGAGCTGGATAAGAAGTGGAGCAGTCAGGATTCAAACAGGTTGCCCGTATGGGTGGCCAGCAGCTTAACCCACTGCGCCCCAATGCCAGCCCCTCCCTTGTTTCCTTTCTTGACGAACAATCCCATCCATCTAGCCGGGTGTGAGAGAACACTGTTCTGACATTCCTTCTTCTCTGTCTGCCCTCAAACCAGCTGGACCCCACATCCTCTTCCATCCACCTCCATTACGCCCCTTTATTAGCCTTGCCACTATCACCGTTCTGGCTCACTTGTGCTTGGTACTAGCCTCCTACCTGCTCTCCCTGCCTCTGGTCTCTTTTCCTTCAATCTACTCTAAAGACCACAGAGCAAGTTCTCTTTTTTCTACTTCTTTATACTCAAATGATAGTACACTGTATCTGCCATTCTACATGATCTCTCCTTCTTCATAGTTGTATAGTATTTAATGTTCTATACTTTTTTAAAAAAATATTTATTCTACTTATTTGAAAGGCAGAGTTACAGAGAAAAAGAGACAAAAACAGAGAGGTCTTCCATCCTCTGGTTCAATCCCCAAATGGCTGCAATGGCTGGGGCTGGGCCAGGCCACGACAAAGGCAGGAGCCAGGACCTCCACTACATCTCTCACGTGGCTGGCAGGAGTCCACGTGCGTGGCACTCAAATGGAACATCAGCGTCACAGAACTGTGGCTCAACCTGCCATGCCACAGCACCGGCTCCTAGTATTCTATAGTTTTAGTGCTGCCGCTGTGGCGTAGTAGGTTTAGCCTCTGCCTGTAGCACTAGCATCCCATATCGGAACTGGTTCAAGTCTCAGCTGATCCAATTCTGATCCAACTCTCTGCTTATGCACCTGGGAAAACAGCAGAAAGACGGCCCAAGTCCTTGGGTTCCTGCACCCATGTGGGAGACCCAGAAGAAGATCCTGGCTCCTGGCTTTGGATTGGCCCAGCTCTCCAGCCATTGCAGCCATTTGGGGAGTGACCCAGTGGATGGAAGACACATCTCTCTCTCTTCTCTCTCTCTGACTCTGCCTCTCAAGTAAATAAATAAATCTTTAAAAATAATTCCATAGTGTTAATGCCCTGTAGTAAACATTATTTTACTCACGGATATTTTGGCCATTTCTAGTCTTTTCAGTCATTAAACTTGATCATGTTAATTCCATGATTAAAATCTTTCTGAGACTCCTCATTGCTTACAAGATAAAATCTAAATTCCTTAGTGTAGCAGCAAGGGCCTCCGTGACTAGACCACTGCACTATCTTTTCATATTTCCTCCTCACCTGCTGCCCTTCTTTAAGGAAAAAAAGGTCGGGGGGAACTTATTTATTTTTTTGAAAGGCAGAGTTACAGAGAGAAAGAGAGAGAGAGGTCTTCCATCCACTGGTTCACTCCCCAAATGGCTGCAATGGCCGGGACTGGGCCAGGCCAAAGCCAGGAGTCTGGAGCTTCCACATGGTGGCAGGGGCCCAGGCAGGTAGTCCATGTTCCACTATCTTCCCAGGTGCATTAACAGAGAGCTGGATTGGAAGTAGAGCAGCCGGGAATCTGACTAGTGCACATTTGGGATGCCAGCATCACAGGCACAATTAATTAATTAATTAATTTTAGGATTTATTTATTTGAGAGGTAGAATTACAGAGAGAGAGAGAGAGAGAGAGAGAGAGAGAGAGTCTTCCATCTGCTGGTTCATTCCCCAAGTGGCTGTAATGGCTGGAGCTGGGCGATCCGAAGCCAGGAGCCAGGAGCTTCTTCCGGGTCTCCCATGCGGATGCAGGGGCCTAAACACTTGGGCCATCTTCTACTGCTTTCCCAGGCCATAGCAGAGAGCTGGACCGGAAGGGGAACAGCTGGGACTCAAACCAGCACCCATATGGGATGGCGGCACTGCAGGCAGAGTTTAACCCACTGTGCCACAATGCTGGTGCCCCCCCTGCTGGCCTTCTGGACATGTGTCCTACTTCGAATTCCCCATCATGCTATGCTAATACTAGAGCTGTTTCTTTAACCTAGAATGCTCTTCCTCCAACTAAGTGACAGACGTCAGCTTCAGTCTCCTACACCCAGCCCAGAAGTCTTTCCTTTTTTTTTTTTTTTTTTTGACAGGCAGAGTGGATAGTGAGAGAGAGAGACAGAGAGAAAGGTCTTCCTTTGCCGTTGGTTCACCCTCCAAAGGCCGCCACGATCTGCACCACACTGATCTGAAGGCAGGAGCCAGGTGCTTCTCCTGGTCTCCCATGGGGTGCAGGGCCCAAGCACTTGGGCCATCCTCCACTGCACTCCCTGGCCACAGCAGAGAGCTGGCCTGGAAGAGGGGCAACCGGGACAGAATCCGGCGCCGCGACTAGGACTAGAACCCGGTGTGCCAGCGCCGCAAGGCGGAGGATTAGCCTAGTGAGCTGTGGCGCCGGCCGAAGTCTTTCCTAAATCAGACAGACTGACCTCTTCCTTCTGTCCGCCTGCACTGGAGCCTATGCATTGGAGACTATGACCTCTGCCGGCAGTTATTTGTGATGTACTTCCAACCTATGGTGGGGGGAGGCAGTCGGGTGCAGGGGTTAAACAGCCAGGACCCCTGCATCCCCTATCAGAGTGTCTGGGCTTGAGTCCCGGCTCCACCTCTGACTCTCACCGCCTGCTGAGGCACACGCTGGGAGGCAGCAGGCACTTGGATCCCTACCACCCTGTGTGAAACTTAGGATTGAGTTCCAGGCTCCTGGCTTCAGCTTGGCCCAGCTCTGGCTGTTGCAGTCTCTCTTTCTTTCTCTCTTTCAAGATTTATTTATTTTATTTGAAACACAAAGTTACAGAGAGGCTGAGGCAGAAAGAAAGAGAAAGGGAGAGAGAGAGATAGTGTCTTCTATCCATTGGTTCACTCCCCAGTTGGCTGTAATGGCCAGAGCTGCGTCGATCCAAAGCCAGGAGCCAGGAGCTTCTTCCGGGTCTCCCCCATGGGTACAGGGGCCCAAGGACTTGGGCCATCTTCCACTGCCCTCCCGGGCCACAGCAGAGAGCTGGATCGGAAGTGGAGCAGCCAGGTCTTGAACTGGCATCCATATGGGATGCTGGCACTGCAGGAGGTGGCTTTACCCACTAGGCCACAGCACTGGCCCCTCTTTCTTTTCTTTTAAAGATTTATTTTAGGAGCCGGTGCTGTGGCCTAGCAGGTAAAGATTTATTTTATTTATTTGAAAGATAGAGTTACAGAGAGAGAGAGAGAACCTCCATCTGCTGGTTCACTCCCCAAAAGGCCACATCTGCCAGAATTGGGCCAGGCTGAAGCCAGGAAGCAGGAGCTTCATCCAAGTCTCCCACGTGGGTGCAGGGGCCCAACCACCTGGGCCATCCTCCACTGCTTTCTCAAGTGCATCAGCAGGGAACTGGGTCAGAAGTGGAGCAGCTGGGACTCAAACCAGTGCCCGAATATAATGCCAGTGTCACAGCCAGCAGCTTAAGCCATTATACCACAATGCTGGCCTTATCTCTCAACCTTTCAAATAAAAATAAATAACTAAATAAAATTTAAAAAATAAATAACACAGGGGACCAGTGTTGTAGCATAGCAACGGCAGCATCCCATGTGGGTGCCAGTTTAAGACCCAGATGCTCCACGTCCAATCCAGCTGCCTGCTATGGCCTGGGAAAATCAGTGGAAGATGGCCCAAGTGCTTGGGCGCACCCCTGTGGGAGACCTGGAAGAAGCTCTTGGTTCCTACCTTGAGACTGGCCCAGCTCCTGCCATTTTGGCCATTTGGGGATTAAACCAACCAGTGGAAGATCTCTCTCTCTCTCTCTCTCTCTGCCTCTCCCTCTCTTTCTAACTCCACCTTTCAAATAAATAAATAAATCTTTAAAAAAAAAAAAAGTTTGACTTTTAATTGCTTTTCCCATGAACGTTTTGAAGTACCTTTTAAGTATTTTCTACTAAACAGAAAATTCCCTGAGGGTAGGGCCTGTCCTATTTATCATTGTAATTCCTGTCCTAGCTCAATGGTAGCATCTAACAGGCAGTCAGTCACGTTTCCCTTAACCAGCAAAGGACTCCCCTCCTCTCCTGGCTGCCCTCCCATTGGATCTATCAGCTCTATGTAGGCAGGCGTGCGGTGTGGTGGTTAAGTTGCTGCCTGGATACTGCACCCCCATCGGAATGCCTGCTTCAACTCCTGGCTACCCTGGTTCAGGTCCAGCTTCCTGTCAGTGTGCATCCTGGTAGGCAGCAGATGATGGCTCAAGTACTTGGATCCCTTCCACCCACATGGGAGACCCGGATGGAGTTCTTGGCTCCTGGCTTCGACCTGGCCCAGCCCTGGCTGTTGCAGATATTTGGGAAGTGAACCAGAAGATAATTGATCTCTGTCAGCCTTTTACATAAAATAAGAATATAAGCTCTACTTTTCCATTGTGAGGAAACTAGTTTTGCTGGCCTTACCTTTCGGTCCCATGTATTAGTTCTTTTTTTTTTTTTTTTCCTGTTTTTTCTTATCCATGTATTAGTTCTAACTTCAGTCCTTGTATGTCCACCCTGAGCCTCACGCTCACCTCTGCCTCTACCACCTTTGTCCCTGGTTTGTTTCCCACCTTCCCATTCAAATTCATGGCCGCTGTCCAGCTGCTCCGAGTCTGAAGGTGTTTCCAGCCCTTCTAGCTCCAGATCAGAACTGCCGTCGGGAGAGGACGGTGCAGAGTGGCCAGGGGAAGCCGCACTGCCTCCGGGCTCCTGGGTCAGATTCAGCTGCAACTCTGGGGCAGAAAGACGCTTCCTCATGGGGCGCTGGCCACACAGAGCCAGGGTGCTGGGGGTACCTGGGTTGGAGGAAGGGAAAACAAAGCAACCAACCCTGAAACTTGGATTGAGTTTCAAGGAGGAACTTCGATGAAAGAGGAAATGGGTGCGTAAGGGGATGGCCGACTTTCTAGCTTACCTACCTGCCTGGGAGTCTCCTTTAAGGTCTTCAGGAGCTTCAGAAAGGCCAACCTCCTCAGGAAGCAATCTAGAGGAGAAAAGATGGAAAGGGGGCACGGGGGCCTGCACTGTGGCGTAGGGGGTAAAGCTACCCCCTGCAACACTGGCATCCCATCTGGGCGCTGGTTCAAGTCCTGGCTGCTCCACTTCTGATCCAGCTTCCTGCTAACGTGCTTAGGAAAAGCAGTGGAAGATGGGCCAAGTGCTTAGGCCCCTGCCACTCACATGGGAAACCCAGATAAAATTCCTGGCTCCTGGCTTCAGCCTGGCCCAGCTCTGGCCATTGTGGCCATCTGGGGATTGAACTAGTGGATGGAATATGTCTCTTTCTCTCTGTATCTCCCCCCCCTCTCTCTCTGTAGCTCTTTCAAATAAACAAATAAATCCTTAAAATGTAAAACAACAAATCAGGCACCTATTTTTTAAAAAGACAAAGCAAAAGGGGGATAGATATCAGTTAAGGCATCACCAGGTATCAATTTTCCAGTTCTTGTCATTTTTATCACCTCTGCTTCCTCTTCATAATTTTACTTTTGTTTTGTTTGAAAGGTAGAGAGAGAGAGAGAGAGAGAGATCTTTCATCCACTGCCCAAATACCTACAACAGCCAGAGCTGAGCCAGGTTGAGGACAGGAGCCTGGAATTCATTTCAGATCTCCCATGTGGGTGGCAGGGACCCAAGTACTTGAGCCATCATCTGCTGCCTCCCAGGGTACACAGTAGTAGAGAGCTGGATGACAGGGCAGCAGCCAGTACTCAACCAGACACTCCCAGTGTTTGACGAGGGCGTTTGAAGCAGCGACTTAACAGCTGCACAAACTCTGGCCCCTTGGCTTTCTTTTTTTGCACCTCTTCCCTGCAAGTCCTAATCCACCATTCCTGCTGCCCTCTGTGGCCATCCCTCCCTCCTCCCAGCCTCCTCACCTAGGGAATTCTTCATCCTGCCATTCTTCCTTCAGCTCCAGTTCCCCAAGTCTCAGGGCTGCTCCTGGTTCTGCTTCTGCATCCTTCCTGACCCTAAGATCATCCCCGGATGAAAAGACAATCATGAGACAACCTAGGCAGTGACCTAAGGGAACTGGACAGCCAGCAGGAGACGCTGGAATGAGCAGTAATGAAGGCAGAATTCCCGCTTTAAAACGTGCTCAGATCTCGTCTCCTCTACAGGCGTTTCTCGCCCTGCCACTCCTGGCAGAAGCAGATAAGCACTGCTGGGTTTAGGAGCAGAGGAACGCTCATCAGCATATTTACCACTGCAGCCCTTGGCTCCGCTTACCAAATAGGGATGAGAGATGTCCCACATTGCAACTGGCTGGAACCCAGGCAGACGCGCCCAGGTATTACCCGGCAGAGCCGGAGAGGTGGCATTTAGTCAGGCCTGCCTTTTCTCACTGCTGGGGGGTGGCCAGGGGACATCATGGCTGAGGTGGAGAGATGAGATAGGAGGTAAAGAGAGAGGGAGAGATTTGCTGGGAAGGAAAACCTGGGCCTGAACTCAGTTCTGGGTTAGCTTTCCTAATGGCCATTCTGGAGGCAGCAGTTAGAAAGTAAAGACGGGATGGGAGTTTGGCGCAACGTGTAGAGTGCCGCCTGTGACACTGGCATCCCATATGGGCACCGGTTCAAGACCTGGCTGCTCTACTTCCAGTCCACTTCTGCGCTATTATACCTGGGAAATTCAGTGGAAGATGGCCCAAGTGCCTGGGCACCCATAGGGGGAGACCCAGATGAAGCTTCTGGCTTTAGCCTGGCACAGCCCCATGTGGACATTTGGGGAGTGAACCAGTGGATGGAAGATCTCTCTCTCAGTCTCTTTCTATGTAGCTCTGCCTTTCAAATAAATAAAAAAACTTAAAAAAAAAATGAACATTAAAAACAAAAAAAAAAAGAAAGACAACAAAAAAAAAAGAAAAAAATGAACATGGACAGATTTATCAGATGCAAAATATAGGAACCTCATATATATGTATATACGAATATACATATACATATATATTTTTTATATATATATACATATATATATGTAAAATGAATTTGAAAGGCAAAGAGACAGACAAGAGATCTCTCATTTGCTGCCTCTCTCCCCAAATACCCACAACAGCCAGGGCCAGGCCAGGCAGAAGCCTGGAGTCCAGAGCTCCATGTGGGTCTCCCACCTGAGTGACAGGGACCCGAGTCCTTGAGCCATCACCGCTGCTTCCTCAGGGTGTGCATTAGCAGGAAACTAGAGCCGGAGGCTGAGCTGGAGCTGGGACTCCAAGCCAGGCCCTCCTCATGGGATGCAGGCACCCAAGTGGCAGCTTAACTACTGTGCCAAAGAGCCTGTGGTTTCTTGAGACCAGGGAATTACCTGGAACCCACATCATACTGACATTTCCTACCTAAAGCCAACCCCATCCTTTCTCAGCAAATTAATTCTTTCAGTCTCATTTCCTCTAGCAGCTGGTGAGCTCTGACCTGCTAAGAGCTGGAGACTGGGAAAGTCCCTCAAGACTCGTCACTCCCTGCTTCGAATCAAGCGAGCCCAGGTCTCCACTCACCCCAGATCCGGCGTCTTTCTTCCGGCCTCTTGTGTGGTTCCCATCTTCAAGTCTTCCTTCTTGAAACGCAGCGGCCGGGGAGCTGCTCATCCCACCCCCAACCCTTCTTCACCCCCTTTCTCCTGCGCTTGTTGTTGTCCTTGCTCCAAGGCGGGAGGCGTGGGAGGGAGGTAACCTCTTCTTTAAACAGGTTTTGCCACCTCCCTTCCCAAGGAGCAGGTTTGCCCAAAAGAAAAACCCTGCCTCCTGCGTGGGGGCGGGCTCTGGGGAGGAGAGTGCGTTTCCTAGGGTGGCAGTCATGGGTGGGTTTATGAAGGCACTTTGTTCTCCTTTTGGCCTTCCTGATTTTTTTTTTTTTTACTTATTAGAAATGTAGAGTGACAGAGAGAGAGGGAGAGACAGAAAGAAATCTTCCATCTGCTGGTTCACTCCCCAAATCCCCAAATGGTTACAACAGCTGGGGCTGGGCCAGACCCAGGCAGGAACCGGAGAAGCCCAAGCACTTCTTCGTTGCTTTCCCAGGCACATTAGCACAAAGCTGGAAGTAGAGCAGCTGGGACTTGAATCCGTGCTCTGACATGGGATGCTGGCATCACAGGCAGTGGCCTAACCTGCTGTGCCACAATGCTGGCCCCTGCCTTTTTGTTTTTTTCAGATTTATTTATTTGAAAGGCAGAGTTACAGAGAGGCAGAGCAGAGAGGAGAGAGAGAGAGAGGTCTTTCATCTATAGGTTTGCTCCCAAATAGCCACAATGGCCAGAGCTGGGCCAATCTGATGCCAGGAGCCAGGAGCTTCCTCCAGGTCTCCCACGTGGGTGCAGGGGCCCAAGGACTTGGGCCATCTTCCACTGCTTTCCCAGGCCATAGCAGAGAGCTGGATTGGAAGTGGAGCAGCCGGGACTCAAACCAGTGCCCATATGGGATGACAGCACTGCAGGCAGTGGATTTGCCTGCCATGCCACAGTGCCGGCCCCATGGGATGCTGGCATCTTAAGCAGCAGCTTAACCACTATGTCACAATGGCAGCCCCCTTTTTGTTTTTAAGGAAAAAGCAACAGTGGAAACCATTTTAGTTGAAATCATTTTTGTTGTAAGACAATCTTGGGCCTACTGTTCAAGCATAAGCAAAACTGGGGAGATAGCAGTATGTTGCAAAGAGGGTTCTTAAAGGCTAAGGAAGGATATGGAGACAGACGCTTGCTATTCCTTATTCCTAACAGGAATCGACAGGTGACAATAGGGAAGAAGCAAGACGAAGCCTTAGGAGGCTGAAACAAGTATCAGAGGGAAGGGCCTGATTACAGCTGTAAAAAGACACTAAGACCCCAAACAGGAAAAAAGTATTTAATACTTTAACAAAATGCAAAAGAAAGTACCAAGTTACAAAACAAATGCCTTTGGTTCAGTGATTACATCACTATTTTTACCTTCCAATGGCTACAGATATCACACCCTTCAAGCCAGACTGTACCCCTCATCCTTGAAGATGTCACGCCAAAACCATCACATACCCCACTGTGCACTGAGAAACGGGGGCAGCTTCCATGGAATACAACTGTTGGGTGGGAAAAGGGGGGACGAGTGGGTCTGAAGAGAAAAGGGAGACTCTACACATGCAGAACAAGCCAGGGGGACGGAGCTATCTGGGGACCACTAGGGCATTACGAGCCACACCCCTGTACATGCTACCTGAGGCCAGGTCCCTCGGTACAACCACACAATGCAGACCATCTAGTAACACCAAGCACTCCCAGAGAAAACAGAAAAAGAAAAAAAAAAATACAGAGGCGAGGAAGGGATGGCAGTAAAGGCAGATCACAGAACAGCAGGTGTGTCTAGTCCAGTCTGTGCGAGGCCCAGAGTAGGCAGTGTACAGCCCAATGACAACACCGCTTGTGGCAGTCCGCATTCTGACTCCACGCCCCCTTCTAACGTGAACACGAGCAAGGGACGGACAAGAAATCGACAGAGCCCCAAGGCAGGGGACAGCCCCGGGGCTCTCGCTGCTGTTCTGCTCTCTTGGGGACAGTGCCGGTGCAGCCTTCCTGGGGTACCTCCTGAACCCTTCAAGAACCAGGCTCTGCAGGGCCTTTCCAGGGTTCCGTGTGGCTCTGGGACAGAAGTGTGCACAGAAGCAGAGAGCCGGTCCTGATCAGGACAGTCGTAACAGCCTCCAGTCTGCTCCTGACCCAGACCTGGAACAGTCCCAGTCGGCTCAGAACCAAGCTCTGGCCACTGGCTGCCCACTGGCTGCAGACGCAGCCGAGGGTCAGGGCACTGCGAGTGTGCTGAGGACACAAAACTGGAAAGGGCGTTTCCAGAGCACTCTCTTCTCTACCTGACTAGAAGCAGGTGGTCCATGCACATTTGAACAAGTGACTACGTGGTTCCGTGACAGACACTGGTCCTGTTCAAGAGCCTCACGGAGGGCACTCTGGGGGCCTACATTCTTTGTCCCACCCTGCTGGGGCTGCGGGTGTTGTCACCATGTCCCTGGCACATGAAACAGAGGAGTCAGTGCACATTTAAATAAAACAATTAAATAATAAAACTGTCTGATGGGCAGACCGGAGGGAGACGCAAAGTCGCTCTCACAGCAGCCGCTCCCTTTCGCCTCCCAGTTTTATGAGAACAGCACCCCAGAGCCTGGAACGGGAAGACAGAGTTGCCGAAATCGCCAAACATCTCAAAACATGCACTTGAGGCGGGTTGAGCCACCTCCTCTCCCACCACCTCTCCCTCCCCGCAGTCACTTCTTTGACACGGAGGACTGTGACAGCGAGATCTGACTGCACTTTTCGAAGACCGCCTCCGCGGAGAGCCTGGGTAGCCCCTGATCCAGAGGGCACTCATCCACCAAGCTGTTCATGGGCGTGGGGGGCAGCGGCGGGTCCTCCTCGTCCTGACTCAGTCCAGCGATCAGCGAGTTCCCCGCCCTGTCCAATTCCTTGTCGGCCTGCTCCCTGGACGCTCCCGCCGTCTCGGGCTGTCCTGACGGTATCTGCACGGAGTCAGAATAGGCCGACAGGGCTTCCTGCAGCACAGGCAGAAGTTTCTTTCGGGAAGCCTGCGTGTTGCCTTGAAGATAGGCTTGGAGGTTAGGGTGGCTGCTTGGAACAGGGGTCAGCTTCAGGGGCGGAGACTGGGAGCGTTCCAGAACCCCACAGATCTGCAGAGGAGATAAAATGGGGAGATGAGACATAACATGGCATAGCAATGAGGTGAGGTTCCAAGTGAGAGGCTTCCTTTAGAGAATAGAAAGCTTTTTTTTTTTTTTTTTTTTAAGATACGGCCACGGCCTCAATGGCCAGGGCTCTACCAGGCTGAAGCCAGGGACCATGTGGGTACCAGGGGCCCAAGGACTTGGGCCATTGTCCACTGGCTTCCCAGGCACACTAGCAGGAAGCTGGATTGAAAGTGGAACAGCTGGGACACGAACTGGTGCCCATACAGGATACCGGCGTCACAGACAGCAGCTTAACATGCTATACCACAACACCAGCCCTCCAGAAACTTTTCCTAATTAAGTCATCAGAGTTTAGTTTAATTGCTTGCAAGAAAAGGAATGTAACTTAGAGTATGTTAGAAAGCGAAGAAACATTTTAGATTATATACTTCATTTTAGCTTTAAGGAAACCAAAGCTCGAAGAAATTAAGCATCTTAAGCAAAACCACACAGATGAGGACAGAGTCATCTGATAACAGATCCCAGGGCCCCCAGCTCCTAACCTAACGTTTCTAAGTGTATACTCGTGCTCAGGAACTTCAACTCTGACCCTACCTGAGATGAGACTAGCGTATGTGTAGAGGTCAGGGGAAGGACTGAGGCAGAAAGAGAGAATAGGACAAATGGGAATGAGAGTCAGGCAAGCACAGGGCCAAAGTCTGGCCATTTACAAACAGCATCTCATTTAATTCTCACAACTGCCCTGCAAGGCTGGCATTACCAACACTCTCACTTACAGGCAGGAAAACAAGCGGTCAATTAGGTGACCCGCCTGAGGTCACAGTTTGCATCGAGCAGAACTGACACTCAAACCCAGGAATGTCACCAGTGATGGAGTTCTAAATCTATGCTGCCATCCCCACGCGGGAGGGTGAGAGGGGACGGCAGGGCACACCGCGAAGATGGCCCCACTCCTCAGCCCAGAGGCAGCCCGCGTGACGGCGGGGTCCTCAGACCTCGTGAGACACCTGCACGGCTTCTGAGAGCAGCACTGTGGAAACCAGATCCAGGGAGAGGAGACAAGCACTGCTATTTATCTATTTATTTGAAAGAGAGAGAGAGAGAGAGAGAGAGAGAGAGATCACTCCCCCAAAACTGACAAGAGCAGGGGCTGGGCCAGGCTGAAGCCAGGAGCCCAGAACTCAATCTGGGTCTCCCATGTGGTTAGCAAGGACCCAAGGACTTGAGCCATCAACTGGTGACTCCCAGGGTGTGCAACAGCAGGGAGCTGGATTGGAAAGGGAGCAGGGACTGGAACCCAGGCATTCTGGTATGGGGTGCAGGTGCTCCAGGTGGCATGTTAGCCACCAGGCCACTCCCGTCTTGTGAGAGGCACTGCTTAGGGTTCAAGCACCCTTTCCTTCCTGACACGACCAGAACGAGCCACCCTCTGCCGAGTGCTTACGCTATGCCCATATGGCATACGGCATTATGTCTGACGATCACATCAGACTAATCAGCAGGTACTGTTAGACCTTTTATAGACTCCAAAGTCAAATGCTTTGCCTTAGCTCAAAGGGCAAGGAAGTAGCAACCTGGGACAGAAAAGGATGTTTATCTGACTTTAAAGGCTAGAGTTCTTTCCACAACGAGAAACTACCTCGCACTTGGGGAAATCACATTTGCTTCCGGGGAGAAGACAAAGGCAAAGAGAAGGGTGAGGGCAGGCGTACCTTGTACATGCAAAGGATTACCTAGCCGTATTCTGTCTTCAGCAGTCCTCACATTGCCCAAGCAACCTAAGGAGTCCCTGGACTGAGTGCCTTCAGCCCTGGTTTAAATTCTTTCCTGGCTAATTAGTAACCAAGAGAGGAAGAGAAAGAGGAGGAGGTTGGAAAGATGGTCAAATGGAAGGTAAGGGGAAAAACCAACCCGATCTGAGATCGCTCCTCTGCAAAGTCATGCCACACAGAACTGTAGGCAATAGGAAAGGTTTCTCTGTGCTTCTAACTCCCAAGGCAACAGAACAGAAAAGAACTGCTTTTCCAGGGTAAGAAATGAATGATTAATGATTAAACCAAGAGTCAAGTTCAAACTCAAGATTTATAATCTTTCCTTCTAGCCAACCTTCAAGTTCTGCCCAAGTAGAGACTATGTCTCTGATTCTCTGGAATCCCCTGTCCTCAACTGTATGATTAAGGATATTCACAGATACAGAGAGTGAAAGAAAAAAACAGGGAGGGGAGGTTCTGGCAAGTCAAAGAACTTCTGTGTAAACCTAAGAACAAGGAGAGGTTCTTACAGCACAGAGGGGCACACGGCAAGCCCCGGGAGGCCGGCCTGTTGCAGGAGGCCTGGAGACTCACCGTCGTCCGCAGCGCCACTTGGGTACAGAAAACAGCCAGCTGCCGCACTGGCTCATTGTGAGTGTTGAAAAAGATAGTCATGGCGACCAGGGCGTCACAGCTGTGAGCGTGGCAGAAAGCGTGGAGGTCTGCAGAGAGGTTGGGTCTCTGTAGGAAGGCCTGCAGGGAAGACATGGAGAGAGATGAGGGCTACGGCTGGACCCTCCCCGTCATCGCCAACCAAACATGTTAACTCAGGACTTGTGCACCACGAGCAAGGTATCTGGTATTTGTGCTATCTGTGCAGTGGGGAGCAGAGTGGCGGGATGGGGAGAAAAGACAGGCCTGGGATTAAGACAGAATTGGTTTGAAAATCAGCTGTATTACCCATTTTAACCTCCCTGGACTTAAATGTCCTTATCTGTGAAACAAGTTTGTAACATTTACCTAACTGATGGTGACAGGGATGAAAATACTGTAATGCGTGTGATGTGCCGGACATGCTCAAGGCTCTCCTGCTCTTGCAACCAAACAAGCAAGGCTTTTGCCCTGTGGCTATTTTTATTCTAAAACAGATCAGTAGAGCAAACGGATGTGGAATCGCAGACAAGCAACAACCACAGCCTCCGTTCTTTCTCTGTGGATCCAGTCTCTTCTCCAAAGTCTCAAGTGGTGCTTCCTCCAGTGACTACCACCACCACCTAGTTCAGATCAGGGCTTTGCTCCATCCTTGGCATTTCTTTTCTTTTAAAGACTGATTTGAAAGGCAGAGTTATAGAGAGAGAGGGAGAAACAAAGACAGAGAGAGAAAGAGAGGGAGAGAGAGAGAGAGAGAGAGAGGGAGGGAGAGAAGGAGAGAGAGAGAATCACTGGTTCACTCCTCAAAAGGCTGCACACCCAGGGCTGGGCCAGGTTGAAGCCAGGAGCTTCATCCAGGTCTCCTTCATGGGTGGCAGGGACCCAAGCACTTGAGTCATTCTCCTCTGCTTTCCCAGGTGCACCAGCAGGGAGGGGGCTGAATCAGAAGTGGAGCAGAGGCTGGCACTGTGAAGTTGCCACCTGCAGCACTGGCATTCCATATGGATGCAGTTTTGAGACCCAGCTATTCCACTTCTGATCCAACTCCCTGCTAATGTGCCTGGGAAAGCAGTGGGACATATCCCAAGTCATTGGGCCCCCGCACCCACGTGGGAGACCCAGAAGAAGCTCCTGGCTCCTGGCTTCAGACTGGCCCAGCTTCAGCCATCACGGCCATTTGGGGAGTGAAACGGTAGATGGAAGATCTCTTTCTCTCTGCCCTCTTCCTCTCTCTGTGTAACTCCACCTTTCAAGTGAATTAAAAAAAAAAAATGTTGAGCAGATGGGTCTTGAGCTGGCACCCATATGGGATGCTGGCCTTGCAGGTGGCAGCTCTATCACACAACATTGGTCCCCATCCTTGGCTTTTTTTTTTTTTTTGGTAAAGACTTATTTATTTGTTTCAAAGTCAGAGTTACAGAGAGAGAGAGAGAGAGAGATCTTCCATCTGCTGGTCCATGCCCCCGATGGCTGAAGCCAGGAGCTAAAGAGCTCCCTCAGGGTCTCCCACATGGGTGGCAGGGACCCAGTACTTGGGCCATCCTCTGCTGCTTCTCTCAGACCACTAGTAGGGAGTTAGATCAGAAGTAAGGCAGCCAGGACAGGAACTGGCATCCATATGGGATGCCGGGGTTGCAGGCGGTAGCTTTATCTGCTTTACCACAATCTTTTTTTTTTTTTTTTTTTTGACAGGCAGAGTGGACAGTGAGAGAGACAGAGAAAAAGGTCTTCCTTTTGCTGTTGGTTCACCCTCCAGTGGCCACCACGGCCGGCGTGCTGTGGCCGGCGCATCGCGCTGATCTGAAGGCAGGAGCCAGGTGCTTTTCCTGGTCTCCCATGCGGGTGCAGGGCCCAAGGACTTGGGCCATCCTCCACTGCACTCCTGGGCCATAGCAGAGAGCTGGCCTGGAAGAGGGGCAACCAGGACAGAATCCGGCGCCCTGACCGGGACTAGAACCCAGTGTGCCAGCACCGCAAGGTGGAGGATTAGCCTATTGAGCCGCGGCGCCGGCTTTACCACAATCTTAAAAAAAAAGAAAAAAATTAAGTTCATGGAAAAAAAGAATTAAAAGATAAATTTATTTCAGTGCAAAAGATCTTGAAATCCATGCATAGTTTCTCATAATATATATTTTCTATGTTCCTTGAAGACCCATTGAATAGACGCCAAACAAGGAAACCATGAGACAAGATCATTTCAGTATGTTAAGTGCTATGGGGAAAACAAAACAAACTGCTAGAGGTTTCCTAAACACAGGAAATATTACAAAATAATAACAACAGAAAGCATGCTCAGGACACATCTGCACTGATGCTGAGTGATAAGGAGGAACCAGCTCTGCTACAGGAAAAGCAAGTTCAAAGCCTTGACTTAAGTGTGAGCTCACTGCTCTGAGGAACAGAAAGAAACCCAGCCTGGCTGTGGCACTGTGAATGCAGGAGTGGGGCTGGGAGGAGATGGGCTGGACCTGGGCCCTACTGTAAGCCAGGCCTTTAGCTCTCGTTAGGAGGACAGAGAAAGGCAGTGAAGGCAGGAGGGGTCGGCCATGATCTGATTCACACCTTAAACAGATCACTCTGGGTGCTGTTGGAGCACAGTTCCCAAGGGTGAATGAGATCTCATCCGTAATGAGAGGAGGTTACCGCGGTGGCCAGAGTGGAAGTGCAGACAAGCAGACAGGCACGAGAGACACCCTGGAGGGGGACGAGGGGCAAGGTGCCACCGTGACTAGAGGTTTCCCTCCCCACCCTCCTCCACCTCTTGCTCTTACCTCCAGATCCATATATATTGCACTAATGGCCACCTTGCTGCCTGGCCTGTAGATGGTCTTCAGGTCCTTTCTCAGCATCTGCTCAGTGGTCAGTCCTAGAAAGTAGATGTGATCCTAGGGGTCAAATAGGGGAGCCCGGGTCCCAAGACAAGGAATGCCGGAACACCAAGAGGGGTTAATGGAGAGGAGAAATGTGGTCTTTCTTTGGAGGACATGAAGCAGAGAGATGATGGAAAATGCATTTATAGGAGCTGGCGCTGTGGCGCTGTGGCACTGTGGTGCTGTGGTGTAGTGGGTGAAGCCACCACCTGCAGTGCCAGCATCCCATATGGGTACCAGTTCGAGTCCTGGCTGCTCCACTTCTGATCCAGCTCTCTGCTATGGCCTGGGAAAGCAGTAGAAGATGGCCCAAGTGCTTGGACCCCTGCACCCATTTGAGAGACCTGGAAGAAGCTCCTGGCTTTGGATTGGCATAGCTCTTACCATTGCAGCCAATTGGGGAGTGAACCAGCAGGTGGAAGACCTCTCTCTCTCTCTCTGCCTCTCCTTCTCTCTCTGTGTAATTCTGACTTTCAAATAAATAAATAAATAAATCTTCAAAAAAAAAAAAAAAAAAAGACTACAATGAGCAAGGCTTGCCTACTTGTCTTCTCATGCAGGAGGTAGGGAAGTCACTGTGCCACTTCCTACCTGACACATCAAACTTTGCCTTTTGGAGGGAATCAAAGATGTCATCTCTCTTGGGCAGATCTGGGAAGAGGGCCTCCAGTTTCTCTACATATTGGTTGTCCTTTAGGGTTGCCTTTCCAATTTTAGGGTCCATGTTGACACAGTCCAGGATGATGGTTCCTGTGCAGACAGAGAGGGAAGAAGTCAAATCCTAAGATCCTCCACTCACAGCCACTAGAACACACGTAACCGGGGCTGGCACTGTGGCGTAATGGGCTAAGCATCCATCTGCAGTGCAGGCATCCCATGTGGGTGCTGGTTCTAGTCCGGGTGCTCCTCTTCCAATCCAGCGCTCTGCTATGGCCTGGGAAAACATCAGAAGATGGCTCAAGTGCTTGGGCCCCTGCACCTTCCTGGGAGACCCAGAAGAAGCTCTTGGCTCCTGGCTCCGGATCAGCCTGGCTCTGGCTGTTGTGGCCATTTGGGGACTGAACCAGTGGATGGAAGACCTTTTTTTCTGTCTCTCCCTCTCTCTGTCTGTAGCTCTGCCTCTCAAATAAATAAATAAATCTTAAAACACACACACATACACACATACCCTTCAAACCACACTGACAAAATACAGAGGAGACTTGCATGGCAAACTCACTGAAAACAAAACAAGAAAGTGCGATGGTCTTTGTTCTGAGTAAGACCTTCCATATCCAAAATAAAACGGAGCTGGGGAAAGGGGGAAAGGTGGAAAGGAAGTCTGAGCGTCTCAATCCTTGTGGATTTCACAACCTAGTCAGAGAGAGATGACAACTCTTCAATAGGCCAAAGTCTACCAAAGAATCTTACCATCTGGAAGAAAGTCTATTCCAACTGTAACTTGTTTTTAAAATGGAGAAAATGGCAAAAGAAAGGCTAAGAAATTTGCTCAAAGCCATACAACTATTTCCTGGCAGAGCTGGCATTAAAATGTGTTCTAGGGTAAGCATTTGGCCTCATGGTTAAGCTGCCAGTTATGATGCCTACATTCCCTATCAGTATGTAGGCTCAACACCTAGCTCTGGCTCCTGACTCAGTGCCTTGCTAATCCAGGCTGTAGGGGGCAGCAGTGATGGCTCAAGTCATTGGTTCCTGCCACCCACATGGGAGATGGAGACCTGGATTGAATTCCTGACTCCTGGCTACAGCCTGGCCCAGCTCTGGCCATTTTGGACATTTAGGGAGTGAATCAGCAGATGGGAGCGCTCTCGCATGCTCTCTCTCTCTCTCTTGCTCTCTCTCTCTCTCTTGCTCTCTCTCTCAAATTAACTAAAAAAAGTTTCCTTCTGGTTTAGCTAGTTATGCAATGCTGCTAAAACAAAGTACCTAGGTCTATTGCTCTGCATTTCAAATAAATAGTTTTCAGGGGCAAGCGCTGTGACAAGTGGGCACTGATGAGTCCCAACTGCTCCACTTACAATCCAGTTCTCTGATGGTGCTCCTGGGAGGGCAGCAGAGGATGGCTCAAGAACTTGGGCCCCTGCACCCATGTGGGAGACCCAGAGGAAGCTCCTGGCTTCAGTGTGGCCCACCCTGGCCCTTGCAATCAATTGGGGAGTGAACCAGTGGATGGAAGATATCTCTCTGCAACTCTGCTTTCAAATAAATAAATCAATCTCTTTTTTATTAAAAAGATTTTATTTATATTTGAGAGGTAGAGTTACAGGGAGAGGCAGAGGCAGAGGCAGAAAGAGAGAGAGGCAGAGAGATAGGTAGGTCTTCCATCTGCTGGTTCACTCCCCAGTTGGCCACAAGGGCCGGGGCTGCGTGGATCCGAAGCCAGGAGCCAGGAGCTTCTTCTGGGTCTCCCCCGTGGCTACAGGGGCCCAAGGACTTGGGTCATCTTCCACTGCTTTCCTAGGCCACAGGAGAGAGCTAGATTGGAAGAGGAGCAGCTGGGACATGAACCGGTGCCCACATGGGATTACAGAGCCACAGGTGGAGGCTTAGCCTACTATGCCACAGGGCCGACCCCAATAAATCTTTTTAAAAATATATTTTTCAAAAAGGGTGGGTGTTGTGGTGTAGCAGTTTAAACTACCCACTTACAACACCAGTATCTCATATCAGAGTGCTGATCTGAGTCCTGGCTGCTCTGCTTCCAATCCAGCTCATGTCAGAGACCAGGATAGATTTTCTGGCTCCTGACTCTGGCCTGGCCAAGATTGGTTGTTTTTATTTTTATTTTTTGTATTTTTTTAAAGATTTATTTTATTTATGTGAAAGGCAGCATTACAGAGAAAGAGAGAAGGAGAGAGAGAGAGAGATCCTGCATCTGCTGGTCCACTCCCCAAATGGCCACGATGGCCAGAGCTGAACCGATCTGAAGCCAGGAACCAGAAGCTTCCTCCTGGTCTCCCATGTTGGTGCAGGGGCTCAAGCACCTGGGCCATCCTCTGCTGCTTTCCCAGGTGCATTAGCAGGGAACTAGGTCAGAAGTGAAGCAGCTGGGACTCGAACCAACACCCATATGGGATGGTGGCATTGCAGGTGGCAGCTTTACCGCTATACCACAATGCTGGCCCCCAGACTGGCTGTTGCAGCCTGGCCAAGACCTTATTGTTGCAGTCATTTAGGGAGTGAACCAGTGGATGGAAGATATCTCTCTCTCTCTGCCTTTCAAATAAATAAATAAATGTTTTGAAAATAATTAGGGGCCAGCACTGTGGCATAGCAGGTAAAGCCACCGCCTGCAGTGCTGGCATCCCATATGGGTACTGGTTCTAGTCCCAGCAACTCCAACTTCCGATCCAGCTCTCTGCTATGGCCTGGGAAAGCAGTGGAGGATGGCCCAAGTCCTTGGGCCCCTGCACCCACATGGGAGACCTGGAAGAAGCTCCTGGCTCCTAGCTTTGGATTGGTGCAGCTCCAGCCATTGCAGCCATATGGGGAGTGAACCAGTGGATGGAAGACTTTCTCTCTCTCTCTCTGCCTATGCCTCTCTGTAACTGTGCCTTTCAAATAAATAAATCTTAAAAAAAAATAATTAACAAATAAATAAACATAATAAAGAGAAAGCAGAAGTGAAGTGCACAGCAACAGACCTAGAAGCTTCCTATCAGCAGCACTGTACAATGGAAGGAGAACCAGCCAGAGAAGCAGGAAACTTTTTTTCAAACTTACTAGAGAGACAGAGGCTAAATACCCGCCCCTCTTCTGCTTTCTCCAACCAAGTACCCTGCAGGTCCTTAAACAAGTGCTTCATTGTCCCCCGCCCCAAATCCCATTCTTTGGTGTGAGCTGAACGCCTATGGGAGCACATGGGAGAGTCTAGACGTTTCCACGCTCCCCTGTCTTGGATGGAAAGAGGAACCAGTCAGGTCCCAATCTCAAAGCCACCCTCACCCACCGTGCAGAAGCGCTGCAGTTGTCCTATCCAGGATCTCTGGTGCCCCCTGCAGGATTCTCTCTGTCACCAGGGTAGCGCAGGACCCCACCAGCTCAACAGAAACAGGACAGGGTGGGCAGTGCTTCTGCTCGATGGGGCGATGGTCTAGCACCTCTGCTACTGCCTCCTCCAGGGCTGCATCGCTCCTGTGGGGTGGGGGAAGGACAGGGGAAAGAAGGACGGGTCAGGGCACTCCAGCAGCTTCTAACCAGTCCCTCCTACCCAAAGGAAAGTGGACACGCCTTAGGCAAACCGTTAGACTCCTGGTCACTGCAATCTCTGCTCACCCCTCCCAACCGTTTTCTTTGATATTATGACTGAAGCTGTCTTTAAATGGCACACACATGAATTTTGTGAATTTTCGGCTGCAAATACCTCACCTGCATTTGTTTGTCCTTTACGGTTGCACGTTCAATGGACAGACCCTTGATGCCCAGCATCTAAATCCCTTCCTGTCCCCTCAATCCACTCACTACCTAAAATTCTCTGCAGGGCACTGGGTCTGTGGCTTCTACCTCAATTCCAATCCATGTCCTCCTTTCCAACCCTTATTCCAAGTCCTTAATATTCCTCATCTGGACTATTCCAGCAGTCTCTTAACCAATCGCCTGCTCCCAACCCAGGCTACTACTGAGCTGTCCTTCATAAAGCTCCCTGAATGGTTATTTGAAAAAAAGCAAACCTGATTCTATTAGGAACTGGAATAAATATAATTAACAATAGCTCCTTGCTGCCTAAAATAAAACCCATCTCCTACAAGGCCTCCACGGCCTGCCCCCTGCCTACTCTGGTCTCATCTTTTTCCATGTCCTCATATTTTACGCCCCAGCTGTGCTGAACAGATTCCAGTCCCTGTAACTCAGCCTGCTGTTTCATGCCTGCTTGTGTTTGCTTCTATTAATGACTCCTGTTGCCTGGAACGCCTCTCCTGACCACATTCCCTCCCCATTCACTGAACAAACACCTAGTCTTCTTTCAAGACCGAGACCAAAGATCAAATCTGCTAGGAAACCCTTCCCCACGCCCTTGACTCCATCCTCTGTGTACCCACTGTCTCCTAGAGCAACAATCATTGCTCAGTGTCTAACACCCATTAACACGATCTGCCTGCCTTGCTCCTACTACTTGACTGAAAGCTTCATGAAAACAGGTCATCTGTGTCTCACCTTCAGCCTCTAATTGAAAGTTTGTTGTTGTTGTTTTTAATATTTAGTTTATTTTTATTTTTAGAAAGGCAGAGAGAGAGAAAGAGAGATCTTCTATCTGCTGGTTCACTCCCCAAATGCCCACAACAGTCAGGGTTAGGCCAGGCTGAAGCCAGGAGCCCAGATTTCAACCTGGGTCTCCCACATGGGTGGCTGCAACCCAAGTACTTGAGCCATCATCTGCTGCCTCCCAGCATGTGCACTGGAGAAATCGGAGTCAGGAACCAAACCCAAGTACACCAATATCAGATGTGGGCGTCCCCGCCACTCACGTGGGAGACCTGAATTGAATTCTTGGCTCCCAACTTCAACCCTGGCTGTTGCAGGCATTTGGGGAATGAATCAGGGGATGCAAGTTCTCTCTTGTCTCTGTCACTAAAATAAAGAAAGAAAAAGAAAAAGATCACCAAGAGTTTATGTAGGAAATACTTCTAAAAATTAAAAAACCTTTTTCAAAAGTTTCTATTACAATAAATCTGTCACAAAAATCTTAATTAAAATATTGATTTATTAATTTGAAAAGTCAGAGTTACACAGAGAGAGGAAGAGAAGAGAGAAAGATCTTCTGCCTGCTGGTTTATTCCCCAAATAGCTGCAACGGCCAGGGCTGGGCCAGGCCAAAGCCAGGAGCTTCTTCCGGGTCTCCCACGTGGGTGCAGGGACCCAAGCACTTGGGCCATCCTCTGCTGCTTTCTCAGGTATATTAGCAGGGAGCTGGATCAAAGGTGGAGCAGCCAGGTTTCCAACCGGCACTCATATGGGATACTGGCATCACAGGCAGTGACTTTACCTGCTATGCCACAATGCCAGCACCTCAAAGGCAGATTTAAATGATTTTTTAAAAAATTACCATTCAGTTTGAAGTCACCATGCTTCTATTTCTTTCACTATGGTCTATGTCTTTACACATTAGATGTACATATAACTGGAAAACTGATAATATTTTCTGTGTCTGATATGATCCACCAGTTATGATTAGCTTGTGAGACTCCTACAAAATAAATAAATAAATAAACTCTCGAGGCAGGTGTTGTGGCAGTGGTTAAGATGCCACGTGAGGGGCCGGCAGACGAAGCCACCACTTTCGACATCCACATCCCATATCACAGTGCTGGTTGAGTCCTGGGTACTCTGCTTCTGGTTCAGCATCTTTGCTTACCTACCTGGGAAGGCACTGGAAGATAGCCCAAGTAGTTGGGTCTCTGCCACCCACACACCCATATGGAAGACCTGGATAGAGTTCCTGGCTCCTGGCTTCAGACTGGCCCAGTCCTGGCTATTGTGGCCATTTAAGGAATAAATCAAATCTCTCTATTTCTTCCTCTCTCTCTCTCTGTATACTTCCTTTCAAATAAATAAATAAATAAATTTTTAAGAAAAAAATGCTGCCACCAGGGATGCCCACATCCCATTCGGGGGGGGGGGGGGGGTGTCTGAGTTCCAGCCCTGACTCTGCTTCCAATCCACTTCCTGCTAATACACACCATAGGTGGCAGTGGGTGATGGTTCAAGTACTTGGGTTCATGCCACCCAAGTGGGACACCTGGACTGAGTTCTGGGCTCCTGGATTCAGTCTGGCTCAGTCCTGGCTGTTGTAGGCATCTAGGAAATAAACCAGCAAATGGAAGTGCTCTCTCTTTCTTGCTCTGTGTCACTCTTTCAAATAAAGAAAAATAAGTACATAAAAAATATTTAAGCCCTCTTTCTTCACTTTAATTCACTCTTCAGAGCCTGACATGGTACGTGGTAAGTATCACTTTCATCTCCTTCTACTTACTTGGGTAAGACATGATGGTCAACAAGGACAAGGCTGAGCTGGCTAGCCTGGTGCAACGCGTGGAGGTCAATCTCATCCCGAAAAATTAAGAGAGTCTCTGGAATGTGAAGCTTCTGGAGGAAGAAGACGTTGTCGCCTCGCAGAGGTAGCTCAGAACGTTTTATATTTAGAACTGGCACGAAGATTTCCTCGGCCTCAGTCGTCTGGGTAGAAAAGTCAAAAGATGACAGAAGGAAACAAGGCCACTGACACCAAAAGATGTGGCCCTGCTAAGTCATCACCTTTCTCAGTCACAATTACCCAGTCTATAAAAACGAAAGGGTGACCTGCCCTCCCTCCAGCTTAGCAATGACAAGAAAGTCAACAAGGTATCGCAGTGAAAAAACCCCAGTGCTACAGAGACAGGATTTGTGGTTCTGAAGAGCTAACCTGGGCAAGAAGAATACACACTAGATAACTGATACCCATAAGGAACTCAATAAATAATACACTGTTTAAATATTGCCTTACAGTTTATAAACCCCTCAAAATATAGTTGCTTGTTTGTTCCTCATGGCAACACTGTAAAATATTCTCATTTCAGATTTTATAGACGGTGACATGAGACTCAGTAAAGTTAAGGGGTTTTGCTTACCCAAGGCTAAGTGCCGCTAAGTGGCAGAGCTGGGTCTTGAATGCACATCTGTTCGTCCTAAGGGACTCAGCGCCCAGTACTCACCTTTGCCAGGTAAAAAGCCAGGGTGAGAGCAGACACCATGGAGTCCAAGTCACAGGCTTCATTTCCCAGCACCACATGGAGAGGTCGGGACTCCTGGGAGAGAAGAATGGGAAGCAGCGGCGTCCCTATCTATTCCCGCGCACCCTATCCTCCCGTCCTCAGGGAGGGCTTCACTCCCATCCTCTCCCCGAGCTTCATGGAGCAGGGGGCTCAGACCGTCTTCTGAGAGGACCTCAGCATCCTAGCAGGCAGGGCTAAGTGTTTCAGCCACACTGTAACATCCCATACACACCCAGTTACTGGGAAAGTCTTCTTTCCTCTCTACTAAATTTGACTTACAGAAGAGCAGTAAATAATCCTCTGACTTCTTGTGCTTCTTTGGACACCAAAATAGTCAAAAGTAGGCCATTTAGAATAGGTGATATATTCCAGCAACACTCTTAGGCATAACAGTCCTTGTTTGTCCCTTCCATCCCCATTTACAAAGCAGGAAAAAGAATTCTTACACCTCTAAGTCATGAAAATAGGGGACGGCCCATGTGGCATAGCAGGTAAAGCTACTGCCTGCAGTGACGGCATCCCATGTGACCACCAGTTCGAGTCCTGGCTGCTCCACTTCTGATCCAGCTCTCTGCTCTGGCCTGGGAAAGCAGTAGAAGATGGCCCAAGTGCTTGGGTCCCTACACCCACGTGGAAGACTCAGAAGAAGCTCTAGGCTCCTGGCTTCAGATCTACCTAGTTCCAGCCGATGCAGCCATTTGGGGAGTGAACCAGCGAATGGAAGACCTCTCTCTCTCTCTCTCTCTCTCTCTGCCTCTCTGTAACTCTGTCTTTCAAATAAATAAATCTTTTTTAAAAAGAAAAAAATGGATCAGTGTTGTGGCACAATGGGTTGAGCTGCCACCAACAATGCCAGCATCCCATATAAGCACTAGCTCAAGTCCTGGCTGTTCCACCTCTACTCTAGCTCCCTCCTAATGAGCTTGGGAAAGCAGCAGAAGATGGCTCAAGTGCTTGGGGCCCTGCACTCTTATAGGAGATCTGGAGGAAGCTCCTGACTCCTGGCTTCAGCCTGCAGCTATTTGGGGAGTGAACCAGCGGATGCGAGATCTCTCTCCCAACCTGCCTTTCCAAATAAATAATTTTTTAAAAAAGATTTATTTTATTTATTTGAAAGACAGAGTTACAGAGAAAGGTAGAGACAGAGAGGTCTTCCATCTGCTGGTTTACTCCCCAAATGGCTGCAACGCCTGGAGCTGTGCTGATCCGAAGCCAGGAGCCAGGAGCTTCCTCCGGGCCTCCCACAGGGTGCAGGGGCCCAAAGACTTGGGCCACCTTCCACTGCCTTCCCAGGCCATAGCAGAGAGCTGGATCAGAAGTGGAGCAGCCGGGACTAGAACTGGTGTCCATATGGGATGCCAGCACTTCAGGCCAGGGCTTTAACCTGCTGCGCCATAGCGCCAGCCCCAATAAATAAATTTTTAAAAATTTCAATAAATCAGTCAAAAAATGGGCAAAGAGGTTAAAAAATAGATCTAGTCCTTTGGTTGTCTGAGAAAACGCCCACTGCCCTGAGCAGGCCTAATGATAACTACGTATAACCAAATACCTCGCACAGCCCGAGAACAGACGCTTTCCCCAGCAGGTTCGGATTAACGCAAGAACACATGCTACTGCTGGAACTTTTTTTTCTGAAAATCCCAGCTGCTGATAAGAACTCCGAGGAGGGAGGGATATCTGCTATTATTAACTTTGTTCCCTTGCAACTATCTCCCCAGCTATCAAGTCTTAAAATACCACAGTGTCTACAAGAGCAGAGTTTTGTTGTTTTTTTTTTTTTTTTAAGATTTATTTATTTGCAAGGTAGAGTTATAGAATGATAGAGGGAAAGGTCTTCCATCCACTGGTTCACTCCCCCAATGGCTGCAAGGACTGGGCTGGACTGATCCCAGAAATAGGATTTTGCTTTTTGTTTTAAATGTTTATTGATGGGGCCAGCATTATGGCCTAATAGGTTAAGCCATCGTCTGTAGCACCTGCATCCCATATGGGCGCCAGTTCGAGTCCCGGGTACTCTACTTCCTATCCAGCTCCCTGCTAATGTACCTCAGAAAGCAGCAGAAGATGGACCAAGTCCTTCTTGTGGGAGACCCAGATGAAGGTTCTGGCTCCTGGCTCCTGGCTTTGGCCTGGCCTAGCCCCAGTCATTGCAGCCATCTGGGGAGTGAACCAGCAGATGAAAGACCTCTCTCTTTGTTTCTCCCTCTCTGTCTCCATAACTCTATCTTTCAAATAAATCTTTAAAAATATATGTATATATAAACATTTATTGATTGTGCCAGGTATTATTACAATATTTTTACATGCATTAACTAATCATTTAATCCTTAAAACAACTCAATGAGGCAGATACTTTAAAAAATTTATTTAGTTTTAGTTATCTGAAAGGCAGAGACAGAGACAGACAAACAGAAAGTGGTCTCCTATATGCTGGTTCATTCCCCAAATGCCCACTACAACCCGGGCTGGGCCAGGCCAAAGCTAGGACCTGAGAACTCAGTCCAGGTCTCCCACTTGGATGTCAAGGACCCAACTACTTGATGTATCACCTGCTGTCTACCAAGATGTGTATTAGCAGGAAACCGGAATTGGGCACAGAGCTGGAACTCAAACACAGGCTCCCCAATATGGGATTGAGGCGTCCCATGTGGCATCTTAACAGTTAGGGCAAATACCACCCCAAGGCAGGGTGAACGAATTATTTCATTCTCCGTGTGAGCATTTTGCTGGTGGAGTAAGACCATAAAGCCTACAGTTCAGCTCAGAAGACAATTCCTTCTTATTAGTTTACTTCTGAACTTCTATCTCTGCCTGCTTCTGAGAGAGGATAGGCTGAGAAACAAAACGACTCACATAGCAGGGCTCCTCAACTTTAGCATCACTGGTATTTTGACTAGATAATTCTGTTGGGGAGGGGCTGTCGTGTGCATTATAGGATATTTGGAAGTATCCCTGGTCTCTACCCACCAGATGCTGACAGCACCCTCAGTCATGACGATCAAAAACATCCCCACAGAAAGGAAAAAAAAAAGAAGAAAGGAGAAGAAGGAGGAGAAGGAGAAGGAGGAGAAGGAGAAGAAGGAGAAGGAGAAGAAGGAGGAGAAGGAGAAGAAGGAGGAGAAGGAGAAGGAGAAGGAGGAGAAGGAGAAGGAGGAGGAGGAGGAGGAGAAGAAGGAGGAGGAGGGAGGAGGGAGGAGAGAGGAGAGAGGAGAGAGGAGAGAGGAGAGAGGAGAGAGGAGAGGAGAGGAGAGGAGAGGAGAGGAGAGGAGAGGAGAGAAGACTAAAAACACCTCCAGGGGCTGGTGTTGTGGCGCAGTGGGTTATGCCACCTCTTACAACACTGGCATCCCATACCTAAATGCCAGCCTGAGTCCTGGCAGCTCTGCTTCCGATCCAACTCTCTGCTAACGTGCCTGGGGAAAACAGCAGATGATGGACCAAGTGCTTGGACCCCTTCCACCCGTGTGAGAGACTCAGATGCAGTTCCTGGTTCCTGGTTTCAGCCTGGCCCAGCTCTGCCTATTGTGGGCCTTTAGGGAGTAAACCAGCAGATGGAAGACCAATCTCTCCTCACTCCCCTCTCCTCTAGGCACCCCCCCACACACACACCTGTCTCTCTGCCTTTCAAGTAAATAAATAATAAATCTTTTTTTTTTAATGTCCCAGAGTTATCGAATGTTCCCCCTTGAGAACTACAGAGTACAGGAAGGTGAAAATCCATACACTCTGGCTCCTACAAGCAGAGGAGCTTTGTCAGACATAAGAGTTTAGCAAAAACAAAACAAAAAAATCAGTTCAGCGATATGGGAAGGAAGTTCAGAGAATAAAACAGCAATGGACAGTTATCAAGTAATGTAACTTCAGGAATCAAGAGTCTAGGGATATCTGGACTCATCATCCTTAGATAGGCTATTACCACTCCTCTTAGCCCACCAGAAAGACAGAGCCCCAAAGGGGCAATTTCAGAAAACCTGAGGTGGTAGAAATTGCACTGACTCCGGGAGACGGACTTAGGTTTCCGTCCCCATCTCCATTCCCAGCCCTCCAGAGAAGCAGAGAGAGCCCTGGGCAAGTCTGCTCTCAGGCTCTCCCCACGTCCATTTCTCCACGCTCACTTCAAGAGGGTGGACGCTAAGGCCCACCCAGACTCAACAGTACTGGGGAGGGCTATTCTTTCTCAGCATGAAACCCTTTTCTAAACCAGTAAGAGAACTCTGTACCCAAGACCCTAGCCCTAAATAAACACCTCCGACTTGCGATTCTGCCTCCTGATCCCAGAGAAGGCCCCTGTTTCCTGGATACCAGGAGCTGCCCAGATGGCTGTGGACCAAAGTGACAACCAGCTCAGGAGAAAAGTGGTGGCGGGGACAACCCACGCACTGGAGCAGGAAGGGGCCCCAGGGCAGGGACTATTTAAACACCAGGGGCCGCATGGTCCTGACTCTGGGGAAACAAAGGTAAGAAGGACAGAGCAAGGGGGAGACCCACTGCTGGCTACAAGCAGGCCCTCGGAGGAGCCCTCCAAGACGCACAGGACGACGCTGCTTTGGGCAAGGGGCAGCTGAATCAGGATCAGCGTGCTCCCTGGCATGACGGAAGGGCAAATGGAAAAGCAGAAACTTGGGGCCAAACACAACCTCCTGATTCCAAGGCGAGGAGCCATGACCAGAAGAAGATGAACAACTAAGCCCTTGTGCTCAGCCCAGCCCAGACAGCAGCCAAGAGGAATGAATGCAGAAGGAATACTCGGAGTCTTGCAGGCAGGCTTGGAACTGGAGGGACCCAGGGGGGTGGTAGCATTCCTTTCCCTGCTCCGCACCCACTTACCCCAGCCCGGCGGACCACTCGCCGCCCCCAAACCATGGTGTGCACATTCCCAGCTCTGCCCTTCACACAATTTGTTGTTCTCAGTCTGAGAGCCGCAGAGCTGCCTTTCACAAAGATCAGACTTTGGGGTTGAATCCCAGCTCTGCTTCCCTAAGCCTCGTTTTCCTCCTATAAAACAGAGACTAACACCGTCAACAAGTCGCACAAAGTCATCCTGAGGATTGCGTGAGAGCGCGCACAAGGGCCCACGCTGTACCCTTCCCTGCCCATTCCAGTCCTACCTAAAGCCCACCTTCTCCGTGCAGCCTTTCCTCCCGGCCACTCAGGCCAGGGGAATCTTCCTGTGAGCCCCCAGCTTCCAGCACTGTGCGCTCAGCTTATACTGAACTTGTGCCTTAAGGAGCTCACGGACTTGTCACAGCCACCTATCCCTAACCCTTAACATAGCTTATGCAATGGGTGACTGGGTGACTATATACTTTGTTGTTCAAACTGGGACACTTCTGAGAATGAAGAGAAGCATGACTCATGATTACACTGGGGAAAACTAATATTATCCTAGGCAAACTGGGTGCACAGCCGCCCAGCTTATAAGGCACCGTTCTCCTCTTCATTTAGGGAAAACATGTGCAACCCTTAACCTCCCCCATCCCCCACTCCCCCCAGCTGAAAACACAAGCCAGCCAGCCTCAGTTTTCAGACAGAAGAGTTCGGGGGAAACACAGCTATACTTAGCAGCATGAGAAAGCATGAACTGCAATGGGAGAAATACAATCTGAGAGCCACAAATAAATATAAATGTTTTTTCTTAAAAAAAAAAAAAAAAGCACTAGCTGAAATGAGTCTCATCCTGATGTTTTCTTTGTAGCTTTATAAGGGCAGGGAGAGGTTCTAGTGCTGGCAAAGGAAACCACTTCCCTCCTGAAGTGGAATATGGTCTGATAACTGCTCTTCAAAATAGTTAATGAGAGGGGGGAAAAAATGACAAAGGGGCCGACAGAGACAGGCCCTCCCAAGAGAGATAATGGGGCTGATAGTGGTGCCAGGACTGCAGATTTCTAAGTTCCTGCCTCCTGCTGGAGAAAACACGTACAACACATCATGCAAAGGCTCCTGGGTGTGTACCTACACAGGAACGTTGCACCACCCAGAAGCGAAGATGAGTCACCATGAATAGGACATTTAGAGAAATAGGATTTCTTTGATTGATTTGTTTTTAAATTTTTATGTATTTACTTGAAGGCAAAGACTGACTGATTCACTCCTCAAATGCCCACCACGGCCCCCAGCTGGGGCTGAAGCTGGAAGCCGGGAACTCAGTCCAGGTTCTCCCCTGTGGTTGGCAGGAACCAAACTACTTGAGCCATCACCACTGCCTCCCAGGGGCCAGAGCTGAGTGTCGAAGCCAGCTACTCTGACACGGGACATGGGCATCTTAATTGTTTTTTTTTTCCCCCAAGATTGATTGATTGATTTGAAAGTCGGAGTTATACAGAAGAGAGATCTTCTATCCTCTGGTTCATTCTTCAAACAGCCAGGGCTGGGCCAGACCGAAGCCAAGAGCCAGGAACTTCATCCAGGTCTTCCACTTGGGTGGCAAGGGACTCAAGTACTCGGGCCATCTGCCGCTGCTTTTTCCAGGCCATTAGCGGGGAGCTGAACCAGAAGTGGCGGAGCCTGTCAGTGAACCAGCACCCATATGAGATGCTGCCGGCTTAACCCACTGTGGCCCAACGTGGCCCCTTAACTGGTATCTCGACCGCCATGTCCGCCCCTAGCATTTCTTTTAAATAGAACATTCTATTGTGGCTGTGGCAAAAGCTACAGAAAATGTCCCTGGTATTATATGCTAAAAATATGGTATCAACTGGAGACTTGGCTGAACTATCAGCTGTCTCTACCCCATGCAAAAGCGAAGCATTCACAATTCCCTGAAGTTTTCAAGCTTAGTAGTGCATCTGTCTAAATTATGTCTCTCTTTACAACAGAAATCTCACAGATAGAAGGGAAGAAAAAAAAGATCTTTTTCTTTTTCATTTCATATCTTTTTTGTATTTAAACATTTCTACTTTGTGTATTTAATACTACTCTGTAATTTAAAGCAATCTAAATGGTTGGCATCGCTGATATGTCTTGCCACCAGCTCACCCACTAACACTCCTAGAATCTAACAGTCTCATTCTCCCAGCCCTGGCATCGCTGGTGATAATAAAAGCTCCTAGACACATTCTCACCTTTACAAGTGCAGGAATTTTCACAGGAGGATCTGGATCTTGCTCCTGGGGAGATGAATGTACGGAGGGAAAGGGCAAGATACCAGTAATACTGGAAAAATCATGTATTTTCCAGCTCTGAACTGGTGTAGGAAACACACTGCTAACCCTGAGAGGGGTGCTGTGGAGGGTGCGTGCCGAAGAGCAGATATATGCATAGAAATGCTACTTGGTGAGGTTTCGAGTCAAGTGGGAAAGACCAGTCAACTCCAGTTACTGGGGGGAAAGACCCAACTGCTCACCACATAGACTGGTGATACAAATACTCTATAAGTCCTTCAGCGAGCAACCTGGGGTGGAATCCGAGGAAACCAAAACTAACTGGCTCCAAACTGCCACTATGCATTAAAACAACTTCTCTTGGGGGCCGATGCAATGGTATAGCAGGTAAAGCTGCCGCCTGCAGTGCCGGCATCCCATATAGGTGCTGGGTCAAGTCCTGGCTGCTCCACTTCCAATTCAGCTCTCTCCTGTGGCCTGGGAAAGTAGTAGAAGATGGCCCAAGTCCTTGGGCCTCTGCACCTTCATAGGAGACCTGGAAGAAGCTCCTGGCTCCTGGCTTCAGATGGGCCCAGCTCCAGCCGTTGCAGCCATCTGGGGAGCTAGCCAGTGGATGGACGACCTCTCTGTAACTCTACCTTTCAAATAAATAAGTCTTTAAAAAACAAAACAAACAAACAAAAACTACCACCACCAACATCAACAAAAACTTCTCCAAAACGTGTTTTTTCACAAAAGAAAAATTTGGTATAACTGATACTGAAATTGAACTTCTCCGCAATTCAGTATGAAGACATTCATTTATCTCACAGTACCCGAGCCTGCAGCATGCATTGGATGACTTTTAGGATTTGTTTAAAGACCAGAATCTATGGGTCAGAGGAACCCGTAGTTTAAGAATCTATATTTAAGGCAGCCGACCATTTGTTCAGGTGTGCTGAGGGGCAGGTGACCTGGAGCCTCTCTCTGGCTAACTTCTTGCTGCTAACCGGGTACAACAGCCTAATGCTGCATGACCAGTGAGCCTAGGCGGTTAGTCCAACTGGCTCAGGGAACACCAACAATAAGACACAAAGCATTCAGGAGTCAGGCTTCTGTTTTGGTTTCAAACAAACTCTGCTTATCCCTTCCACACGGGGGATTTTTATGTAATTTGTGCGCATTAAGGCCAAGGGCAAAGGAATGCAGGTTGTGGGTCAAAGAGAGATACCCGATGTATTCACTATGTTTGACTTAAAAACAGACCTAAAGCGAAACACCGTGAGCACCTCTTATCTAGGAATGAGTTGGGCCCGTCCGAGAAAAACCGAGGTCCAAAGGGAATAACGCGTGGGCACAGGTTCCGTCCACACCCGCGAGGTTCACCTGGAGGCCAGTGGGCCACGCCAGGCCCCGCGAGCCGCGAACTCAAAGAGGGGCGGGGAGAAAGGAAAAAACGCGCTAGCTGGGCAAGCCTGGCGGCGGCACGGCCCCTGTCCTTTTTGACAGAACTGACTCCGGCGACCGCAAGCAGAGACTCAAAGGCAGAACCCAGCCCCAAGCCGGGAGGGGCTCCCGGCTCTCAGGTAGACCCCCAAAGGCGGGGAGCAAAAACCCGGAGACCCAGCGGCATTCTCACGCTCGCAGGCTGCGTTCCCGCTCCTCGCTCCCCACGACCCAAGCCCGACCAGGCGCCAAGCCCCCTCCCTACAACTAGGTGTTCCCTCCACACGGACCGTGGGGCTCCCCCCAGGTTCCCCGTTTTCGTCCTTCCAGACCCCATGCTTCATGCCTTAGTCGTAGACAGGGATCCGTTACCTGCAGAGCGGCTCGACAACCCTGCAGGTAGTCCTCCATGGTGAAGCCCCAGGTATGCCGTCGCCCCTCGTGGAGGAGAGGATGCCAGGCAAATGCACCCCGCCCAGCACTCGGGCAGGAGGTGAGGGTCAGGAGGCGGGACTCGAACCCGCCACACAGCGATTCGGGTTCCCCCCCCTCCACCCCGGGAGGAAGTGCGTAATTGGGCACTCCCGGAGTCCGACGTCGCCCCGCCCCCAGCGGCGGAGGCGGAGTTCTGCGCCCAGAGACTCACGGGGCGTCTGTTGGGAGGAGCGAAGGGGGCGTGGCGCAGGGTGTTCTGGGAAACGTAGTCCCCAAGCTCCGAGAAGTCCCTAACAATTGAGGGGAGGGGAATATTCTGAGGAATCATTCATTTGACACACAAATGTGTATGTGTCATAATGACCCATCTTTGTGGCATCTGAACTTTCTTTTTCCGATCAGGCTAAATTTAACAGCTTTCCGCCTGTTACACCGAGCGTCTGGCTGACATCTTAAGTTACACATGGCCAAACAGCTGTCCTTACTTTCTCAAAGTCTACCCTCTACCAAACGGAGGCATTGCCACCAATTTTGTGGTTGTCTGTGTTAGAAAAACATCAGGATAATCTTTGACCCCCTTCGTCATACCTGCCTCTGCCTAAGCCGGCTGCTTCTTCCTCTGCAGACCGCCTCGCGTGTCTCCGCACGCACGGCTTTCTTGGTCTGTCCTAACCTTGGCCCTTTGCTGCCTGCCTCTCTAATTGTTCCAACTGCTTTTTGAAGCCTCCGGAGGGGCTTGAAGTTTCATTCTGTGGCCGTCTTCTAAGCGGAGTTTGGAGGACCCTTCAGGATGTAGTTAGATTCCACCCCCTGCCCTTAACTGCCACTTAGGAGCGCAGCTCCGGATACATGTACCCCTGTCATCAGGGGCTTCTTCCACGCACTGCCAGGTGCACAGCCCAACCAGTTTCATTTCTAGATGAAGACAATGATACAGCGACGACTTGGAAGGGAGAACTCTCAGCGCTCCAAGCAGGGCAGGAGAAGGGTTTTTGTTTTTTGTTTTTAATTTTTCCATTAAATGAGTAAACATGCAAATATCGTATCTTTGGCCCTGGCTCTGCGGATCCAGAGCGAAGGACTGCCACAGAGGGAGAGAAAGCCCAGATCCCAACAAGCTGCTGCTGTCCAGCGCGGCTCCTCCCCGCTGGGCAAGGGCACTGTTCTCACCAGAGAGGCACAAGCGCTCCGTCCCCTCCAGAGGCAGGCGCAGGGAAGAGAAAGGGGCTGTTGTTTTTCTCTCCTTGTTTCTCTCTCCCTCGCTGCTGATCACCATCAGAAAGCCCTGATGGAAAATCCTCCAGTGCTGGGCAGGCCCCTCCTCCGCCGGGGAGCTTGTCCTTGACAAATTTTTCTTTGTCCCGATGGGAAAAAGAGAGAGAGAGAGAAAGAAGAAAAAAAAAAAAAAAAAAAAAGGAAAGAAAAACCACAAACTTCCTTTAAAAGCAGCTTGTAGTCAGGGCCTGGAGTGCACGCTCCAGACTGGCGACTCAGGAATCCAGAAGCCGCTCTGAGCGACCGATCCGGAGCCCCTGGGCTGTGTCGCTGCCTGCCTGCACCCTCCTTCGGTGCCCCTGTCCTGGGCGTGAGTCCGGAAGTGGCCGTGACCCAGCCCTCACTGCGCGCGCGCGCTCGCTCGCAAACCTGTGTAAACCTATATCGCTCTGGCGTTGACAGCTGGACGGCAGCTCGCCGCGGTGGGTGCCCCTCCTGTGCCCACCTCCCCCACCCAGCTGCCAGAGCCGCGCCCGCCTTCTCGGTGCTGGGACTGCACCCACTTCTTTCAGGTAAAAACTTTGTTTTAACCATCTTCTTCACCTCCACTCCCCCCTGCGGCTCTTCTCTCAGCTCCGGGAGATTGACACCTGGCGGTCCCCTCATCTTTGCTGTCTACAAGTCGGGTTGCTTAGGGGAGCTGGAGCCCAGGAGGGTGTTCAAGAGATGTTTCTTGGGCCCTGTCTTGCCTCCAGCGAGACGCATCCGCTCCGCTCGTGAGCGGGTGCTGTTTGACTTATTCAAGGGGAAGAGCTGAACCCTGGTTGTGGGAAGACTCGGGACAGTCAGGGACTTGAGAGAGGACAGTTCTGGGGAAGGAGGACTGTCTTCTATTTTTTTCTTCTTCTTTTCAATTTTTTACCTGAAAGGCAAGGAAACAGAAGTGTCTTCTCAAACTGATATACCTATTCTTGATGCTTCTTCTAAATTTTGGCTATTTACTGCCACTGTCTGGGGAGGAGCTGGGGCTATTTTAACTCCCTCACCCGAACGATAATTACCATAGGATAATTCCAGCTGGAGAGAAAGTATAGGATTTGAGGAGCTGAAAAGGAGGAGGGAAAGAATGGAATCCCGACTCACGTGAGTGCCCTCCCCTCATCCTTTCCTACTCAAACAGTCCACGCCTTTGCCTCCGGGAGAGCACCTTGTCAGTGCAAGCCCTCCCCCTGTCTCCTAAGACTGAGCCCACTTAGCTCTGCACAGTTCCTCCTGAGACCCACTCCCTTGGGTGCCTGGCGTACCTGCTTTCTTGGGGCCTCTCCTGCTGGCTGGCTAGGTGCCCAGCCCCCACTTAATTACTGATCATTTTTAGCAGTGTACAGAAAAGGTAAGAAATGAACCGTGCTTTTCTTTGAGCTTTTTTAGATGTTACCAGGCTCCGGCCTCTGTTCGGAGGCTCACCTAAGTGTCATTCAGGAGGGGAGGGAGGAAGCAGAGAGGCCTCGAGGCGATTTCTGCTGCTCTCTTCCTAAATTATAGCATGCAAATGAGATGCAGCTAGCATAAATTATACTTGAATCAGGAGAGTGATCAATTTGGGCGCAGGCTGATTTTACCTGAGCAGTTTTATTGTTCCTCAACTCATCTCCTGGGCCTTCTCCCAGCCCCAATTTCCTGAAGTTTCCCTAGAAGGAGGCATAGTCTCAGGTTAGCAGGAAGCTGCAGAAAAAATTTCTAACTAGTTTAATTTGCCCCCTTTTCTTACTCTAACTAAAGAGAGGAGAGAGGAGCAAAGAGATTCAAGGGAAATGTTTCCCAGTGGGCAGGGCGTGTGGCTTTTTATCATTTGCTGTCCCTGTGTTAATTAAAGGTCTCCCATAATGCAGATAGAGATCAGGTTAAGCAAGTTTGCTGTTCACATCTAAAATGACCTGACTGTAAATAGACATAAAGTACAGGAAAATGTAGAAAGGGCATTTAAAAAAAATTAAGTTTGTTTGAAAGGCAGAATGATAGAAGGAGAGAGAACTCTTCCAGCCATTGTTTCACTTTCCAAATTTTTAGAACAGCCAGGGCTGGGCCAGGTGGAAGCCAGGAACTCTATCTGGGTCTACCTCCTGGGTGGCAGGAACCCAATTCCCCCTCTCCCCCCTATCCACTGCTTTCCCACACCCATTAGCTGAATCAGAAGCATGGAGTACTGAGACTCCAGCACACCCTCCCGCATGGGATGTGGGCATCCCAAGCAATGCCCAGCCCAGAGAGGGTGTTTTTTTTAAAAGATGTATTTATTTATCTGAAAGGCAGTTAGAAAGGCGGCGGGGCGGGGGGGGGGGGAGAGGCCTTCTATCCACTGGTTCACTCCCCAAATGGTCACAACAGCTGGAGCTGAGCTGATCCAAAGCTAGGAGCCAGCAGCTTCTTCCGGGTCTCCCACACAGTTGCAAGGGCCCAAACACTTGGGCCATCTTTCACTGCTTTCCCAGGCCATAGCAGAGAGCTGGATCGGAAGTGGAGCAACCGGAACTTGAACCGGTGCCCATATGGGATGCCAGCGCCACGGGCGATGGCTTTACCTGCTATGTCACAGCACTGGCCCCAGAGGACCAGTAAATATTGTAAATCAATAACCAGCATTTTCATATTCCATATAAATAGAGGGAAAGAGAATATCTCTAGGTTGAGGCAGTTTTTGGAACCAGCAACAGAAGTTACGTCTCATCTCCAGGCTGTCAAAGGAAGCTTGCTGGAAGAATTTATGGGAAGTGGAGCTGGCACTGTGGCCTTTTAGGTTAAGCCGAAGTCTGCGACACTGACATCCCATATAGGTGTGGGTTCAAGTCCCACCTGCTCTGCTTCTGATCCAGCTCCCTGTAACGTACCCGGGAAAGCAACAGAAGATGGCCCAAGTGCTTGGGACCCTGCACCCGCGTGGGAGACCAGGAGGAAGCCCCTAGCTTCTGGCTCCTGGCTTTGTCCTGATCCAGCCCTGGCCATTGTGGCCATTTGGGAAGGGAACCAGAAGATCTTTCTCTTCTCTTCTCTCTGTAACTCAGCCTTTCAAATAAATAAAAATAAGTATTTAAAAAATGCTTTAAAATATTTTTAAAAAAAGATTTATGGGAAATGCTTTTGGTGCCTCTAATCCGAAGTTACTTTTCAGAGCAGCCTCTGATTCAAGGCCCCATGACCTACGTTTCCCCCTCCAGCCTGCAGGAAGCCCCTCCTGGTGGTTTGGGATTGTGTAAGCTTCAGTAGAGTCCCCTGAGAAGAAAGATTTCCCCTTCCTCTCCAGCTTGTCACCCTTATTTATCGAGTTACAGAGAGAGGGGGAGAGTCAGAGATCGTCCATCCACTGGCTCACTCCCCACGACTGGGCTGGGCCAAAGCCAGGAGCCAGGAGCCTCTTCTGGGTCTCCCACATGGGTTCAGGGGGTCCAATCATTTGGGCCATCTTCTACTGCTTTCCCAGGCATATGAGCAGGGAGCTGGATCGGAAGTGGAACAGCCAGGGCTTGAACCAGTGCCCATATGGGATGCTGATGCTGCAGTGCTGACTTTCCCTGCATCAGCCTGTCAGCTTTAGGTGCGCCATACCTAGCCCTGCATCCTCACTCTTCACCCCAAGCATTCTGTGACTATGAAAGTTTTCCTCCTCGGTGTGAGGTAGAGAGGTGTGCGTGTGCGTATGCTCAGGATGGATCTACAAAGGGGCAGAGACGGGGTCCCCGATGCACTTCATAGCTAGAGAGCACCACGTTAACCACATGCCATAGTAACCTGTCTTTCTCCATCTCTTCCCTACTGCCATTCTGCTTTGCCTTCTCCCTCTCTCTCTTCTCCATTTCCTGTCATTATCTATTTCAGGGAAGCTGACTCCATCTCATGTCTTCAATCTCAGCAGAATCGTCCCTCCCAAGCCTGGAAGCCACATGCCCTCACGCCCTTGTTGGTCCCATCTGATCACAGCAACTTACAGGTGGAGGACTCAGCCTAGAGCCCTTGCGTTGCCAGGAGCTGAGAGAGGCATGTACTGCCCGTAGCCAGGAGTGACTGTGCAGACGCAGCCAGCCTGCCCTACTGCCTTCCTATTCCAGGACTTTTCTGGCTCCTTTGCTTTCCAGCTCAATGGTTTTCCTCTAATTGGACAGTACCTTCCTTTGCCTACCAAGCCTGGCTTGGGCAAATCCTTGAGTTTGGTGAACGACTTCATTGCCCCCCAGCTGCCGTCTTTCCAGCCATGGAACCCCGTCATCCTGAGCATCTGGCCCCTGATGAGGCTAGGACAGCAGAAGCAGTCACCCCCACAAACCCGGAGGTGCTGCCAGGGCCAGATGAGCACTGCCAGGCCGCAGAGGCCAAGGAGGCTGAGAGGGCAGCTGGAGAAAAGGAACCAGCAGAGCAGGCTTTGCCACCTGCCCAGGGCGAGGATAATCTGGAGTCCCCCCCACCTGAAGATAGCTCCAGTCAACCTGGGCCAGCCCATGAGACCTCACTTGAGATAGAGACAATAGGGGCGTGCTCCAGGCCCCAGGAGCTCCCCCCACCCCCCAGGGCCCGCCGGCCTGAGCTCGATTTCTACTGCGTAAAGTGGATCCCTTGGAAGGGAGAGCGGACGCCCATCATCACCCAGAGCACCAACGGCCCTTGCCCTCTCCTGGCCATCATGAACATCCTGTTTCTGCAGTGGAAGGTAAGAGCGGGTTCCGACGGGGGCTCAGGACATAGTGGGCTGGCCTCACCTGACCCACCCCTTGATTTCTCTCAAACCAGTTAAAACTTTCCAGATTTTTCTCTGCATTTCTCCCGCCTGATGTTCCTAAAACATAGAAGAAAAGATCTGTCCTACCCCTGTGTCTCCTCCTCTCCAGAAGATGGGAATGCCTTGCAGTGTTTCCCATTCGTCCTCTTGTTCCAGTTGCAAGCCATTCTTCTCTCCTCTCCTCTACCTCTGGCCCCTGTCCCCCAGTGCCCACCCTGCCCTGCTGTGGGTTCCTCCTCCAGCGGTATGGGGAGGGGGAAGCACACACACGCTCAGCCCTTCTGCCTTCAGGTGAAGCTGCCCCCGCAGAAGGAAGTGATCACCTCAGAAGAGCTCATGGCCCACCTTGGTGAGTGACTGGGTCTTGAAGAAGAGTTACCCCAGGGGGTCCAGAACTAGCCATTCAGCCAGAAATCCAGACCATAGAGGGATGCCCGTTTGGGGCTCTGAAGTTGCAGATGGGTCAGGGTCCTTGGGGGTCTCTCTGCAGGGCTGGATAATGAAAAGCAAAGGTCGGGGGCGGGTGTTGTGGCACAGCCAGCATTCCATACTGGAGTGCGACTTTGAGTCCCAGCTGCTCCACTTCCAATCCAGCTTCCTGCTAATGCACGTGAGAAAGCTGTGGATGATGGTCCAAGTCCTTAGGTCTCTGCCACCCATGTGGGAGACCAGGATAGAGTTCCTGGCACCTGGCTTCAGCCTGGCCTAGCCCTAGCTGTTGTGGGCTTTTGGGGAGTGAACCAGTGGGTGGGAGACTCTCTCTCTGTCTCCCTCTCTGTCACTCTGCCTTTCAAGTAAATAAATCTCTTTTAAGATCTATTTATTTATTTGAAAGGCATAGGCAGAGAGAGAGAGAGAGAGAGAGAGAGATCTTCCATCTGCTGGTTTACTCCCCAAGTGGCCACAATGGCTGGAGCTGGGCCAATCCGAAGCCAGGAGCCAGGAGCTTCCTCCGGGTCTCCCACAAGGGTGCAGAGGCCCAAGGACTTGGGCCATCCTTTGCTGCTTTCCCAGGTGCATTAGCAAGGAGTTGCATTGGAATTGGAGCAGCTGAGATTCCAACCGGTACCCATATGGGATGCCAGCACTGCAGGCGGCAGCTTTACCTGCCGCTTTACCACAGTGCCAGCGCCTCGAGTAAATAAATCTTTAAAAAAGAAAAGAAGGGTCAGAGCGTCAGGAGTCCTGGGTTGTAGCCCCAGCTCCACCCTTAGCTTTAGTGCATGACCTTGGATGGGCCCTCTCCTTGGTGAGCCCACTTCTCCCCCTAAGAATGAAGGGTCTGCATTAGACTGTGAGGTCTCCCCAGCTCTGACCATCTGGTCCCGTGACATTACCCCCATTCTCCAGGGGAAGGGGAGGCTGAGCTTCAGGGCTGATTGGCAGGCAGGCTGCTAAGGGCTCCCGTTTTATAGGAAACTGCCTCCTGTCCATCAAGCCCCAGGAGAAGTCAGAGGGACTTCAGCTTAATTTTCAGCAGGTGAGGAAAGGTTGTGGACAGAGGGGCTGGCAGCTTTGGAAGGGGACGCCGGCAGCTAGGAAGAGAGGCCTTTCTGCTCTTCGCAAGAGGGTTCCTTGAGCCACGATTTCCTTCTGCAACAGCAGCACGACAGGATGCCTCTGTCCTAGGAAACGGGGCTCACCCAAGGGGAAGAAGGGTTGAGGCGAGGGGGTGGGTGGGCGGGGCTTGCTGTAGGAAGACCCGGGGAAGGAAAGCAGCGAGGAGCAGTGGGAGTCGCGTGGTGGGAGGGGAGGCTAGAAGAGCCGTCCTTTCCTTTTCTGCCCCCAGAATGTGGACGATGCAATGACCGTGCTGCCCCGCCTGGCCACAGGTCTGGATGTCAATGTGCGGTTCACGGGCGTCTCCGATTTTGAGTACACGCCCGAGTGCAGTGTCTTTGACCTGCTAGGCATCCCTCTGTACCACGGCTGGCTGGTTGATCCACAGGTGAAGGCGGGAGGACCCCAGTGACTCGTAACCTGAGAGAGGCAAAACTGTGTGTGTGTGTGTGTGTGTGCGTGTGTGTTGGGGAGGGGAGTGGGGAAGTCGAGGTTAGATTGGCGGGGGGAGGGAATAGGGTTTAGAGACTGGACCCAGTGCAGAGCAACAAGAAGTCACATGCTCATAGGACTAGTTCTTTAGACATCAAAAATTCAGAAACTTTTGGTCAAGGGTTGCAGTCCTTGTAGGCTTGGTTCATTTCCTTCCTTCAAAAACAACCCAGGTTGTTTTTTTTATTTTTTATTTTTTTTGGCTCCACCCTACCCTCCTACCTCTACAGAGCCCTGAAGCTGTGAGTGCAGTTGGGAAACTGAGTTACAACCAGCTGGTAGAGAAAGTCATCACCTGCAAACACTCCAGCGACCCCAACCTGGTGACAGAAGGTGACATTTGCTCCCTGCTCATGGACCTTACGTGGAGGGAGGGGTGGCTGCCTTGGCTGCTCAGGAAGTTCCCGTGGAATGAATGACTCCACCCCGGCTTCCAGGAAGGGGCTTCAAAGGGAGGACGGTGCCTAGGGCTCCTGACAGGGGCCTCTCCTGCTGGGGACTTTGGATTCGAGCCAGGTGCCCCCCATCCCGGGTCCTCCCCGCAGGCCTGATCGCCGAGCAGTTCCTGGAGGCCACGGCAGCCCAGCTGACGTACCATGGACTGTGTGAGCTCACAGCAGCGGCCAAGGAGGGCGAGCTGAGCGTCTTCTTCCGAAACAACCACTTCAGCACTATGACCAAGCACAAGGTGAAGAGGGCTCGGGACTGGGGCATTGGCGAGCAGTCTGCCTCAGGCCTGTGTTCCCCTGGTCAGGGTCTCACTCAGGCTGAGGAAGATGTAGCCATGGTAGCAAAGGACCCCTCAGTCCCCTGGGGTTGGCTACCTTGGAGGTATCTTCCTCACTCGCTGCAGGCCCCCTGTAGACTGGCCATGGTTCTGTCCCACACCGTCCTTACGCAGGGACTCCAGCTGACAAAGGGGCCTTTAGCTGGACTATGTGAGGGAAGAGAGAGAGAGGCCTTCTATGTCCTCACTGCCAGTGCTTCTGTGTGGAAAGGACGCACGGCCTTTCCGGGCACACTGGGTAAGCCTTCATCCCGTGTTGGAGAGCTGGCTCTGCACTTCCAATTCAGCTCCCTGCCCGTGCACCCTGGAGGCAGCAGAAGGTGGCCAGAGTGTGTGGGTTCCTGACACCCACATGGGAGACCTGGAAGATCCTGGCTCCGGGCTTCAGCCTGGCCCAGCCCTGGCTGCTGCGGAAATCTGGGGAGTGAACCGGCAGATGGACAATCTCTCTCTCTCTCTCTCTGTCATTCCACCCTTCAAATAAATATGCGAATCTTTTTTTTTTTAAGGATAAGTTTACTTTTGTGGAAAGAATTGAAACCCATGCACGTAAGGTTCATGAAAAGTGCATGTTATGTAAGAACCATGCTTGAGGCCAGCGCCGCGGCTCACTAGGCTAATCCTCCGCCTTGCGGCGCTGGCACACCGGGTTCTAGTCCCAGTCGGAGCGCCAGATTCTGTCCCGGTTGCCCCTCTTCCAGGCCAGCTCTCTGCTGTGGTCAGGGAGTGCAGTGGAGGATGGCCCAAGTGCTTGGGCCCTGCACCCCATGGGAGACCAGGAGAAGCACCTGGCTCCTGCCTTCGGATCAGGCTGGCCACAGCGCGGCAGCCGCGGCGGCCATTGGAGGGTGAACCAACGGCAAAGGAAGACCTTTCTCTCTGTCTCTCTCTCTCACTGTCTACTCTGCCTGTCAAAAACAAAACAAAACAAAACAAACAAACAAAAAAACACATGCTTGGGTTTCAAGATGTTTCCTCAACAAAAGACTTTCTCTTTGTTCCAATTTCATGAGCTTTTTGACGTATCTTTGTGTGAACCTTTTCCATGAAGTGGCAGTGGCAGTTTTGAATTTTGAACAGTCTTCCAAAGTTAGAAAGCGTGGAGATGTTCTAGGAATTGAGTTAACGAGGAAAAGCTCTATGGTTCTCAAAGGATTTATTCTCATAGCCATCAGGTGAGCCCAGAGAACCCTGGGAAACAGCAGGAAGCAGGAGCTTTGCTTTTGTATTTCAGCAGGTGTGGGGGGAAGGAGAGATGTTATTTGCTAGTTTATTTCCCAAATGCCCACAGCAGCCAGGGCTGGGCTCAGCTGTGTCTGCAGCCGAGAGCCAGGAACACAATCCATGTGGGTGGAAGAAACCCAACTACTGGAGCCATCATTGCTGCGCCCCAGGGTCTGCATTGGTGGAAAGCAAGAGTCGGGAACTGAACCCAGGCACTCTGATGAGATCTGGGCATTTCATTTTATTTTATTTTTTTTTTTTTATTTTTATTTTTTTGTTTGTTTTTTTTTTTTTTGACAGACAGAGTGGACAGTGAGAGAGAGAGACAGAGAGAAAGGTCTTCCTTTTGCCGTTGGTTCACCCTCCAATGGCCGCCGCGGCCGGCGCACTGCGGCCGGCGCACCGCACTGATCCGATGGCAGGAGCCAGGAGCCAGGTGCTTTTCCTGGTCTCCCATGGGGTGCAGGGCCCAAGCACCTGGGCCATCCTCCACTGCACTCCCTGGCCACAGCAGAGGGCTGGCCTGGAAGAGGGGCAACCGGGACAGAATCCGGCACCCCGACCGGGACTAGAACCCGGTGTGCCGGCGCCGCTAGGCGGAGGATTAGCCTAGTGAGCCGCGGCGCCGGCCTCATTTTATTTTTTTAAAAAAGATTTTGTTTATTTAAGAGGTAAAGTTACAGTCGGAGAGAGGGAGAGACAGAGAGAAAGGTCTTTTGTCTGCTGGTTCACTCCCCAAATGACCACAACGGCTAGAGCTGGGCCGATCCAAAGCCAGGAGCCAGGAGCTTCTTCCGGGTCTCCCAAGCAGGTGTAGGGGTCCAAGGACTTGGGCCATCTTCTACTGCTATCCCAGGCCATAGCAGAGAGCTGGATCGGAAGTGGAGCAGCCAGGACTTGAACCAGCGCCCATATGGGATGCCGGCATTGCAGGCAATGGCTTTACCCACTATGCCACAGCGCCAGCCCCTGCCTGGATGTGGGCATTTTAACTGCTGGACTAAAAATCCTATCTGGGAAGCAGGATCTTGTGTGGCGCCCAGCCCTGAGGCCGCCACACTTGATCAAAAATGCCTGCCATACTCACACCCGACTGGACATCCACTGACACCCACGGTCCCACGTACTTATAAAAGGTCTACACTGACATGTTCCAGCTAGTGTGCCGGCTTACTCAAATGGTGTCCAATCGTGACTCTCGGATGATCTGTGGCCAGTAAACTGCCCCAGTATTGCTTAGCCCACCACTTGGCTGCGTGTTTTCCTTTGCAGAGTCACTTGTACCTATTAGTCACCGACCAGGGCTTCCTACGGGAAGAGCAGGTGGTTTGGGAGAGCCTGCACAACGTGGACGGCGACAGCTGCTTCTGTGACTCGGAGTTCCACCTAAGTCACTCCCTGGGCAAGGGGTCCGGAGCAGGAGGTGGGAGCAGCTCCCCAGAGAAGCAGCTGCAGGTGGATCAGGTGTGTGGGGCCCTCGGGGTAGGCACAGACAGCCTTTGCCATAGGCGAGCTGCGTGCATTTGATCATCCGGAGGCCACAGCATATAGCACCCACGCCCCTTTGCTCTCTGTTACCATTGGCGCCACGAAGAATGCACTTGGCTGTGTGCTTTGCTCTGGAGAGAGGAGCTGCAGAATTTCAAGAATGGGGAAAAACTGGCTTGGAAACCCAGCCCGAATAGCCATCCTCCCAGGCCAAAGCCCACCTAAAGCTCTCACTCTCTCTAGGACTACTTGATCGCCCTGTCCCTGCAGCAGCAGCAGCCGGCGCCGCAAGGCACACTGGGCCTCAGTGACTTGGAACTGGCCCAGCAGCTTCAGCAAGAGGAGTATCAGCAGCAGCAGGGGGTTCAGTCCCTGCAGCCTCGGACCCCCGTCCCACAGGTGAGCCCCACACACCAGCCCTCCTAGTTTCCCCTCAAGGCACTTCTCAGGCCTGTCCCTGCCCCCCCAACACCCCTTCCTATCTTTCTGTGTCCACTGTGCCTCCTTCCTACCGGAATCTCTAGCCTCGGGCTCTCCTGTGATGACCAATCCTTACGTCCCAACAGGGCAGAGGAGCCGCATCAGGCCGGCCAGCCGGGGAGCGGCGGCAGAGGCCCAAGCACGAGTCGGACTGTGTGGTGCTGTAGCTCTACCCGCGGCGTGCGGCTGAGCCATCCCTGCCTCTCGGGGCGATGGCTCCCAGGCTCACTCTCGGACCTCAGCCCCTGAGATCCGCTGCAGGCTAACTTATTTATGCACCGCGGGCGTCCCAGCAAGTGGTGAATGCCAAGGTCAGGCACACTCATATCCTTGCCCTCACATGCTGCCACCTTCTCTTCCTCCCGTCCAGGGCAACACCAGGGTGGGTGGGGTGAGGACTTCTGGTTCCCACCTGCCTTGCCCAGAACACTCACAGATATGCAGACTCAGGCTCCACGGCGAGGCGCCCTGTCTGGAACGCATCCCCCTACCTCTGCTCCCTGATTCCCCTGGGCACTCCTGGCTCCCCAGCAGGCCTGTCTCAGGGTCTGGTTTGGGTTTCTAAGTCCCTTGTTTGTAATGCCTTCCTAGGGGTTGGGGAATAAATCTTCTTTGCTGAGATCTACTGTTTGCCATACACGGGGTGGACTAGTTGACCCAACTGAGGAATGCAAAGGAAGGTGTGGTGGTTGAACAGGTGGAAGCAGGCTGCCTGTCGTTTCCAGCAGGACCAGCAGGGGGACCCCACGCCTGCCTTTTCTCTTGTCTGTGTTCCAGTGTTTCTGTGAGAAACAGTGCTCCCACAGGAGGTGGGTGTCGGAATCCCTGTGTGGACAGGTGAATGTGGGAGTTGTACTCGGAGCGGGGCCAAGACTTCCCCGGCTGGGGAGGGCCACTGGACCCTCCGCGTGCTTCCAGGTCCATACTACTGGGCCTTTGCTACCTCTGACCATTCCTGACTTGCTCTGGTGGCCTTTCTCGATTATTTTGCCTGTAGTTTCCTGGGGAAGAGAGAATAATGAGAGGGGAGGGGAGGCCTGAGGTGGGGACAGCACAGGGCTAAAACAGGATTCCTGTTGAATGGCCCAGCGCACATCAAAGGTGCCTCCATGGCCAGGGCCTCTTCCTGGCCCGTGTCCTGCTCCACCCAGACTTCAATCAGGGAACACAAACAACAGTGACATTTGCCAAAAGAATTCAAGAACCAGTGAGACATTCTGGCCAGGATACCAGAAAGATGAGAGAGGCAGAAACTGCCTGAAAGCCCCCATCAGCCCCCCACCTAAGACCGAGTGGGGGGTGGGGGGAAACCTAGGCTAGACATCATTTTGAGATAAAAGAGATCAAGAGATTTAAAAGAAAGGTGGAGTTCCACGCTCAGCAGGAAGCTGGATCCCGAGGTCCTGGGCAGGTGGGGGGGGGCAGCTGGTCTCCCGCAGGCTTCTCCGCACGTGGGACTCTCAGATCCTTGAAGGCTGCGTGGGGTGGAGTGGGGGCTGCGCTCTCACATGTCTTCAGCCCTGCACAGGGCCAGCAGCGCCGGGCGGCAGTCCCCCTTCACTGCATCCTATGGCGGGGGGGGGGGGGGGGCGGGGGAGCCAAGTGTTAGCGAGGTTCACCACCACCACGGCCCGGCAGGTGACTCAGCGGGGTGGGGAGGAGCCTCCCCAGGGTTTGGGGTCCTGCATGAAGTGAACCAACGACTTGTGAGTCCTATGTGACAAGAACACGTAGTTTTGTACAGGGAGTGTGGGTAGATGTGAGGTGTGAGGGGGGAGGCTCCTGGGCTCCGGGTTAAGAACTAGCCAAGTTTCACCTGGAGAGAAGAGTAGAGGGACTTCCCAAATTTCTTCTTGAACTCGGCTCGGATACTCAGAAGGTCAGTTTCACTGCGAGAGATGAGGATGCGCGTCAGGGCTTGATAATTGGGCTCGGCTTCCTAGTAGAGAAGAAACAGGCTGGGGGTAAGGACAGTGAGAAAGTGGGATTCTCACGGAGCACGCTGGCCTCTGAGGGTCATCGCAGGGAGTGAAGGGGAGGTGGGCGTGGAGAGAGGGAAGAATACTCAGATATTATCTCTGGGCAAAAAGCTTCTTTGTCGCAGTCCCAGCTTCCCCGAAGGTGATGCGGGAGGAAATATTGGTCTCTGTGGGGACAGCTCCAGTATTGCTTCCCCGCACCTTTCCCAGCCCCTACCTGAGAGCCTGGCTTCTCCCTTGCTGGGCGGTGGACGGCTCCAAAGACAGACACATGAGGGAGACTAGAAAAGACTTGCTGCCAGGGCTGGCGTTGTGGCGCAGTGCCTGGTTCACCCCTGGGGACGCCGGCATCCCAGATCAGAGTGCCTTGGTTTGAGTCCTGTCTGCTCTGTTTCCCGTCCAGCTTTCTGCTGGTGCGCACCCGGGGAGGCAGCAGGTGATGGCTCTAGTACTTGGGTCCCTGCCTCCCACAGGGGAGATGGAGATGGCCCCACCCTGGCTATTGTAGGCATTTGAGAAGTGAACCAGCAGCTAGAAGATCTCTCTCATCTGTCTGTCTCTTTTCCTTTAAACCAAATGAAAATAAGTAAGTAAAGGAGGGAAAGAAGGAAGGAAGGACTTGCAGCCTATAAAGACCACCAGCAGGGCCGATGCTGGGGCGTAGCAGGTTAAGCTGCGGCCTGCAGGGCCTCCATCCCTTATGGGTGCTGGATTGAGTCCCGGCTGTTCTACTTCCAATCCAGCTCTTTACTCATGTGCCTGGGAAGGCAGCAGAGGGTGGCCCAAGTCCTTGGGCTCCTGCCCCCATGTGGGAGACCCAGAAGAAGTTCCTGGCTCTTGGTTTCAGCCTGGCACAGCTCTGGCTGTCACAGCCACTTGGAGAATGAACCAGTGGACTGAGGATCTCTTTCTCCCTCCCTCTCTGTAACTCTGCCTTTCAAATAAATAAATACATTTTTTAAAGTATAATGACCTACAGTCGAGGGGTGTGGCTGGATGGTAGAACAATGCAGGTGGATACCATTAACAAGGCACGATGGCTTCGCAACTTCTCTGCAGAGAGCTATTCTATCGGCCAAAATGGTAACTACTTTTATCTTTTCCTGCTTCTTCAAGTAGTTTCTTTAACTTGGTAGGTTTTTTTTTTTTTCTTTATTGATAGGTTTTGGAGGCCAGTCCTACTAACAGGAGACCTAAGCAGAATGACTAGGTCCTGTTGGTGGAATTATTCAAGCCAAGGCCCCCAGTTTGAGTATGGACAACAAGGGACAAAATCTGACCAGTGTGGAGAGCACTGATGTGACCGCTGACAAGGAGTTGACCCAAGGCAGGCAGTGTTCTGAATCATAAAGTTTAGCAGGGGCATTGTACTAGCTGTGTGACCTTGGGTTAGGCAGTGTACCTCTGTGTCCCAGATTTTTCACGGGAGGATTAATTGAAATGTGTGTAACCCTAGCACACAATGAGCACCTTAGTAATGCTGGCTCTTGTTATTCTTGCTGGTGCCATCAGCCTCGCCATAGACAACAGCAACTAGACAAAGCCCTGCCTTCCAGAGCAAATTCTTACCTATACGTGGCCAGCTAGGCCTTAATGAAGCCAAAGCTTTCGCTTTAGTGCACTTAGGGGTCCAACTGAGTTCTCTACCCTCAGCAAGACTGTTCATAAGTTTAGGGAAAAATGAGATTTTTTTTTTTTTACATTAACAACAACCTGACAATGTGTCTGTCCTCAGATCTTGTCCCAAAGAGAGGGAAAAGGGGCGCCCCTCTCACCTGGAGGGCTTGATGAAGTTTCTCAGCAAAGTAGAGTGGTGTGTTCCTGACCACCGAGGCTGGAAGCACACAGCGGGGGACCGAGGGTCACAGGCAGGGAGTAGCTCCCCCCCCCCCCCCCCAGATATCCCCGCATTCCCAGAGCAGGTGCCTACCGAGGCTGAGCAGGGCCACCTGGGTGTCTCCATGGAAACGGCTCCGGACAGCATCCTCCAGCCCCTGCCCGGTGCCTTGGTGGTACTGTTCAAACACTGCAGCAGGGACAGGGTGAGGATCACAGACCCGGAGGGGCCCTCCCCACAACCTGCTGTGGAGTCGCCCTCAGTACAACCAGGGGGACAGAGGCTGTGCGTACCTCGAATGAGGTGCTCGGGGTTTCTCTGGGTGAAGATTCGGACCCATGTCCCCTCGCTGTGGGGTCCTTGGTCCTGCTGTAAGGCCTGGTGGAAAGGAGGAAGTGTGGGGGGTGAATCAGCCACACTGGGACCCAGGGAGCCCCAGTTACAATGTTCCCAGAATCTATCGCCATGATGATCCAAATGGGATGAAGGGTGGACAAGGTTATTGTAACCAGTAAATTAGTTGGTTTTATTTATGCTTTAAAAAGAGAAAGAAGGGTAGGTGTTGTGGCACGGCAGGCTAAGCCGCATCCCAAATCAGAGCGCCCATGTTACAGTCCCCGTTTCTGCTTCAGATCCAGCTTCCCGCTAATGAACACCCTGGGAGGCAGCAGATGGCGGCTCAGGGGCTTCACGCCCTGCCACCCTGTAGGAGACCCCAGTGGAATTCAGCTCCTGGCTTTGGCCTGGCCCTGCCTTGGCTGTTGGGGGCATCTGGGGAGCAAACCAGCAGATGCAAGATCTCTCTCTCTCTCTGTCACTCTGCCTTTCAAATACATAAATGAATAATTTTTTGAAAAATGAATAAAATAAAAAAGTAAAGAAACAAGGCTACCAGGCCCTGCCCATATACTCCAGGATCTGGAAAAATCCCAGTCCCCAGTCCCCAGTCCCCAGGGAACTAAATAACCCGCGGGTGGCTTCCCCACCCCAGTGCCCCTGAGGGAGCTTCTCTGCTGATGAGCTCGGAGGCCGGCTAGTGAAGAGGCCTGTGCTGTGACAGGGCCAGCGCCTGTCATTCATCACGTCCCCAAGGGCAGCAGGGTTGCAGGAGGAATGAGCACACAGGTCACAGGCCCCAAGACGTGGTAGAGGCCTGTGTCTTTTTTCTTTTTTTGAAAAGCTTTTTGGCGTGACCGCAGCGCGCCAGCCGTAGCGGCCACTTGGGGGGTGAACCAATGGAAAAGGAAGACCTTTCTCTCTGTCTCTTTCTCTCTCACTAACTCGGCCTGTCAAAAAAAAAAAAAAAAAAAAAAAAAAACCTTTTTGGGATTGGTGCTGTGGTATTGAAGGCTAAGCCTCTGCTGGTGTTGCCGGCATCCCATATAGGTGCAGGTTTATATCTCGGATACTCCTCTTCCAATCCAGCTCTCTGCAATAGCCTGGGAAAGCAGTGGAAGATGGCCCAAGTGCTTGGGCCCCTGCACCAGTATGGGAGATGCAGGCTTCTGATTGGCCAAGCTCCAATCGTTGCAACCATTTGGGGAGTGAAGCAGTGGATGGAAGATTCTCTCTCTCTCTCTCTCTCTCTCTCTCTCTCTGTAACTCTGAATCTCAAATAAATAGAATCCACCACATGAGTCCCGTTTTAATTTGAAAGGCGGAGTGACAGAGAGATATTAGGACTGGTATGGCATAGCAGGTTAAGACTCTGCTTGCAGGAAAAAAAAAAAAAAAAAAAGGATCTGCCTGCGACTCTGGCATGTCATATGGGCGCTGGTTCCAGTCCCGGCTGCTTCACTTCCAATCCAGCTCCCTGCTAATGTGCCTGGGAAGGCAGCAGAGGAAGCTCCAGACTTCTGGCTTTGGCCTGGCCCAGTCCTGGCCATTGTAGCCATCTGGGGAGAGAACCAGCAGGTGGAAGGTTTTCTTTCTCTTCCTCTCTCCATATCTCCTCTCTGTAACACTGCCTTTCAAATAAATAAGATATAGCACATTTAGGCCAGGCCAAAGCCAGGAGCCAGGAGCTTCTTCCAGGTCTCCCACGTGGGTGCAGGAGCCCAAGCACTTGAGCCATCCTCTGCTGCTTTTTCAGGCACATTAGCAGGGAGCCAGATCAGAAGTGGAGCAGCCAGGACACAAACCAGTACCCACATGGGATGCTGGCATCGAAAGCAGCAGTTTTACCTGCTATACCACAACACTGGCCCCCCAAAATAAAATCTTAAAACTTGCACCCCCTGCTTCACTTTCCAAATGCCTGCAAAAACCTGGTCTGAAACCAGGAGGCTGTAACTCCATCTGTGTCTTCCACGTGGGTGGCAGAGACCCAAGCACATCATGAACCATCATTTGTTGCTTCCCTGGTGCATTAACTGGAAGGTGGATCAGAAGTGGAGCTGCCAGGGTAGGGATGGGGAGACTTGAACCAGCCCTCCAATGGGGGTGGGGGACGGGGAACGGGGGCCTCCCAAGCAGCAGCCTAGCCCGCTGTGCACCCAAGCACCTGCTTGTGGCTGTGCCAACTCCTAAGCCCTAGCTCACCTGGGCGTCCTGTTCTGCCAGGTTGTAGTCAATGACTCCAGAGTAGCTCTCACGGCCCCCCTGGGAGAAGAGACTCTCTTCAGGAGGCTTTCTTGAAGGGCAGCTTTCCCCCCTGCAGCCCGGCAAGCCTAAGCCTGCGCTCCCCTAAAGCCCGGCTGTCACTCACTATGCGACTCCTGGTCTGCCTGTCCCTTGCAGACCAGACCGCCTCACCTTGGCCAGGGCCAGCAGCAGGTCCCGCAATGTGCCGCTGGTCTCCGACTTGATGTCCTCCTCTGCCTCCACCTGGAAGTCTGGGAGGGGTCCTGGTTTTTGCTAGTGTAGCGCGCCCCAGGGCAGCCCACCCCGCCCTGCTCCAGAGCTTGCTGGAAGCGCTGGTTTCCCAAGCACCGTCCTGGCAACCCTGAAAGCCCCTCTAAGCAGGGAGGTAGGCGTGGCCTCATTCCAAGCACTCCTGCCAGGCAGGAGGCATCCTTGCAGTGTAAAGGGGGCCCAGACCCAGATGATGAGGTCGGGTTGGAGGGGAGGGAGAGTGTGTGACAGGTGGGATGGGAAGGAGGGAAGAGCAGAAGCAAGAAGGGAGAGAGGAGTTGGTGTGGTGCAGTGGGGGGTTACGGTGCCGCCTGCAACACCACAAGAGTGTCAGGTAGAGTCCCAGCCGCTCTGCTTCTGATCCAGCTCCCTGCTAATGCACCTGGGAAAGCTGTGCACCCTGTGGGAGACCCAGATGGAGGTCCAGCCTCCTCAGTTCGGCCTGGCCTAGCCCAGCCGTTCGGGAGGTGAACCAGAGGGTAGAAGCTCGCTCTCTCGCTCTCTCTCTCTGTAACTATCTCTCTCTCTCTGTAACTATGCCTTTCAAATAAATGAATCTTCAAAAACAGGGAGGAAGGGAGGAGAGGGATTAAGAACACAGGCTGAGATTTCAACATCAAAGACAGAGGGGCGGGGAGGGGTGAGATGAGGCTGGGAGACCTGGTCCCAGATCAGGGCTGAGGGATGCGACGGCCCGGCCCACAGGGGCGACACCAGCACTTACAGGGAGCTTCGCCCTGCCCCCCGGCTGCCAGCGCTGCAGTCAGCTTAGCCTGTGGGGCGATGGCAGAGACAGCAAGGGGCTGAGAAGGTGACATGGGCACCTTGGGACTGTCAAGGCGCCTAATGTGGTTATGACTTTGCAATCTGCCCCGGAGCCCCAGACAACAGGGTTAGTCATTGTTTCTCTTTAATAATCACATCTGGCCCTCTCCCCTGGGGAAACTGAAGCACTGGTGGAGGAGGGAGAGCCCCAGGGAACAGAACAGCCAGGTTCCCAGGTGGCTTGTCGGGAGCAGAGGGGACGGAGGTGTTCTAGGACGGATCCTTCTCCAGCTCCTGGGGGCCCCCACCCCGCCATATTCTCACCACGTTTGTAAACCGCCAGGCATTCCTGCAGTCGGGCTGGGGCTCGGGTGGCGAGAATTTCCGTGGCCACCTCCTTAGCAGAACCTGAGGCCTACAAGAAATTGGGAGGCTGCTCTGAGACCAGGCCACATGTGTCATCAGGGTGGCAGACAGAGCTGGCCTCTGCTCCATCTAAGGGCCCCTGTGGGCTGGCTCAAGGAAGCCTCTGCCAAGACCACCCTCTGGAGCCGTCAAAGGCAAGGAGGCAGTCAAGCCCTGTTCCTCCCTCAGGGGCGTCCTCAGCCCTCAGCACCCCCTCCAGCAGGTGTCCTCCCCCCACGCCCACCCCTCCCCCAGTTCTGCATGCCTCTTTGCAAAGAGAAATTGCTTCCCCAAATTCCACAGTCCTCACATGACCTTCTTTCCTCACTGGGCCTTACCTGCCTGGTCCCCAAGAAGGCATTTGATTTGTGTAAACTCCCAAAAGACTATGTGCTCCCTAAGAACAGGAATGGCATTTTGTTTATTTTACTATCTTTAGTGCAGCTTAATAACTGCTGTATTTTCTCTTCCTCACCATGGTAAGCCCAACAGAGCCCTCTGCATTCAATGGCTGCTAACTAAACAAAAGCTGTTAATCACTGCAACCACGACTTCATGAAAGTAACCAAGATGACTGGGGCCTGGGGTTCCATGTACACGCTGGCAAGTGGGAAAGACAGTGGAGCTCAAATAAAGACATCTGAGAGGACTGCAGAAAAGAAGGTGGTCACTATTGCATTCCTGCTACTGCGA